GTCATAGGCCAAAAAAGATTGGGAACCATTGGTCTATAGACATTCAACAAAACAACCAAGATAAAAATGAAAACAGGAAGTGAGAACAAAGACCATGCAAACACAATGATAAGCTGAACAGACTATCACACTTTTTCATTCATACTTTTCTCTTCTACTTTCTTACTTTTTGCTGCCTTTTCTTGTTCAAATCAAGGGTGTAGGAGTGAATCCCCTTATGAAGCAAATGTATATTGAGGTGATGTGGTCAGTTCAAGTCTGACCTGTGGCTCTTTTCCCGCCTGTCAATCCCCACTTTCCATCTCCCCGGTTTCTAACTATATCCACTGACCTACAGTACCTCAATAAAGGCAGAAAGGGCCTAATAATATTTCATTGATTCCTGCATCTGTTTTATGTCAGCCCTGCTCCATCTCTTTTCCTGCTTCCAGTCATCCATTCATCATCACCCTGTGAAAGAGTCACATTAAAAAAATCTCTCTCTCCTTATTTGATATGATGAAAGGAGAGCTCAACACAGGCTGCAGCACACGAGGAAACCAGACCCTGCTGTGAGGGGACCTGATCTTGTCTTTCAGCCTGAAGCTACAGATTGCTCAGTCTAAAGTTACTGGGAGAAGCTACCTCCATACAAATATGCCCACAAAAAATCATAGGCAAGCGATATCAGAGTTGATCTTTGGGTTTATCAAATAAAAAGAAAGCTCTGAAGACAAAAAGAAAAGTGGGTTACCAGTACAGTGGTGGTAGGTGTTGGTTTGACATGAAGACTAGAACTGCATGTTCACAAAAAACATCGAAGCAGACACACACATGCTGGGTTGATCCTACTATTTTGCAAAACTATACACTATCACCTGGAAACTTTGTCCCTCTCTCGTGCAGACACATGTTTCCTGACCAGTTAGAGGCTGATGAGAGTCAGGGCCACAGGGCATAGAGGCAGACAGGCCTGGTAGAGGACAGTAGTGTTGAAGAGGACACTTCAGACAGCTGTCTATGGACACAGCACCAGCAGAGGGCCCATAGGTTCCCTTTGGACAAGGGACCCGAGTGAAGCTTCCCAAAGGGCAGTAGAAACCTATAAGGGATAAAGTACTTCCTTTACAGGCACCATCGTTGAACTTTACCGATACAGAAAAGGAACAAAAATAGAAGATCGCAAAGATTTACACTGAGCTACAATCTGACAAACTCATAGCAGTTGTACGTATTATCCAAAGTTGGATTAAACAATAACTTGTAGAGAAATGAACAGATGAGAACTAAAACACTGATAAAAGCAGGGACAGAAACAACATCCTGTCTCGTTTGTAGCTGCAAATAGCAAAATACATTTACAATTTGTACGTGGTTTTAATAATCCCTGAAGCCTGTTTTTCTTGCATTTTCGGAGACATGTTACCATTTCTTAAACATAACATGATGAAGCATGTAATGTTTTTATAAAACAATGCTCCTCTGTAAAACTGCCCTGATGTACGGACACATTTTGTGAAACCATTAGGCAAACAAAATAAAAATGAAGAACTTAATCAAAGAGGCTAAAATATACAGAGTAACCTTATGATAAAAGGTTGGTCTGATTCTTTTTCTTTTTTGACCATGTTATGACAAAGTAACTATGCAGTCAGGACAGCCTACCTGGCTGGCAGGACCTCTTCTCCTGGAACTGTTGACTCACGCTGTTCCCATGAACCAGAGAAAAGAGTGTCAGCCACAACACACACACCTTAAACAATTGCCTTTGCATGTCCTTCGCAAAGCCATCATGTCCTTCTGCTGAAGTCATTTAAAGTGAAGTGTTAAGTCTTCATCCAGCATCCATCAAAAGCCTCTTCGTTGTCTGTCCTGTTTTGATCATAGCATAGAAAGAATTTAAAAGTAGGTTGTGGTAACCAAACTGCTTTGATAAACCTCTCCTGTCTGCAGCACTTCTGCACACATGACCTGATCTGTTTGTAAGTAGACCCAGTTGCGAGTTATAGCGGGCTAGTTAGTCTGCATAACTTTCACTGGCCCTCTGAATGATTTATGGGGCCCGTGAGGTAAGGTGACAGTGACAGTGGAGGGACAGGAAAGCAGCACAAACAGAGAGAAACAGCTGCCTGCTGCTGCTGGATCACATTACTGCATTTGTTCTTCTCAATCCCACCATGAAACTGATTAATGATTTGGCTCCAGATGTACTTCAGCACAGCTTTGCTTTAGGGCTAACCCTCTGAGCAATAAATGCAACAGCAGCTGCTGAATTTACAGTCAAATTCACGTATCCAGTTTAGATGTGCATGAATATGATGTATGGCTTTATGCAAATCAGCTCCCTCTTTTATTTTAGCAATAACCAAGATGGGTGACGCATATTTGAAATACAGATGTTGGTCATTTTGGTTAACTTGTTGCTATTTGCCTACAGTATTGATTAAGCCATTGGCCCAATAGGCCATTTGTATATATAATTGTTGGTTAGGAAGCCAATGTAAATGTAGAACGGCTCCAAAAATGAATTCACATGTGCATTTATTTATTCATGTTCCTGAGTCCGGGACAGATGTGTTTTACAGTTTTTTTTTCGATTGCTATGACACTTTCAATAGTTTTAACAATTTTCCTAAACTCTTAACACAGTTAGCACAACATCTGTCTCTGAAGGCTATGCAATTAGACACAAAATGCATACATTTAACACAAATTTAAATTGCTTGAACTTCTTTTACACACAAGCTCAACCAATGAACCCTGGTCCATTTTTAACCCGCTCGAGTGAGAGGCTGGTTCTCCAGGTTCCTCATGCCAGGACTGACCTGGGGAAAACTGCTTTTAGTGTTAGTGCTGCAAACTCCTGGAATATTTTACAACGGGACCTGAACTTGAGCACTTTTATCCCTTATGGACACTTATTACACAGAAATATTATTTTTAACCACTCAATACCTGACTGTAACTGTTTTATTTGAATTTAATTACTGACTTATCACTGTAGTCATTTCAAGCTTTTAAATTATTTTTGTGTATATATTTTATTGTTCTTATTGCTCTTTTATTGAGTTTATTTTCCGGTTTCTAATATGTAACTGTATTTTGTCTCTCTAAGGATTCAACATCTACCTCCCTCAGGGGGCAGAGGAAAGCACCTACTGTAAATGAAGAACAGGAACTTGCCATTATCAACATGGTGATTGCTGACAATGAAATAAAACCTTTTTTGCAGCAATTCTGTCTCTGTCTTCTTTTTTTCATAAACCGTACATTCTATAAAGCTACTCTGATATGGGTCATTCAGTTTTTCTATTGAATTTCTGCAGCAAAAGAAACAAAATACATGCATTTACTTAACCCAACAAAACAGAAATGTAGAGAGGCTTCAAAAGAAAATGCAGTGCTAAATACAATCTATGATCAATACAATATACTGTCTATAGTAGGGCAGACCTGACTCATGTAAAGTAATGCAGTAATGCTAGTGTTTTTCATGACATTGTGATGTGATTGACTAAATGTTCCAGTTGGAAGACAACATGTGTCAGTGTTTTGGAAGATTTTTTGATTTTGAGACATGTTTACAGTGTTTTGGTGGACATGGTGTTTGTGTGTCATTGTATTTTGAAAACGAGTGTTAGAGTTTAGTTTACAATGGGTGATTTTGAGCATGAAATTAACTGTTTGGCCAATTGTGTGTTTTGGTGTGTTGGTGTTTTAAGAGTTAAGGAAAATTGTTAAAACTATTGAAAAAATTGTCATAGCAATCGAAAAAATCTGTATTTGTTTAGGAAAAATTCAAAAAAAATTGAATTATTTTTTATTGCAAATCTTTGACTTGCATCAATTAAACTGATGTTAGTTTCTGAACAATTTTCTACTATAATCTATGTCAATTTGTAATATGTTGTTCCATATTCCAACAGTGGACCCATTCCCAGTATCATAAAAAGTATTAAAGCAACTCATGTGCTCGCCATCTGTGAGCACAGAATGTCATTGTAAAATATTAAACAGTTCATCTGCACTGATACGCAGCTCTGATGTTTTGATGTATAGTAACGAAATCGTACCAGCACTACTGTTATTGTATTGAAAAGGATGGACTTTGGATGAGTGGAATAACCTAGATATTTCATCATGGTAGCCATGAACTTTGATCCTCTAATGACGTCACATAACTTACCTAACTGAGCAGGATTCAACTTTCACCCACATACCCCACAGTCACTGCTGCTAGAAAACCTCCACATCACATTTAGAAATATGCTACCACTTAGTGCAAACATGTGACAGGGAGTCACCAGAAATGTTAACCATTTTTATCCATAAATATAGAAAAATCAAACAGAAGCACAAAGACCGCAGGTTTTCAGGTTGAATTGTACATTGACTTCTTTCTTGTTCTGTTGGTATCACAGAACAACACAATCTGCAGTGTTTACTCTAGCTGTTGTGAGTAGCTCTGTTCAGAATTACTGCACAAACATTGATGTGCAAACTGCTGATTGTCAGGCATCAAAAATCAAGCCATCAATCAACTCTCCATGAGTCAGTCCAAATCTGGAAATATTGAATTCTCATACAATTTAAATCATAAAAAATCAGAGACACCTTAAATGTCTGCAATGTTTGAACAATTTACATTTACAAACATGACATTTGTTATCTGACTGTGGACATACAAACTTGAACTTGTTGACCTTCTGTTGGTTGCTCCATTAAACTTTTACTTCATTCTAACGTTAATAATCAGACTTAGATTACAAAAGCCCTGTTGAGTTGGCAGCTATCTTTCACTATCATGATTATACCAGTGTTCCAATTTATTGCACCATTTCCAGACTCTGACATAATTTCCACAAATCAATGCTAAAAGAATTCTGTGAAGTTTTAAGAACAGTGGATGCTGTTTGCAAGCACTCACGGTGTGTGTGTGTGTGCGTGTGTGCGTGTGAAGATTTTGTGTTCTGTCACCATCGTGACCCTCCACGTGTTGACTGTTGACACAGGCAGAGTTTGGGGCAGCCCCTCAGATAACATGGGCCTTTATAAGTCCGGTTGGAAGACAACTCACTCTCCAGACCTCTGATCCCCAGGTAAAGGCCAGCAGCTTCTCTAGATATATTTACCTTTATGGCTTCTGTCTTGGTATTATAGATAATTCATTGAAATGTTCAGTATTTAGTCGATTAATGGGCAAAAAACTCTGATGTATTTCCCTCCACAGAAAAAAATGAAAATGTATCTACAAGTTGTGATCCTTGCCTTGTCATGCTTGACAACTTCAGGTATGCAGTGATCCTGAATGCATGTTTAAAAGAGATTGTATTGGAAGTTTTTCCTTCTTTCATGTGTGTTTTCTCCGTTTGTAGCATACCCCATTCAACATAACACCAGAGAGGCAACCTGGACTGATCCAAGAGCCAATCAGGCTCATTACAAGACTGAACTCATTAAGAGTGAAGAGTAAGTCGTTTTAAGACCTTAAAGAAACCTGCATCCATTCAGTCAAAGAAAATGTTGAGAGAATTTATAAAAAAAACACTTTCTAATGTAAGTCATTTCGTCTGTATTTTCTTAGAATCATCTACAAGAGCCACATAGACAGCAGCAGCCTCTACAGCCAAGATGATGAGAGCAAAAGCCCTGTTGCAGAAGAGATGCAACAAAAACTCAATGTGGAGTCTGAACGTCTGCGCACCCGTCTGCGCCAAGAGCTGGCCGAGCTGCACAAGAGACTGTCTCCATCTTCGGCTCATCTCAGCTCCACTCTGGCCAGCATGAGGGAGCGCCTGGCCCCTCTCACTCAGCAACTCCAGAGCTCCCTGAGCAGCAACACTCAAGATCTGTGTGGCCAGCTGAGCCTCTACCTGCAGGGCCTGGAGACAGCTGAGGCAGCCGGTGAAAGTGAGGCCAGTCAGGCTTTCTACCAGGAAGCCTTCAGCTGGATGAGCCAAACACTGGAGCACAGCAGCTCCAAGCTGACTGACATCATTACCGACTTCCAGACTAATGCTGTCAGGATGCTGGAACATCTGAAGGAGGAGAAGTCTGATCTTGGGCTGGAAATGAGCTCCAGGTTGGGACAAGAAGTGAGTTCACTGAGGGCGGAGGCACAGAGCAGAGTTGGGACTCTGAAAACCGAGCTTGCTGCTCTGCTAGAAACTGCAATTCCTCACAAGAGTGAAGTTGCAGCCAGTCTGGAGCTTTTCTGCCAGAATGCAGCCCTGCAGGGCCAAGTCTTTCAGGCCCGAATGGAGAAGCTATTTCTGGGTCTGGAGGAGCTGGACTTCCACAGAGCCGCCAGTTTGTCTCCCTCTTCTTCTTCCTCCATACAGCAAGGCAGCTTTTTGCAGGAAGATTTCTCAGTTAAACTCTCTGCTCTGATCCAAGACATTCTGCACTCAGTGTAGTCACAAAAAAAACTACAAATCAACTACCCTTTTCATTGAAGTGATTCATTCATTGGTATTCTTATTCATGAGTTTGGTTTGTTGTTTGACATTGTACATTCAAAATAAGTAGCCTGTAAATATTTCTGAATGTTTGGTTTTAAGTAGATGTATATGTTTCATTCTGAAAATGTAATGTATTGCTGTCAGTATATATGAACTGTAGTGTGTATAAAGGTGATGCTTAAAAGTAAAAGTAAAAGTTGTTGATACAGATAGTGTACCAGTGTCTTTTTTGTTTGTGTAAAAACACAATCAAAATCGGATTTCAAAGTAAATTTTTATTCCGTAAAAAACATAGCAAAAAATCTGATTTTCATTACAAAGATTTGAATGAGAACAAAAATATTTTATCAATGCAATTAAGAGTCTGTACATGATACCAAAATACAAGTAGGCATACAAATGGCAAATTAAATGTATGTTTATAATAATCGATATATATGGGTATACAGTATACATATTTTTAAAGCGCCTGTGAGGAACTTTCAGATTGCGTAGATTTTGGCGCTCTCTGTGGACAAAGCAGTCTTTGCTGATTCTTATAAGAGTAAATTGGGGTTAAATCTCATCCTGCTGTCTTACAGCAGAAAATGATATTACATGTTGAGAATCTTTTTTGTGGAAAATGTACAAAAGGTTTATTACTCCACTAAACTGTTGCAGCTTCAGACATTAAAAATAACTTTATATACATGCTGATGGTCTTGTTTTCCTTTAAAGGTCATGAAGAGACAACACTTTTCATTTCAGTCTGTTTGATAACAAGCTATAAAATCCTCACAGGAGCTTTGAATCAAATTAACAACATCACATGTGAATTGACTTCAATGAACCATAGTTTCTGTTTGACTGTTCCTTCATATAATGACTTCAGAATACAGATGTGGTAATAATAGACCAAAGGATTTATACAAGAAAGAGGATTTGCTTGTTGATCTGTCAGTCAAAAGCATGAGGTAATCCTCCTACCCAATAAAACTTCTTCAGGGCGAACCAGCCCCCCAAAACCAGCAGGGCAGCAGCAGCCGATCCAAACACCACCCCTACCACCAGGCCCGTCACGTTTACATCCTCCATCTCTGCTGCCATGTTATTACCTGATGAACGCAGGGGGAGGTTGTTGTACATTACTTGATGAGTCGTTGTCATAACATCCAAGATATAAAGATGTATTTCTAGAATGATGAATGTGATCAATATACTCACTGAAGCCAGCTGCATATGGACGGTCTATAAGGGAGTGGGAAAAGAGAAATAAGTGAACAAATAAAAAAAAATGCACAGCAGTTGTGTAGTTTTTTGGGTCTGGGTCTCATCTCACCTTCGTTGGCAGTGTAAAGAGGTCCGACTGAAACAGTGGCAGAGTCGCTGGTTTCTTCTCCAAAAGGAGTCAAAGATCTTCTTCTTCTGCTGTTACAGCCCTGGAAAAAAAGAGACACTTGAGGTTACTTTGATCTCTGTGTAAGATGTGACATTTTTCAGCATGTATTTTAGGTGTGAGAAATGTCTGATTTTTTAAATTTTATTTTACAAAAAGTATAGATATAAAAGAAAAGACAAACCAGGTGCCCTGGCTGTCTGTGGATTGATTTGGTTCCTATTACTCCCCCTACACTTATCTTTCTACTTGGACCACATATTTTTCAAAGTGATGAGTGGCAATTGTTGTTTGCTAAAAAAATGTTTATTAAGTGCTTCTCAACACTGAGGAAACAATGAACATTATATCTCTAGATATTCATTTTCTTAAACTTTTAAGATGCAGGAACTATTTTTCTGCAAGAATTTTTTTTAATCACAAGTCTTTCAAATCTTACATATTCATTCTTATGCATATAACTGTAAAGTAGAGTCACTTCTTCTTGACGTTCCAACTTACAGAGAGCAGCTCTTGACATTTACTGGGCTCACATAGTCTTAGTATGCAGTGCAGATAGATGCTTGACTTGGCCTTGTCCCGGTGCTGAACAAAGCGGAAGGCCTCGAAGTTGAACCGGGCTTCCTTGGAGAGGCCGTTGCTTGTCACAAATGTCCTCTGGTCCAATGAACAGCTATAGTGAAGGGTAGACTTATTTAGATACATTTTAATATTCATGGTAGAAATGATCTCCACAGCAGGAAGTTACGCTATGAGCTGACATACCCAGTGAAGAAGTTGTGCTGCTCAGTCTGTGACATGTTATATGCTTTGGGTGTACCGAAGCAGTGATCCAGCAGAACATGGAAACTGAAAACAAGAACACGGATCAATGAGTTACCGTAGAACTCAACAAAGAAAACAAATATGCCCCGTTTAATTTCAAAACAAGTAATGGGGATTTGCTTACTTTCCCGTGAGGTTAACAGCTTTGACCTCTACATAGATCCTGGATCGTAGCTCAAGCCCTGATGAAGGTACCACTAATGGGTACATGTAGTCCGAGTCCTAGATGAACCAAACATGCAGAGTTGAATCGGTAAATAAAGAGTTCAAATACTTGTGGTGTGTTTAATGCATGTTCTTACATTATAAACACCCATCATCAGTGTATCGATGAAGGTGCCATTATTATCACTGGTTGCCACAGAAACTGAAGAGCTGAGAAGAAATGGAGAAGAAAATTACTGTGTGTACCAATTTAATGTGTCTCCTCAGATAATAACAGTACACATGTAGAACTTGCATAAATGATCATAATTGAAATATATTTCTCAAAGTGTCAAAGTGTTTTTTAAGGTGGACTCACGCAACAATCTGTGTGTTGTTGATTAGGTACTCCAGCGGATAGCGGCAGGAGAAGTGATAGTAAAGGTCTGTTAAGTAGCTAATCAGCCCCTGGTCAGATTTGGGTGTGTCAATGTACCCTGTGATTATAACCGACTGGATGCTTAAGAAGCTGCTGAAGGGACCTGTGGGGTCTGGGGCCTCATCGACTATCTGAACAAGAAAAAAAAACAAAATAATTACATGACCTCCATCTACAAAGCCACTTGGGACAACTTGTCAGGTTGTGTAAATATCTCCCCAAAATTGCAAAGAATTCTTCATCTTCAATTTGCGGTCACTTTTCTGTGGTCACGCTCTGGGTGGCAGGTTAAACACTTTTATAATTATAAAGATGAACTGCTGTGCTCTTCATTTACCATCTTGAGCATGACGTCAGAGCAAAATGGCCAATGTCAGAATATGGTCAAATCAACATCATTAAATGTCTTCCAGTAGCTACTTTCTTACCTGCAGAGACTGTCTGCAGGGGTTATCCTGACTGTGGTTGACAGGAAGCTGGTAACGGATGATTGGAGGGTATACACTTGTGTCAACAGAGCCGAGGCAGTCTGAAGTGTTGTGATTTCCGTTGAGAGCCAGGTCTGTGGTATTGAAGCCGGCCCATTGAGCCGTGCACAGGTTAATCTCCAGGGTGATCACGTTCGTGCCACAGTCAACTGTCAGGTCTGAATTGACTTGAAAGAGGAATAGAGAGAGGAGTAATGTTGTTATATCGAGATTTTTTAAAAGAAATTTAAAATATCAAATCAAAAAAGATAGAGATAATAAAACATGCGTATAACATTAAGCAGAGGGGAATAAAGCATCATTCAAAGTGAAAGTAAACCTACCTGGGGTCCTCTCATACACAGAGGAGCAGTTGTAAAGACACAGTGCTGGCTGCAGGAGCACAACCAGCAGAGGGAGACAAAGAGGGAGAGTCATGCTGTCTGGAGAAGGTTCAATGTCCTGTATAAAACAGAGAAATAAATAATATCAACAATGATAAAAAAATAAAAATAAACATGAAACATTTTCATCTGAATGCAATGCACAAATTGCAAGCAACTATCTGTGGAAAAAAATATAATCTTGATTAACTTTAATATTGTTAGTTTTCATTAGCTGAAACCTCAATGTTTTTTTTCAACCAAAGCCTTATCCCTTGATGCAGGTTCACATACTAAATATCTAAATGAGACAACCTCAGGATGGTCTTACCTTAGCTGGATTGTGAGCAGGTGTCGTGCAGTGCAGCTTTTATAGTGTCAGATAGTCTGAAGACACCTAAAACCTTAGAGGTGTGACTCCCAAGTCCTCCCTTCAACTAATTATAGACCCCAATGTATACACACATGCATACACATACTTTCTCCAAGTTTCTACCATGACTCTAGACAGCAGCAGCTTTCGGCAGGGCTCAGCATCAGATGTATACAGAGCATATCAGTGTAACAGTGGGATTTGCCGTAGATCCATTGGGTTAACTGTGACTGCTGTTTGAGGTCTCTATCATCAAAATGTATTCTTGGATAAGAAGAAGCCAGGCTATATGAGAAGTTTAAATAAATTCTATATATATTGACATAATACAACAAAACATTTCTTCCAAATTTCATATTTTCAGGACATTCAGTGAAAATTACTTTCTTTTTTAAAGGTTAAGTTGCACTACAAAAAGTGACATAAAAGACACACCAAAAAGACAACCAGACGACGAACAGACATACAGACATTAACAGTTAAACCAATGTATGGATGGTGTAAGAAGTCTGGGAGTAGAGGTTTCTATTTCAGGCAACGTTATTAAAGGTCCTGTATACTTGTAAAGCTAAAAGCTAATAGTATTAATTAAAACACTGTCTTGGAAAGAGAAATTTCTGTTATTATTGTAAAATAAGAGCATTTTCAAACAGCTTCCCAATGAATTGCCTCCTTGTTCAAAACAGAAAATTTGAAAAACTCTCTAAATACAAAAGCTAACTTTCCAAGATATAAAAAATAATCCCTGAGTACAGAGTGTTATTTCAAAGATTTACACCTGGAGAATGACACACCATGCATGACTGAAAGCCGATCATGTTTGCCACAAGCTATAAAGTCTTCAGCCAACAAGGAATAACCTTTGTTAATTTCTCTTGCATGTCAACCCTCTCCTCTATTGTCTCCATAGACTTGCATTGCAGGTCTTCTCTATACATTATCTAAAGGCTACAACTGTAAGAGCTCAACTGAGAAGGCCCATTGTTCCTCAGAAATCAAGAATGAAAAGGAGCATCAGTGTTTTTACCCAAAGTGCCCATGGTGAGAGAAGATGTTTGTTACACTATCCACACATGCGTCACTCTTTTCAAATGTCTTCAGACCACGTCTGTGTCCCAGGATTACAAGTCCCACATTACCAGTTTGGAAACAGTTCTCAGGGCAATCTTCTGAACCCATAATCACATTCTCCCCTTTCGCTTTTCATGTAATCCTGCTGGCTGCGGGGTCAGAAATAATGTTTGTTCGGAGATGTCTGGAGAATAATACTCACGTGTCCATACGATGATGGATCAGGATTACCCACAGAGCACCCATGTATTACATAAACAACAGAACTGCTAATAACACAGTATATAGCATGACAGATTTTTAAAGTATATATTATGCCAGTGTAGCTCTGTTTGTGGAGCAGGTACCCCATAATACAGAGGCTACAATCCTTTAAATTAAAGCAAAGAAAAAACACAACAAAATGACAGAAACCATGTATATGAGGGGGGGCGGCAGTAGCTCAGTCCGTAGGGACTTGGGTTGGGAACCGGAGGGTTGCCGGCTCAAGTCCCAGTTGGTCTGGTAGCTGGAGAGGTGCCTGAGCACTGCTGGGGTGCCCTTGAGCAAGGCATCAACTGCTCTGGTGCGCTCCCTGCATAGCAGTGTGTAGCAGCCCCACTCTGACATCTCAGCATGTCCCTATAAATAACAGAGTGTAAACCCAAATTTCCCCTCAGGGATTAATAAAAAATAAAGGATTAATTACAAAAAAAAAATATATATATATATATATATATGACGTTTTAGGTATTTTGAAAGTTATTGGTGGGCCAACAATGTTGCTGCGTTCAATAAGCTAATTAAATATGTTGATATTGTTAAAAGCAAAAATTTCATTAATGTAAAAGGACAGTACAACCAAGAAATAAAAAAGTTTTGGCTGCATGAGTATAGATTATATAGAACCGAACACAACAGAACTCATTAACATATAACATTAGAAAACAATGCAAACAAGGCCCAGGGCAGGATACAGATTTAGTTTTGATCGAAAGAGGATACACTGGGAAGCTTTTTTGGAGACATTACTGTACTCTGTGGGGCATTCATGTACAAAAGGGCAGATAATTAGTGTAGCAAATGACTCCTCGAGGAGTAAATATACAATATCATAGGGAACTAACTGTGCAGTAAATATGTTCTAAAAATGATTTTATTGCCTGCATTTAAAAAAAATGTCTTCCTTTCACAGCAATCGATGAGTTAATTCCCTCTGATGACATAATACTGCTTGCAAATGTTGTTTTGCACTTTAAATTGCGTTTGCTGAGAAAACATCAATCAGTTGGTTTAATCCAATGACAGAAGAAACAGTTAAATCCATATGGAGCACGATTAAAAATATTATTTTTTTTCAAGTTTAACTACTGTTAAAGTAAAACTGAATTGTATTCACAAAATCTACTTTGAATATTTAAAGTAAAAGTGCTCACTGTGCAGAAAGATTTCACCTGTCACTAGTGTGCTACTATAAATGAAAATAGGGGATTGTTTAGCAATGCTGTGCAAAAAGCATTTTACTGTTGTTACCAACCTAGAGCTCAAACCCTTTCTAAAGTGATCACATGATACATTAGATTCTTCTAATAATTATTACAGAGAAGACATTAGGAAAACAGGAACACTAAAATGATGTGGACCAATTTGAGAAATGCTTTATTATGGACCACCTACATACTGTAGATGAAGAAACCTGAAACTAAATGTTTCTTTACTGGAACAATTTAAAACAAGAAAATTATCAAAACTGTAAATTTACTGATTGATTGTGTTTTATATGAATTACATACAATCCTAAAAGTGCCTGTATCTGCCAGATCAATGTATTGGAGTTAAGGAGCAATATTTTCATCTGAAATGCGAAGTACAAGTATAAAGCATCAAAAGGGGATTCCCAAAGACCATTCTTGAGTCAATATAACCTTCTGGCACTGTTTTCATTTGACTAACTCTGTTCAGAAGTGAATGCGGTTTTTGTGTCATGAGTAGTTTGGTGTCCTCTGCTGGCCAAATTTATCTGCACTTGTCGAGAAGTTAAAGCCAAGAGGCACAACTTCCTCCCCAATGAACAGACAGCATATTGACAGGCATTCTATATTTGATTCCCAGAAGAATAATCAGACATCCAGTTAGAAGAATAACAGATAATCTTAAATCAACGCAGACACATACAACTTGTTATATCCTAAAGCTACCAAATCAGGTCTTGTTCTGCACCGAACAGGAACAGAACTGTGCCCTGAAGTTGGCTTAATAGATTTTTAACAAACACATTTTGCATTATAATATAGTTTGAAGAGGTTGGATTTATTCAGTTTTGTGCAATCATGCTGTATTTTGTTTGATTGCAATGTAGTAAATGCAGGTCCAGGGTATATTTTGACACAGAGAAACTGCATGTAATGCATTGAGAGTGAAACAAACAGCCTAACAGATATTATTGAGAACCCGTTGGCTGAATGTTTGGCTCAGGTGGGATAATGGGAACATGTGTCTGCTCTTATCCTGAGGGAGAAGTCTACTGAGAGGCCCTCCCATGAGAGTAGCCTGTTAATTCATGTATTTATACAGTGGTGTTTCAAATGTTCTCTTTTTGTATTGATTTGTTGATCAAAATCCCCATTATGCCAATTTAAAAAGGCCAATTTTACAGCAAAAATAAAAATGTTGATACCAAAACCAGGTTAGGTTCCAATATCCTTTTCCACTCATGACATGTACAAGAGTTGATTTTTTGACGTATGAGGAGTATTACAGGTAGATCCTGCGGTCTGTCTGCTAGCCATCAACAACGCCAATTCAGTCACTGAACATAACCTGTTGACCCTGTCTGTATTGTTAGTGAAATGTTTCTCTTGTGCAAAATGTACAAATATTGAGGCTTTCTGTGTTGTACATAGAACTAACAGGGGTTGAGTGTTTAGCTTCAAAAAGGCTTCATTTAAAGAGGGCATATTATACCCATTTTTTACCTTTTCAAACAGTCCCCTGTGGTCTAAGTGAAACATCTGTGCTGTGCTTTGGTCAAAAATATAATATGAATCAAGCAACAGAGGAGGTTTGCTCTCAAATTGCTCTCAAATGTACAGAGTGTTTTGGTGCGTGTGTCTTTAAATGCAATGAGCCCCCTCCTGAGTTTTACTGGTAGATATCACTTCTCTGTAGCAAGAATAAAAATGGCCGACCTACGCAAAAGTTATGTTCTAGGCTGGAGGTGGAGAGTTTTTTTTTAACCAGAATCCAACTTGTGACATCACAAGTTGAGCAGATTTGAAACTGAGCATTTTTCTCGGTGTTGTAAGACTTATGCAGACTACAAACAAAGGACTGGATGGATTTTTTTTCATTTTGTGTGTAGACTCTCCGGTTACCCAAATACATGTTTAAAAACACTGTAAAAGTGGATTTTTCATAATATGTCCCCTTTAAGTCGTTGAAAAACCAGTGGATGATGTCACGGAGGTTACGTGCATTTTTGATACAGTCTATGGTTGTTGTCTTGTAAGTCTGGAACCTTTTGCAGCACCAAATTCACATCACACATGCACATGCATCATTGAAAGTGTTAAATCACCATACAAAACTTGTATAAGTCAACATGAATGTCCTGCTGGAAAATTAGTCAAACATTCCTGTTCTGTACAAATAATCTCTCTGTGTTGACCGTTGCTGAGCAATAAACACACTCATTATGATGTCTGAAAAGCTCAACGTTGGCTATGTGTTTGCTAAACTCAGTCACAGCTCTTCATCACATTAAAGCATGTGCATGCTTCAACTAATAATCAAATGACCTGAAGACCAAAACAAGGAAAAAAACATCCCAGGTCACACATAAGAAGCTTGTAGAGGCCCAGTCTGACAACAAGGATCCCACATGACAGACACATGTGTGTTACCAGCAGAGAGAGGCAGATAGAGATGGGCTGAAGCCAGGAAGTAAACAACAGAGCTACACACAGGAAAACAGCCTGTGATTGTTCGACCTCTCCATGAAGAGGAACTGCTGATTATGACTCTGCTACCAAGGTCATCTGGTGATGGATGTTGTTGAAAGATAAACTGCAGGCTGTAGTTTGATCTCTATGTGTGTGTGTGTCTTTATGTATTGTTATATAAGATTCATCTAAAATTAAATCCTCATCTGTGTGTATCTTCACCATGTACTGTCCACTAGGTTTCAGAATTAAGTTTAACAACACAGACTGCAGATAACTGGCTGCAATAAACAAGTTATGGAAGACCTGAGAGACCTAAAAAGAGGACAGCAGGGACGCCACCAGGAATACTGGGCCCTATGAATTACTATTACCACACCTCCATTACACTTTTTTAAAAGTTTTATGTCTGGGGAATTTTTGCCTTTGTTAGATTTAACAGCTGGAGAGAGACAGTAAATGTTGGGAGGAGAGAGTGGGGGATGACATGCAGCAAAGAAGCGAGGACGGATTCGAACCTACAGCCGGTGCGACTCGGACTATAGCCTCTGTATCCACTAGGCTATTCAGCGCCTCCTCCATTACGCTTTTAACCCATTCAAAGCTTTTTAAGAACTAAAAGTTTGTGTTGAGCCATGAACATTGTGGATCAATAACCATAAGAGAGAAGAACACACAAGATTTCCTCAGCAACACCTGAAGTCTTTTTTACGAACAAATATTTCACACATCAGCTTTTATAGAGAAAGGTATAGAGAAGTACGCTCTACTTCAGTTGCAAAACATAAAAGAATGCTTTATACTCTCTGATCAACTTGATCATAATATAATTATTATGACTAGTAGTAGTAGCGGTGGTATGTCGTAGTTCAAAGTGAGGTCCATTTGTTTGGTTTTGGCTTTAAAACATAGCACAAAGGTAAAGATAAATGTGGCCCACTCCATCAGATGCAATGTTTAATAATGGTCTGAGAACCAGCAGGCTTATTCAGTCTTTGGTACACCGGGCAGGCTCTTAATCATGGGATGACCTTTGTGGAAGGGATCACTTTGAGTTTGAAATAATCAATTTTTGCATATATATATATATATATATATATATATATATATATATAATGAAATTGCAATGGATAGTGGAGGACAATTGGACTGTCTTTCTGGAACAGGCACGTACTTCATCTTGTGTAAGGTGGATGCAATGCATAATGAGAGTAATGATCAGGCCATGACGTTATGATGTTTTGGCTGGGGTCCGAATCAAATCAATGGCCATTTATATTGTCTTGATAAAGCAAAAGGCTAACAGTATAGTTATGAGTATTTTTCTACTCAAATCCCACAATATGAGGGCCAGACTTATATGATCACAGCTAAAATGTCTGTCATGACTACAGAGGTGCAGTGTGATGCATTGATTGATTTTAGCTTGAATCAGTTGCAAAGACATCAACAGTGCATTCTGACATGGCATGTCCGACTACTGAATTACTGGCATCCTACACTACACTAAAGCAGGTCCTCATTTAATGTGTCAGCCTCTCAGTCTGTCAGTGAAAGTTGCAGGTCGATGAATAAGACCTTAAGTGTGAAATGATTTATTTTTGTTGCATACCAAACACATATGCTCCAGACTTTCACAATCATTCATATTCTGGAAACGATGCAGCAATGCCTGGGCACCAAAACACAGCAATGGTTAGGAAGTGTGGAAAAAAATCCTTTCCTCTTCCTCCTCTGCAAGCCTTCCTGTTCCATTGGCCTCTCTCTCTCTCTCTCTCTCTCACTCTTTCCTAATTGTGTCTCTCACGTCTCTATCTCTCTTTTCGCCCTTGCAATGTGTCCATTTGCTCAATGTTTTCAGTGTGCTCTGAGTTTGTTTCCTTCGAAATGCTTGAAGCTTTATCTCTTTACTGGATATTTGGATGTTTTGTTTTAGTTGTTGTTATCATCAGCAGCCACATGAGTCATGTGTATTTCATAAACTTCATATCACACCAGATCAGCATGTTCTCTGACAGAGAAAAGGAAAAACTCAGTCGTACTTTCAACACAGACCATTTAAGTTTTTGGAGTCAACCTTGAGTCTGTTTCTGTTTTCTCGCTTCATTTTCTCCTCAGAGCTGTTTGTCCCAAGACACCACTCAATCACTCTGTGTGTGTGTGTGTGTGTGTGTGTGTGTGTGTGTGTGTGTGTGTGTGTGTGTGTGTGAGAGAGAGTGAGAGAGAGAGAGAGAGAGAGAGCGAGAGAGAGCTACTCATTCTTTAATAAAGAAAGCATGATAGCCAAATGTCTGCACAAAGACTCCATTCAAGCCATTATAATGGCATTACTATGTGGAATTGGATTTTGCTAAATTGGAGGAAAATAAGTAGAATGAAGAGACAAATTGCTCAAATTCATAAATTCATACCTCAGTTGTTTGGTTTTAGATGTAGAGAAGAAAGAGACCATTGGAAGGCAACAATACTCTGACTTTTTAAAGAAAAAATCTTGGACTGCCTCACTTTTTCATCCCTCAGACAGACGCCATATGCACGCCTTCCGAAGTCGACCCACTTTTGACTGGACAGACTCTGCTCCTCTATCATTTGTCTGTGTTTATCTTCGGGTTAAAAAAAAACAAAAAAAACTTTTCTATCTTGAAGACAGTAGTTAAGACTTGATGAAGGGGAAATCTTCATGCACACTCGGGTGAACATGTAGATATGGATTGTATGACGCTGTTTGGCACTTTAATCGCCGTTTTCTTCCACCCTGGATCCGCTTCTGATATAATTGGTAAGAGCTTCGACAGAAAGAAAACTCCCTTTTTAAACTTATTTGAGAGCTTGTAACCTTATGTAAGCTATTTTATTTCGAAATTTTAGACTTCGACTTTCTCTGGTTTTACGCAGAAGTTTTTTTTTGTTTTGTTTTTTAAGTTCGCAGTGCTCGCTTGAGATGTGTTTAAATGCAGGTTTTCGCATTCATGTTTACTTAAGTAGTTAATGTAATGAGGTGAATACTACAGTAGCCCTTAAACACGGTAACCAGACGCCTAAAGTAAAGGCTTACAATAAAATAGTGGCATTATGGCGATAATCAAGCTGCATTCAAACGCAGCAGAGCAGCACGTGACGTGGTCTGCTTCTCAGACCTCTAACATGAAGGAAACTGCTGTTATTGTTGTGCGTACATTCTGCAATATCACAATCTAAAAACCGCATAACGAAGGGCTAACAGTAGCCTTTTTTAATAATTGTACATAGTTAAATCAAAAGCTAAAATAGAATTGTGAAGTCGGAAACATATCTTGTTTTGAATATCCTTAGCTACTGGGTAAAGTAGTAATTTTGCTTATATTTCATAGGAATATTCCATTTAACCACTGTCATCAATGCTTTTATGACTGACACTGAAAAATCATAGTTTACACCAGCAAATAGGAAATTATGTGCATGCATACCTATTTTTTTTTTTTTTTTTTTTTTTTACAGAATCCACTTTTCTTAATGCAACAGGACAAAAATAAAAACACAGTTATGTCAAATAAAATAGTTTAAGAGTTTTAGGATCAGGATGTTTATTCTAACCACTTGGCAGAGTAGTAGGAATTCTCTCGCAAAGTGATCCAACCCTTAAAACGATGGTTCCCAGAACCTCCATCACACTGTAAGATCTTTGAAATCTTCTTGTCATGTGGGTGCTACAGGGAGTCTCCAGAAAAATAAAATTGTATCTTCTTGTTACTTTCCTGGTGATGACTTCGTTGTCCAGCCCAAAGGATCTGTCGACACGGCACACAGCGCCCATGCTACAAGGTGTCCTACATCCAGGACAGCAGGCGGAGGCTGACCTTTGAGGATGCCAGGAAGGCCTGCAGGCTGGATGGCGGCGATCTGCTCAGCATTGAATCGGAGAGTGAGCAGCAGCTTATGGAGAGGTTCATACAAAGGCTGCAGGCCGGAGATGGTGACTTCTGGATCGGACTCCGCCGCAGCTCGCAGCGCTACAGGGCAGGGACCAAAAGCCCAGGTTGCCCCTCGCAGTACTACTGGCTGGATGGAAGCAGGGCCAAGTTCAGGTCTTTCCCCTTCATTTATTTTTAAACAAATACATCAATGAAAATAGTGTGAGGGGTTACAAAAATGATCAGTGGCTATAGGCTGTTGTCAGCTGACTTCAATAAAATTACTGGATTCAAAATTGCCGTGTGGAAATGATGGAATGTCTCAGTCCATAGCAAGTATTTTGTAAAGAGAAATACCAATATAGTGTAAAACTGTGCCTCTGTTTGCTTCAGGAACTGGCATTGGGACGAGCCATCATGCGGTACTGAAATGTGTGCAGTCCTGTACCACCAGCCCTCTGCACCACCTGACGAAGAAGGTCATTTCCTGTTTCAGTGGAATGACGACAACTGCAACTCCAAGAACAACTTTGTCTGCAAATACTCAGAAGGTGAGCCAGTGGATCTCATATGCTGTGCTGTATACTGGGAAATTGTTCAGCATTTAGAGCTCTTGATTTAATTTGACCTTGGTTCCCAAAATAGGGGTCGGTGCCCCATGGAGGGTCACAAGCCCCCAAAAGGGGGGTTGCAAGAAGCCTTCCCCCCAAAAGCCTGAATATAAATGTAAATGATTGAAAACAGTATATTTATTTCATTATTGTCAAAATATATACATGTATATTTAAATGAAACCACATCATAAAGTGAAATGAAAATTAAATGAATATGTAAAAGTATTTAAAATGTTAGTTTGCACATGACAGTAACAGTCTAGCTGTCTGCTGCTCTTCACACATAAAGATGAACACACCTGTGTGTCTATTTATGAAGTTTTGTACATCTACTCAGTGCTACAGTCTATTCGTGGAAGTGCTTTAGGTCTTTCTTACAATAAAACACTATATGATATCATTTGTATTGTTTTTAGTCTATTGTATTATTTTGTGTTGCTAGTGTTAAAATAGGTCTATCAGTACGAGGGTGTGGCTGTGCGCTGTTAGAAAGCCCCAACCACCTCAAGGGACAGTGGGGGTCTCTTGTCTCTTGCCCCCTTATTTTTTTCAATTGCGATCTGAAAAGTTTGGGAACCACTGACCCAGCTCATCACTTTTCTGTATCTTTTGCAGACAAAGTGGCAGTATTTACTGAGGAAGAGAACACCACACATGCAGGTACAACTCATGACCACTCCCACATTATGTCTTTGTATGATGTGTTTTAGGGAACAAGAGGCCAAAGTGCTACATTCCTACTCACCCGAAATACTTTTAATTTTAAGTTTGTTGTTGTCCTTTGTGTAAATATAATGTTCTCCAAGCCAAAACGTATCAATATTTGGGATAAGTTGTTTAATCCATTGGTCATATGCTGTATAGCACAGTATATGTATGCTGTCATGTAAACATCTCACTGTTCCAATTAAAGATAGATGTTATTCAGGATTAAACCTTGTTATAGGAATTTGATCAACAGATATGCAAAAACTTATTTAACACTTTTAATCTCATACCGTCTTCAAATCTTCATATCGGCAACCTTTGCTGAAACTGCCTTTGATAACACGATCTAACAACAAGGACTTAAAACAAGGGAAATTGAAACAGTCAGTCACATTACCTGACATATATTAATCCATAATACTTCTAAAAGCTCATATCATTCAATACATTTTTTATAATTGTTTGTTTGGGTAAAATATGTTTAAAACTATGGTTGCTGTATACAAAAAAATGTTTGCATTATCTTTTTTCCTGTCACATTTATCTGATGATCTTTATGTTTTCTAATTGCTTCAGCTCCATCTTTGAGGCCAAACATACACTCAACTACAGAAAGTGATGACAAGCTAAAGATAGGACTCCCGGAGTCATCAGGTAAGAGAGAAGAAGAAAAAACTAACATACTGTGTTCATGATTCTAAGAGTTAATACCACTTGTGTGTTTTTATATGTAAAACAACTACTTTAAACAAAATGATGTGAAATAATATTCTTTCTTTTGATGTGTAAATGAATTTGATTTATTTTCTTTGGCAGTGTCTATCTCAGACAACACCCTGTATGTTTCCTACATCCTTTATGCAACTATTCCTGCTCTAGTGCTGCTGCTGATTGCAGCTGTGGGTTTGTTCTGCTACAAACAGCATGCTAAGAGGTAAAAAACATTATGTTTCAAGATACACAGTATGCATTTTTTGTAGAACCTACATTTATGAAATATTATTTATGAATATCACACATAATTCAGCTATTTTCTAAGTATAAACTGAGTTTTTGCTCATGGGAAAGGAAGAAAGTAAGGTTGTTACTTCAACTAGATTGTGCTCTTTAATCTTGTTTTGTGTTTTTATATTCAGGAAGAAGACAGACACAGAAAGCTACCCAGGCAGATCAAAACCATGGATATCAACATCAACACCATCACCTTGCCCTATACAAGGACCATATGCTTTCAGTGACATTACCAAACTGCCTCACACTGCTCTGGACAGCAGCTTGTCCGCAGACATCATAAAAAAGTACAACCTTGCTCTGGCTCAGGACTGCCATTTTGATGATTATGAGAATGTGTCATGCACACACAGGGAGAGCGGCTTTGTGACCAATGACATCTATGAGACCTGCAAAGCTCAGACTGGGTGGGTGGAAAATGACATCTATGGATAATGTTCACGCCCATCTGGTCCCTGTGAGCGTCCTTTAATCTCACACCAGCTAATAAGTATAATCAGGCTAGACAGAGGAGCAGACTGTTTTTCCATCCCTTATACCTGGCTGGTTACTTGGGTGGCTTTGTTGTTCTGGACACTTGTTATATCTATCCAGTGCTGCATTTAGCATTTATGCTGCCATCAGATTAATATAAAAACTGGGCTCCTCAACTTCTTACCATCTATGGCTCCATATTAAGGAGAACTTCCCACAAAAGTCTATGCATGGCACGCCTTTGGGTACAAGAGTACTACATGGTTTAAATAAAAATTGCAATATCTTTTTTTTTTAAAGGAAATATTCCCACTGCATTGTAGTCCTGCAAGCCTGAAATTATACAAAAAAAAGTACTTGGAGCAAAATGTTGGCCATTCACAATATCATCTTGTAAACATAATAACAGTTATTATGGGAACTTTGTTGTTTTTGGTTTCTAGTCTACAAAAGCAGTTAGCTCCAAACACAAAGATTGATGGTGATTTCATTGTTTTGGTTATAAATTATAAATGGAAGCACTTAACAGATACGTAATATTGACCATATTCACCTTGTAGGTTTAGTTAGTTTAGCATGATGCTAATCAGCACGTAAATCAAAGTTTCCTTTAGCTAAGGCTAATGGTAATATCAGTGGTGTTTGGTTTTAAGTTATAAATCAATGTACTAAACACATGAAAATACAGATTGTAATTAATTGTAATCAAAAACATGACGTTTATGTTCCCAACAGTTCATAATATACTTTCTGGTACAGCTAACTTACAACCAATAATGTAAACCTAGTGGTGGCGCAAGACAGAGATAGTGACAACTTATGTAACTTTCCAGCTAGACTGAGGGTTGGGCATCAAAGAGGCTTTAATGAGCTCAAAAAGTAGAAATGACTCGAGTCAGCAGTGCTGGTATATATTTGCCATTGTAGATTGTCACCATATGAGACACAAGGACTATAAAGATCCTGTTGGGTCCTTCAGATGAGCTTTCCGATCCGAGGACTTTACTGACCCTTTCACAAAACATGGGGAGTGTTGTCAGCCCTGTGAAGGACTTCCTGTTTGGACTCTGATGTCAGGGAACAGGACAGGACATGCGAAAACACTGATGACAGAACTCTTGACGCTGACCCCACGAAACCTCAAAGCTGTGGGCTTTACCGAGTCCACCTCATTGTGTGCGATACTCAACCCTCCCACTGATCTTTGTAGGGGTTTGGAAAGTATCATGGACTCATCCGTCAGTGTTTGCTTATAAAAGAATATTCCGGCATTGTATATTTGTGAAAAGCACAGATATAGAGTATTGAACAAAACAGGCCTGTGTTATTTCTGAATGTCTACTGAGTGGGCTGTTAGGTTTGTGTTTTGGAAAGTTGTAACAAGCCCAGTAAGGAGAGGCTGAGTGTGTTCTTGGAGAATGTGAGACAGGAAATGCCAAAAGCACATCTGGAACTCTTACATTCAGGAAGTCAATGCGTGACAGTATAGAGGCCTTCGTAGCACTGCTCTGCCTGCCTGCTCAATAATCCACTGCTATGTGTTTGACTGTCAATGCTTGAGAGAATGACTGCTGGGTGTGAACGTGAATTGTCACTCAAACGTGACGTGGTTTGTGGGTGTCAAATAAACTTTGCTTACAGGATACTGCATTTGCATTCCTTCTTGAAGAATTATACAGTGATATTGAAATAGTATTCAATTTGTACACATGTTTAGCGTAAGTGTGTTTGTGTGTCACATTTCATGTGAACGTAGTAACTGCTTCTAAAAAAACAAATAGGACTAAAACATTTTTAAAAAGCCTTGCTTTAAGATACTGTTTGTTTTTTACCAGCAGATGGTGCTGTTATGTAGCTGACCAAAATGTCTTTGTGGCTGATATCATTTCAAGAACATTTGAAGTCCTACATTTTACATTTAATAAAATGTTATATAGGCCTACTAAATACAGGCTACTTTATACTAGCCTATAAACCTTTATACTATATTTGTGATGCGCATTGCACATTTTTGTCTAAATCTTAAAACGTAATTTTACTGTGTAATGTATGTATTTTGTCCTATTTGTAATTAAAATGTGGCATTTTTTATGTTTAAACGTGAGATTTTTTTTTTTTTATAGCTATTAATAATTGGAAAAGATAAGAGCGACTAAAGAGGGGAGTTTCAGGCCGATGTAGAATACATTTAACCCTGCTTTCTGCAGCTGACAGAAGCTTGTTAAACACCTGCAGGGCGAAGACTTCAAAGTTACCTATGCGTGCAATCAAGAAGGGCAGGCGAGCAAACAGATTTCGGAATAGCAATTTTACCGGTTGACGTAAGAGGTGGGTCTCGTTGTCCTGGCAACCAATTGGCACTGAAGTGTGGAGCGGCTCCGTAGCCCCGCCCCCTGTACAAATACCCCCATGGCTTTGACGTCAATACACGTCAACCAGAGAACATGATGCCTCTTTGCAAGTCAACTCGTGTGCTCTGTAGCTGATAGAGGTACCTCGGGCTGAAATAATATACCTCTATTGTACTGGAGAACGTGGTGTGTGACAGCCCCCCCCCGGGTTCAGCAAATGGCATTCTGCTTCGTATCGCAACACTGACAGGAGAATGTCTCCACATTGGCGTTAAAGCTGGCAGGGCGACACAGAAATCAACTTTGTCTATTTTTAATGGACACGGCAGAAGCGGCGGTGGTGGCGGCGGCGGCGGCGGCGGCGGCGGCATCGGCGGGCGGTTTGTTTTCCTTTCGTCTTTATCTGTAGCTGCCCGGGTGAGCCCCCCGTGTGTCCCCCTGCTCCGTCTGGTTCCCTCCTACTCTTCCACTAAACAGTCCCAGTCTGCACAGCATGGTCATGGCTGACAGTGTCCAGAAACCGCAGATCCGGGGTCCGGTCCGAGTAGGCTTTTACGACATCGAGCGCACTTTAGGAAAGGGCAATTTCGCTGTCGTGAAGCTGGCTCGACATCGTATAACCAAGACCGAGGTGAGTGTGTCTGTGAACTAGTTAGCCTGGAAGCTAACTTGGGCTACTGTTCAGCTGAGTTACATAACTTTTTATGCACTAGTTGACACCCCAGATATTCACACCATTACCGTAATGTTGTCCACATCGAGCTCTAATAGAAACTTGGATCAGGAACTGTCCCGACACTATTGCTGCTCCAATGTGGAGCAACGACTGTCTGGTGTGTTTGAATCCTGCAGGTTACAGGAGCAATGACTGACTGCACGTTACCCCCATTGGCCAACATCACTGCCAGTAAGAGGTCTGACCAGCAGCGCTGCTTTTTGCTGGGGACACATAAACTGTGAACACATTTATTTCCTACACCAGGACAGGATTAGACACCTGTACTAGTTTCGGTGATTGTGACCCAGACAGTGCCAGTGTGCTAAACTCAAAAATCTGGCTGCTGTAAACAGCCCCATGTTGCTGATTCTGGGGCATGCAGCATGGGTCGGTGGTCTTGTTATGTAATCCAAATAATGATGTGATTTAGTGGTTTTTGTAGTGCCAAGAGCTTTGTGAGGAGCAGGAAGTGTCAGCCAGATCTCTGTAATTGGAAAGCAAAGTGTTCCTCACGCACGCATGCATGCAGACAGAAACCCACTGACACCACTGTGGGGTTTGTGCCTAGTTTGGAGATGGTTTGGTATTACAAACACTAGTGCATCATACTCTCAGGCGATGCAGCATGACCACAGTACTTTATGTCAGCGCCTCACATTGAGGTCTTTCTTGAACAGTACCACTGCGTGCCATGGCTTTCTATTGTAACCACAGACACAGGGATTCAATGTGAAAGTGTGCAGTCTGTGTCTGTGTGTGTGCGTGTGTGAATAAGCTGTGTTGTGTGACACAGAAGCAGAGATAGAAGAAATAGGCCCGGGAAACTTGTGAAAGTACACTTTGATCTTTGAGCTTCCAACTCTGTGTCGTTGAACGTGCAGAAAAGCAGATTTGCATCATCCAGACAGAGGCCCGTGGGAGGCTTAATGAATAACACGAGAAGAAAATGGATGTTAAAACTCTTATCATGGTAATCCAGTTATTGTCTGTGAAGAGGGGAAGGGTTAATCTGGTCAGGTTATCTGCCACCATGTATTGTTAACCTCATGTGAATGCATGCTCTAACTTCAGTAGCCGATGTGATATTGGGGTTGACTGAATACCTGCATGTGTTCGCTGGTTTTCAGGCCACTGGTTTGGTACAGAGAGGCCACTGCAGCTGCTTGGCTAAGCCAAAGCCAGAACTGGGCTGTTTGTTAGAGCAGCCAAGGTCAGCTGGAGAGGCCGGCGGCTATCAACTTTGTGTGATGCCATCTGCCTTGAGGATTTGCCAGGGCAAAGGAGATGTTAGCCTGGAGCATGTGTGTAAAGAAAAAACAGAGTTTAATGACACATGAAACAGCAGATAAGATGCATTCCAGTTCAGGTTTTTTTTTGCATATTTCTAGATAGGTTTACAAATGTATGCATAGACAATTTTTTCCCCCACTTATTTCCCTGTCTATGACACTGACCCATGCATCCCAGTATGTACGCTGCAGCTTGTGGGTTCACACTGTACTGGCCCATTTCCATGTGGATCTGTCTGTTCAGCCTGTTGTGCAAGGTCCATCTCTGATCATGGCATAACCCCGTTTTTTCTGCAATCATTACTCTGTGTTAGCTACATTCCCTTGCAACCCATTGTCCTTAAATGACCTTGTGCCCAGAGAGATCACAAAAAATCTTGTTGTGCGTGTGTGTGTGTGATATTGTGGACAATGTAATCAGTTATCTCCCATCTTTCCTGATAAGTACCTGTAATCCCTGACAGTTATTTTAAATTCTATGCCCCAGGGTCCTCGACTTTTAGCAGGAGTGCCATTAAAAGATTTGGATTTCTTCATAGGGTTTATCGCCAAGTTGCACACCTGTCTGTACTGTAGGTAGGGAGTTAATAACAGAGTGTTCAACATATCAAAACAACCATTACTACACATTTGTATCTTAAGTGCTAACTTTAAATATGCTTTAGAGGATCAAGACTAGTGTCAGCGGGATGGAGGTATCAGCCAGCCTTATATGTGGCTGTGTTTAGACTGACACGAGTACAGCATGAAACAACAACACATCCTTATTATTTACTTCAATAATACTATATCGACATATCAGAGGCACTAACAAAAAATGCAAGGTCATTTAGCTGAATATGTCACACCTGGCTCCAAGTTTCAACACAGTGAGACGTCAGCTAGCCAGTCAAGAATATGTCTTCTTACATTCCAGGTAAAATGCTATGTTATGTAATCAGGGTGATTTTGATGCTTTATCTGATGAACATAAAGATGGACAATAAAATGATCCTCAATGTGACAAGTTTTCTGCTGAAAATTCTACGTCAGTCTGTCCTCTGACGACGATGTATCCCATCTGATTTTTCACTTACGGATTTTGTTTTTTCACATACGGCTTCCTGGATCTTGTTTCTATGATCTTACCAGCAGTTAACAATTGTTCTTATACTTGTTTGGTGTAGTAGCTCAATTTCCTCATTTGGGAAAAATATGATCACAGTTTCCAAAATATGCGAACTTGACTGTTTCAAAGAGCTTATTTTGAGCCACCAACTGTTCAAAAAACTACAAATATTAAGCTTAGTTTCATACATCTGTTAATGATACAACTAATAATTCTGCATTAGTGTCATCTGGAGCTATAATTTAACTGCTTTTAAAATGTTAGACATGTATTCAGTCTGAATGCTCAATAAAAGTAGCAGAACTTCATCCAACAGAGACACACGGGTTCTTTTGTTTACTCCTTTAGCTTGGCTATAAGACTAATGAAAGACTTAAGATAACACTGAAGAAATGTTGTTTATGAGATAGTGTGAAGGAGAGATGTTTATATTGCCTTGTTACCTAACGGACATCATTAATCAAGCCAAGGGTGTTGAAGTTGTGAGTGTGCAGTTCAGTATGTGTCATTGTGGGTGTGTATCTAGCCAGGGCTGTGTTTGCCTCTGCTGTAACTTCATGGGATATGTCACCATTGGTCCCGTTTTAAGAGTGTTTATTAAAGCTCAAGTACAAAATGTATTTTAGCTTCTATCGTTGCGTCTCAGAAACAGATCTCTGTGCTCACAGCTGCGAGAACACTCTGTCCCCTTTTAAATTCCTCTCTGTACAAGGGATTATGTGAATGTAGGGGGTGTTTCCTTTTGCCAATCAAGCCTGATGAGCTCACTGATTACAGTTGCATTGTTGTTAATGCTCCGTAATTCTGCAGGTGGCCATCAAGATCATCGATAAGACCCAGCTGGATGCTGTCAACCTGGAGAAGATCTACAGGGAGGTTCAGATCATGAAAATGCTCGACCACCCCCACATCATCAAGCTCTACCAGGTGAGCCTCAGCACCTGTTATGTACAGTACTGTCATTTTATGTATTTTTAGTGCATAGCATGCAAGATGTGGACAAAAACGATAACCTCCTTTTCAGATGCAGCTTTTCACATGTGCTTTCCTTTAGTGAAATAAGGACTAAACATTTTTAGGGCCAGACCACCGACCTTGGAGCGCGGACCCTATTTGAATGCAATTAATTATTATTCGTTCTCACTTTCCGCCAAAGGAAACGCAATTTTTGGGGCCCGAATACTCACCAAATTTGGCATGGCATCAGTGGCAAAAGGAGATTATTGATATGGATTTTGTTGGTGGGCTTTATTTATTTCTGTTTTTGATGCTGTGGTTTTACTTTTCTTTGACCCTTTGAATCTTGACTGCCTGCAGTCTGTCACTGTGAGCATTACCACCATAATGTTTTAATCCAGTTATACATACATAACATTGGAATGCTGTATTAACAAATGTACACTGTTGATAAGTGATTAGCACCGTTGCTTCACAGCAAGAAGAGCCTGGCTTTGAATTCTGGGTGGGGCGGGGCCTTTCTGGGTTTTCCGAACAGATGCCTGGTCTCTACTAGGTGCTCTGGATTTACCCACTATCTAAAACATGTTTGTTCAGTTAATTCTCCTGTTATAGCCTCAAGGCACTGCCTTAGACTGACCGAGTGCTGCGACTTTACTTCTAAAAACATGCAGGGGGTTAAATGCAGAGAATGAATTTCCCCATCCCCAACAATAAGGAATAACTAAACTGTGACCACACTGCCACATATTTGTGAATATTTGTAAAATCTGTTACAGCCAGTTAAACACACCACAACAGAGTTCAGACTTGCTCTAATAATAGGTGTAATGCAGGTTAAACAGAAAAAAATAGATTTTCTAAGTGAAGCTGAATCCAAAGCGAAGTCAGGAACCAATAAGTTGTGCTTTGGGAGCATTAAAGCAAAAGTAAACAGTAAATTGTCCAAGCAAGATCATGAACGGCTTACACAGGAAGAGACTTCCATCCAGCAGGATGCCTCTCACTCACAAGACTCCAAACAACCCAACCCACATTATATTTCATTTGTTAATTCCTTTAAGCGCGAACCACAGCATAAGATCATTTCCATACAGGTGAAGCCCTATCAGAATAAGGATTATTAACTCACACCATCTGACATCTGAATCTCCCCCCAAAAAATGTGACCCTCTCCCACTCATTGAGTTCTTTATCCGACCTTGACCCCGTGACACCAAACAACTCCCTAAAGACTCCACTAACATCTGAGTGCAGAATAAGACGCGACGACCCAGAGGTTACCTCTGTCTTCTTGCCCTCCTTACCACCTCTGACAGGGTTTACTCCGAGTGCTTTGGTTTCCCCTTCAATCAAACATTAGACACTCTAAATTGTTTTAAACCAATCAATCAATAAATAAATCAATAAATCAATTTGTACATCAATAAATGTGATGCTCAAGTTTATTGTGTTGACCCTGTCCTACATGTATCAGTAACTGTCACTGACTGAGACTCTTTTTTGTGAAAATATACTAGCAGCCATCTAATCAAGTGAGAGGTTCAGCATGGGGTTGGGAAGTTTTTAAAGGGGACATATTGTGACAGACCGTGTTGTGTTAAAAATCCACCCTGTAATTAACGGGCAGCCAATGGAGGGAGGAAAGGATTGGGGTAATGTGGGACCTGCGGTTTGTCTGGCCATTGAGGACTGACTAAGGCAAGTTAGGGGGTTAGGGTATAGTTCAAACGTGAAAAGACAAAGGCATGAAAAAGCTTCTCTAGATGAAGGAAAGACCGGGTTGATTTAATTTTACTAATGTTTCTTAGGTGGCAGTAGCAGGATTTAAATTAGATTATTGATATGCGGAATGACGTTAAGCTGTGATTCAAATGTAATACCTAGAGTTCTACCTGTAATATAATATTTCCTAACCGCAAAATATTAATTAGTGGCCATGAATTACTTATTTGAAGCCACAAAATAATAATTTGTCGGCGTTGCGTCATAGTGCAAACGCATAGATTTTAAACCCCGCTGCCAGCGCTTACAAGCTGTCATGTCCCATATCGATTAATAACTGTCAATTGACAAATACATTTATATTAATAAACTGATCAGTGAATTGTTGTCCGATTTTAAAAGACTGGACGAAAGATCCAACTAAACGGCCCGAAGTTTCGTTCCCAGATGTCTTTTGCTACCTGGTTGAATCAGATAAGCCGGTAGAGACCATATCACATTTGATTAGAGATATGATGAATTACACCTGACATAATATACTTCTACTTTGTACTTCTTAACTTCAGTCTCAAGACAAAAGTTAAGAAGATTTCATATTCCTGAAAAAAGTTCACATTTACTTTCTTAACTTTCTTCTTAAGTTTTTAAAACTTTAAATGATATACTTGAAATCAAAGTTCTTCAATTTCGTCCTAATTTTCTTCTTAACTTTAGGATCACACTACACTTGTCCTAAAATTGTTAAGAGTGGAAAGATAAGCCTCTAAATTCATTCATTTAAACACATTTTAGACAATCGATTTGGATTTTCAGTTTTGCTAAACTTGTCATAACATTTATTGTTCATTTCAGCCACTTGTGTTTTTGGTGTAAGTTAAATGTCTCTAGTACTGCTGAAAATAAGCTAGCACATTTGACAGTTAATTTTAATCTAATTTGACTTTACCCAAAGAAACTAACTAATGTTAAAATGTTTTCCTTTACTCAAAGTTATTTATTTAAGTAAATCATAAATGTGGTTGTCTAAAAACAAATCCCCATTTGTTTTCTACAGCAATAATGTTGACAAACATGCTTATTATAATATATTGAAATAACATTTCAGTCCTTTAGACTATACACTCAATGTATAGGAATAGGCCTATTATATAGGGATATATGCCTGCCTGCAGCATCTGAGAAGTTCATAAGCAAGAAAATAAAGAAGTTATTAAGAAAACAATCAGGAATTACACTGAAGAACATTCTTAAGAATCTTTATAACTCTTTTCTTAAGAGCTCTTAAGTTTTATCTTAAGAAAATGTTTGTGAATCCGGCCCCTGAGTGTCTACAGACCCACAAAATGTGAAATAAACCCATCCAGGCCTTTCTTTGTGGTCTGCATAGGTCTTACAACACAAAGAGAAATGCTCCGTTTCAAATCTGCTCTCAGTGGCCCTCTTTTGTTTGACAATGTATTACATGACAGAGATCTGGCTTCAGTTATTTATTTCCCCAACAGCACTTGTACTCAGCAAGGAGTCTGGAGCCAGAAATCCTGAACACATCAGGTGCTGTACTTTATATAATACAGTAGTTCATGTATTATCTCCGCTGTATTGAATTGATTGTAGTGATTATTACCAGCTCAGAGGGACTTTCACTGCTAAGCAGCTTCAGTAATGTGATGCAAGTGTTATAGTTTTAGCGAGATCTGAAACTTAGTATGAAGATGCTGTTGAACCTTTTTCATAAAATAATCATTTTTGATAATTTATTCAATCATGACAAATTCTGATTTAAGTTACAATTTTCCTTATTTATTCTGGTAGAATCATTTTGTAGCTGCTTAGGGTTAGGCTCAGATCTGGAAAGATGTGGCTTTGTGTGATAAATGGTTGTACTGTTAGAAAAAACTGCTTTATTTCTTAAAGAAGGCAACATAAATGTAGTGTAAGTACGTATCATCGCATAGCAAGGGGACAGCAAAAATCTGACAGTAACATCACATAGATGTTAGTTTGTGTGTGCGGTAAAACTATCTTAATTTATAAAAACAAAAGCCAGAAACAAACTGTGTTTTTGTATAAATAGAGGTATAAAATGTGTCAAAAAGGACACTTCACTGCTTGACAGACGTTTATTTAAGAAATCTGCAAAGGTGAATAACACACATGAAGCTAGTTAGCATGTAGCTGCTGGATTCCTTCACAGCAACAAACAACAGAACATCCATCATAAACTGAAAATAGAGCTCCCTCATAGTGGATCATTTATTTTGTCAACCTCAGGTGTAACTAATAACATTAAAAATACCTGCATTTCAGTCCACTGTACCAGTGCCAGAGTCCTGCTCTTATGCAACATGCTGCTTTACTGGCTTGCCTGAATGAGACCAATCAATCATTAATATCATTTATTACACCTTTGCTTTTCCTGCTGTGAAAAATCAAATTGTGTTCAATGAAGGTGTTTTTCCCAGATTAGAAGCATCAATGTCTCGCTATGCTCTTGTTTGAATTGAACCGTACTGAATGAATACCTATAAATGGACTTACTTCATTAATTCATCCAGAACCATGAAACAGATAGGACATTATCTGTTTGTTACACAACCATCAAAGCAAAAGCAACAAATACTGGCTTCCACTTCCTAAATCTGTGAATCGGTCAGTGTAACAGATGGAAAATTGATCACAAACAATAAGTGTGGGATTTCTAGTGTGAATGTCTGGCTCACTGTGTCTGATTCATCCTCCCCTCTCCATCTGACTCTCTCCTCCGCATTTATTTCTATTCATCTCCCGAGTGTCGACTGCTTCTAAATCAGTTCTCCTCCTCCTACACAACCCAGTACCAAGTGAGGACTGAGGGTTTTTAAGTACCATTCAGATATACTCGGCAAATACCGACCGTCCACCTCCGTTCTTTTACACTGATGCCATTTTTAAACCATTCATGTATTTTGTTTTTCATGACTTTTTGGGATGTCAGACACAGCCATGTGGACCGTTGTGTAATGTTTTGGTCATTTGTATCTTTTCTTGTTCCCTGTTCTAATCCTATTTTGTTGCAGGAGACTATTTATATGGATTATCTTTTGACATTGCTATTGAAAAGTGTATTTCTGTGTACTTATTATCCCACTTTTCTCTTCCCTCCGTTCCCCCGTCCTCTCCCTCTTTCAGGTGATGGAGACGAAGAACATGCTTTACTTAGTCACCGAGTATGCCAAGAATGGGGAGATCTTTGGTGAGTGCTTTTTAAAACTCAATCTGACTTCAGTATCTTAAAAAAAAAAAAATGTCCCGCCCAATTTTATTCAGGTCCTCCCCCTATCAGTTTCACACAAAAATCTGTGCTGTTGCGTCAGCAGTAGATTTGACAAACAAGGAAGTATCAAAGTCTTGTTGAGTTTGCGTTGCTCTCACACTTGTGCCGGCCTCAATCTCAAAGTTCAGAGGATTGATGAAAATCTGAGAACAATGTCCTGATGTGGCCTTTGTCATGTGTTGCACTTGCCTCATTAAATGTGCTGACTTTGTGCTCTTGGCGTATTAAATGATGTCACACACGGCTTGTAAAGGCAGCAGAGAGGCAGCTTCAAAGAGTAAAAGGTCCTTTTATGACCGTTAGTGTTTCAGAATTACTTGTTGCTCAGCGTTTTACCACTCAAATGTTCAGATTGTTCAAGATATATAGATACCATCTGACAATCTGGTGAAAACAACTTAAATAATCCACTTTTGACTGAGCATTATGAGGCCCTTCTGAATAACGCCTGCTTTACTTTCTTTCTGCTTTAAACATTAACTCTTAGGATGTTACTTGAAGGGCTTTAGAAAGTAGAAATGTAAAGAGAGGATGATTGTTCAAGTGTCTGTTTGACACATACATTCATCATTCAGTGTTCAGGAGTTCAGTTTACTTTTACTTTTCTGTACAAACAGCATTATAGCCCAAAACCAAAGTGGATCATGTGCTATGAGAGGTCAATAAACTGTTACTTGCTTATTCAGTTGAAATTTCCCCAAATTAAAAAAAACAGTGGATACTGTTAGATACACAAAAACACTGGAATTAACAAAATAAAAAATAAATGAGAACAAACAAGAAACACTTTAAACAGAGTAATCTATCAGCTGATTCTTATTGTGTGAAAAAAAGAGGTCATGGACATTATTAAGAATGATAATAAATAAGAGACACATTTTTTTTAATCAAGGTGTTAAGATAACAGAAAATCTTAATTCAAAATCTCTGTGTCTTGTATAGCTTAAATGTGTCTTTGACAGGTCTCTTTATCACAGGGGACAGCAGCATTTTGGAAGCTAAAATAGGGGAATATTTAGCATTCTGCTATGAAAATGATGGAATTTAAATAAAGTCTTTCAACAATTGTTCAAAAAAGTGTCCTGAAATTACAATGTAAAGGTGAAAACGGAGTTTAAGAGATCTTCAAAGCTGCATAATTGGATTTCACAACGATTTTTAAATTACTGAGGGGACCAGATGTTGTCGTTTTCACTCATTACGCAACAAGTGGCTTAAGCAGAGCACAAAAAAACCCTGCTAGCTGAAAAAGAACGATTCCTCTGCTATAGACCAACATTTCCAGTCAGTCATTGACGAGGATTTTGTGAGACACAGGTGACCAAGAAGGAAGTAAGCTCATGTGTTTCCATGTGAAAGGTTTGGTAATGAAGGTTTTACAAGGTCTGAGGCACAAATAAAGGCCTGTGCTGGAAAGGACAGACAAGTCAGAACACAACAAGAGTTGTAGAAGATAAGAAATTATCTTTGCCTGCCATAGCATCACATACGCTCTATCACCACTACACACACACACACACAGCATATAGACTATTTGTACAATTCTGACTGAACGAGGATCTCAATTCCTTACAATGAATATGAGCCTAAAGATAGAGGAAACATGTTTTGTATTTGTAGAAGGATTATAAACGTTCAGATCAGAAATCGCAGAATGACTTCATCAAAAGCGAAGCAGAAAAAAAAGTCATGCTGGTTCCAAAAATCCTACATCTTACTCTAAAATATTTCAAGAATTTATAACACAGGTAGTCCACATCAAACATGTCCACACTTGTAAGTGGACCATGGTCCACATAGATTGTCGGCCTCACCTATTAGAAAGTCTGAGAATGTTTGCACTTAGCCTAGTTTCAGACACTGTAGCTGAGAGGATTACTTAAGCTGTAGGCCCCGGTAAACTTATTAGTCGCGTCTTGTGTGTGTGAGTGTGAGTGTACTGTGTGTGTGTGTGTGTGTGTGTGTGTGTGTGTGTGTGTCTTTGTAATTCTGAGGCCAGTGTTCCACTTGTGATGTTGACTCAGCAGCACACACTCCTGCTCCTGTGACCTAGTGAGAGCTGGGAAGCCGGCAAACCGAAATGAAAGAGGAAAGAGCACCATTGAAAATGTGAATGAAGAACATGTTTTATAGTTGCTGCAGCTAATTGTAGCTACATCAAGCAGAAGTTGATGTTAGCCTAATTTAAGATATATTGTGACAGGGATGCTATAGTCTCCTCACTGTACCTTATACTCTTATGGGGGTAGTTGGATTTTGTGGATAATGTGTTTTTTTACTAAGTTTAATTATGAGAATTTGGGTAGATCTAATTGGCTGACTATGAAGCTACTTTCAAGGAGAATGTAGCTTAGTTTAACCTATAATAAAAACTGGAGAAAGGGGAAACAGCTATCCTCTCTTAACTATTGTTTTTTGTACTTTGTGAAGATTTTACGAGCCTGTTATGATACAAACATGTTTCCTCTTTAGCTGCACAGATGTTGGTTGGCCAGTCATTTGAAACTTTATTTGAACAAAGCTCTGCTTGCAGTCATCTTCTTCCAGTGTCTTTGCTTAGCAGAGTTACGTAGCTGTAGCTTTAAAGTTATGAGGGCGTTACTCATCTTTTCATCTAACTCTCACCAAGAAAGCGAGGGAGTGTGTCTTCCAAAATGTCATTTTGTCTTTTAAGTAACAATCGTGATTTAGCTTCATTTTACCGTAAATCCATAGATGTTCTCATGGATCATGTCAGGCTATTATAAAACCATTGTGTCCTGATTCCTCCGACCCTTCTGCCCTGATTGCACAATGTAATATAGTTATGTAAGACGTTTATATGTCATCATCGGCTGCAGCAGTAGCAGCTTTGACTCAGCCTGGTTGACACTGACTGCAAGCTGCAAGATTATATTCAATCTTTACACAATCAAACAAATTAGTTCTGTTTCCGAAATATGCTTTCTGGAGATTGATCAAGTCTCAGACAAAATGATAAGCTGCCAAGTCACATTTCCAACCTCCTCCTCGTTTATCACTCTCCAGAGAGTTTCCCTGCGCTTTTTCTGACATGATGAATGTCTCCGGTCCGCTCGTGGCCATAGGTTACACAGAGAGGAAGATGTGATGTTGTTGTGGATGCTCAGCAGCAGCCCACCCCGCTACAGCGCGTCAATGAGACAATGGATGAGACTCCAATTTTTCTCTCTTCAAACCAAACAGTAAATGGTTTTGTGGAGGAGCAGGAGGGGTTAGTGTATATGTGTGCGTGTGTCTGGAGCCATAAAGACAAAGAGTCGGAGCCGCGTTTGGCACAAGAAGGCGGAGAATGATGGGTTCATTATCGCAAAAAAAAAAAAGGGGTGGGTGGGCACAGCAGAGGCATCCATGCCAGCTTGTTGGTGTGCCTTTTGTGTCTGTCAGTCAACCTGCTGCTCTACAGACTGCCTAAAAACGGCAGTATGGATCAAACCTGGAAATTGGGTCAGACACAAATAAGCCGAGTTTCAGAGAGCAGAGACGGGAGGAGAGAGGAGTCAGTAGAGAATGGAGGCAAAAGCAGAGGACATCCATTTGAGTTTGGAAGGTGGTGGGGAAATGTAGGGCATGCATATTTAAGACATCACTGCTGGAGAGAGGGGAGTATAATAGCTGGCAGTGAGTAGAATCACTCATGCAGATTTCTACATTCTGACGGGAGGAAAGGGAGTGAGACCAGGAGACTGTTGACTTCAAAGAAAAACTCTGGCTGATGTCTGTGACACATTCTTTGATACTAGCTGGACATTTTTATATCTCCATAAACCGTCCTTCTTATTTATCACATGATACATGGCCCATGATGACAAAAATGTCATGATACAAAGATTCTGTGATAATTGATGTATTGATGGACAATCATATAATGATAAAGATACATCACAATATCGACTAAACTGAAGAATATGAAATGCCCCTAAAAAGGTTAATGTGCATGATTAATGTGTCTAGTCACTAAAATGTGTTGTTAGTTTCACCTCTTATCATGCCGAATCCTTTAACTTCTCTTCATCCCTGTCCAACATTATCCCAATCTCATCCTCTACTTTTATCTACCCGTCTTCTTCTTTGGCAGATGAATTACCCTCATTCATGTAATAAGCGCCACCTTGAGGAGTCTTTAAGGGGGTACACGATGAGTCAAATCCACAAGAAATCTGTTGAGTGTTGCTGTTTTTTTAAAATTAAAATATCGATATTTGGCACAAGCGATTTGAAAGTTGAATCAGGACCATGATAAATTGCTGTTTGGATATTTTGTCCCTTCTCTAACTTGTAAAGCTTTAAAGCAACATTCTACAACTACTTTAATTCAAAGTTTTAGTACCAGGGCTTTCTGACAGACGATCCAAAGACAAACTTCTCCTGTGACCTGTCGTAGACCTGCATTATCAGTAGTAGCATGATGGCAAAGGCCGAGGAGGACACGAGTGATCGAGCAGGAGGTCTGACAAGAGTGAATCTTAGATGTGCTTTAAAGTCCAAGCATTCAATCACTTTCCCTGAAATGTTGCATTTTCCCTTAGATCACTGTCATATTACCCAATAATATACAAATGTCTCCCAAGTTAGCAGATCCCAGTTGACTTAAGATAAGTTAAGTTAAGATAAGTTTCCATATGCTGTATTCTTTCCCACAGGCAAAAAGTATAAACAATGACGTTTGATCCCAAACAAAGATACCTGTCATTGCTGTTCCGTCGGCTAACAGAACTGAGGTGGCTACTCGATTGGGTGCACCTAACATCACCCATCTATACCCAAAATAGATTTGACAGCCAGAGGCCTACGAACTTGTGTTCAGTAACCTTACTTGACATTGCATGTGCTTGCAGAGCAGACAGATACTATCATTGTCCAAACAAATAACATACATGCACAAACAAAAACAGTCTGTTATGTAATTTTGTAATGTGTGACATCATATCTACTCCACATGGGTTAAGACTGGTATGTTGCACTCTTGCATTGTAGTTAACTTATGTAGCACTTGCATAAATGTTTGCTATTTTTTAGCCGTTGCATTTTGAAAAGATAACCACTTCTAACTGAATCTCATTTCATAAAGTTGGTATCTGAAAGTGCAGTCAGTTCACTGACAGGCAGCTTCTTTTAAAGGATCCTACTGCTGAAGGGAAATTACAAGAAGAGAAATGCTATTGCAGAATAAACATGACATCGTTGAGCTCTGGTGATTTGTGCTCATCTCCTTTCGGTGTCTGCAGACATCTGGAAACGGCCAAGTGTTTTGTGTAACAAAGCAAAGTATAGCAAATGTATGATGTAATGTATGATGCAGCATTCTGAAGAATCTGAATCAGCACAGAATCACTCTTACTGTTTATAACATAAACTTATCTGAAGGGGAAACAGAGTGAATGCATTCTAAAAATGTTTAATCACGCTTTGCGATTTAATCCCCTTTTATTTTGCATTTCTTAACCCCTGTTTCCAACAGCAAAAATCTGTTGCTTTCATTTTTTATCAAACATTATAACTTTACAACTCTAACCCAAAACCTTTTCCGGTAAGCTGGGAGCTTTGTTTTTTAGTATCTCATGTAAAATAAGTGAACTGTAACGACCAGTAGTCGTAGCTGATCTTGGTGACTTTGGTGTAAGGACGTCACTCGGCTCCATCTGGCTCTGCTCCAGATTAACCCCTCGAGGTGGCAGTATTGAATGAGCACCAACATCTATCAACACCCGCAGACATGTAACTTTAATGTGGCTGCTTTATTTAAGTGGTTTGTATATCAGTTACTGATGTGGTAACAGAGTGTGTGTTTGCCCCATGTCCTCTGCACACACACACAGATGCACACACACTCCCCATGCCCACCCCACACCGTTATCTGGAGTCAAGCCCGAGGTCTCGCCAACAGGCCGGTTTGTACCTGTGATGTTTGTCCCCTCCAAACCCGAGCAGCTGTTAAGAGACTTAGCTCGTTGGCCAGCTCTCAGCAGAAGTAGAACATGGTGCTTGTTGAGCTGTTCCCTATTACCCCTATGATTCATTCTGCTTTCCCAGAATGCAACTCTGTATGCCTCACTGTGCTGTAGTCCTGGCTCTCACCAACGTTGTATCAGTGGATTACTCATCCTTCCACTGGGGCAATGTACCGCATTGTGTGTATTTGTGTGTGTGTGTGTGTGTGTGTGTGTGTGTGTGTGTGTGTGTCTGCACACTGTTGCTTTTCAATTGCTAAATGCTGAAGCACTAGCAACACAGCACGGCTGTTCGTACAGAATTAAGATTAGCTTCAGTATTCAGCATTTGGTTTGTTGTGCATCTCAGTGTTTAAAGTTTAGAAACAGTTCAGTGGGATTCCTGAAAGAAGAAGTTGATTTCTCATGGTCTTCACTTGGCAGAAACTCTGAGAAAAGTTTTCACAACTCAATAATCTGTGACTATTTTAATCCAAAATACCATAAATACCAGTTCTTCCTCCTTAGAGGTGAATCACTGCTAGAACTCTTCTAAAAATAATATATTGTTGAAAATAAACTCAGTTGCAGACCTGGAGTTCTTATAATAAACTCAAGACTCAGTGATGCCAACCTGAAGCTGTATGGCTATAGATGACTAACTGCATGTTCAGGAGTATTCAAATGCATAAAAGTGGGATTAGGGTGTTTTACCTGATGGGCTTTTGGGTCAAAGTATCACAGCGACATTTGTCTGTTTGTTTTTTCTGTAAACTTTAATCAAATTTGTTAAACTTATTTCAGCAGAGACGAGACAGAATCCTGTTTAGGCCAAGTATAAATTACTGCTCAATTGGTGCACTACAAGCAGCACATGTGAAATGCTTAACCTTTCAACAAAGCTTGCTACAGATAGGCTACAGAGGCAGTGAGTCCCGTCATTATGCTTTTTATGCATACTTAAATCAAAAGGTGTACTTCTAATCACACAATTAAGACCCACACCATCACTACAATGACTTTTTGAATTAAGAAGTGAATGACACACAATTCATTCCTTATAAGAAAGTTGTTGGAGTGTGTGGTGTTGGTTTTATACTCGCGTCATCTCACTCAGTAAACAGTTGCAACAAGCTCTTGGGTTGAAGCATTCTGACGCCTCATGAGAAGACCACATGAGCCGTTACTTGCTGTTACGTTAGAGTCTGCTTCTTCTCACAGGTGCATACTGGAACCTCCTCGACACATTCCCCTCCCCGGTGTGTTTTTTGATTAGCAACTTTGCATGAAAGCTGCCCTGGTCACTGAAGAGCCTCCTCTATGGAATTTACCAGCTACTGTCTAATCAGGTTTTCCCACTCGGTCAGATGTTAGCTATTTATCGAACACACTGGAGCAGCACCATCTCCTTCAGGCGTACTAGTGCAACTTATGTCCTTAAGTCATTTTAATTGTATCATCTATGTTCAGACAAACAGCTGGCCCTACAGTACGTTCATTCTGTGTTGAAACGGGCTACAGAGTTGTTAAGATGAGGTGTTTACTGCATGATGTATGTATCTGGCCTCAGGACGTACATTGCTTTACTTTACAAATCTCAGGTTTAGTTGATGGAAAAACATTTTTTGATGTTAATGGCCTGTGAAATTGGCTTAGTGTAACTTGTCTTTGCTCCATAACAGATGCTTAGTTTTGAATTCTGTCAGTTTTGTTACACGTTATTTGTTACAAATGCTAAGACCAGATATAATTCTATTTGTTTTAACTTAAATAGCGAACTCAGTTTGGATTCCGTTTCTGCTTTGTGAATAACAAAAAAATGCTTCATCATGGAATCAACCTTGTTGGTCTTCTGTTAATTTCGTTCCTGGTAATTTGCACATTCTGTTTGCTCACAAACAGAGTTCTGTTGCATGTGTTTGTTGTGGTTGTCAAGCTTTGTCGTCAGGTTTGGTCGCTGGTCTGTATCCATGCCAGCTGGAAGTAAAGCCATCACAGAGAGTGTCCTATCTTGTTTGCCACAGAGTGTGAATTGAAGAGTTTGCGAGCTATCTGGACAGGGAGGTGTGAAGAGGAACCCTGCCGACAGCAGCTAACGCCACTCTCCAAAGTTCACAGGGATGGAATAAAATAAAAAAAATCAGGGAACGTGTAAAACGTGTCGGGTTGACTTTGAAAAATTTAACACTGAGTGTGAAGAATTAGAAAAACAGTACGGTCATTTTGAGAGCAGACAATGAGGAAAAGGTCAGTGATCTGGATGCTTGAAGAAAGAGAACAGTGAATTTATGACTTTGGTCTCTGAGACAACGTCAACATTCGGGGGTCTTTGTAAACAACAAGCCAGCCTGTCTTACCGAGTAAGGGGATAAATCAGACAAACTGAGACATGTTTTGCTATATTCGGAAATAACTCAGTTTGATTGCTATCATTGGTATCATGATTACTCCCACAATGACTGTCAATTATGTTTGTGTGTCTCTCTTTGTGGGCACAGCAATCTCTCCCCCCCCCCCCAACCCAACCCAACCCCATACTAATGTGAACATTTTGGATTAGAAGACTACTTCTGCGAAATCTCCTCCTCTGGTTTCCACTTCTGGCAACACACTGCATTCTCTGATCTCTGCTGTAAACTGTGTCAAACACTAACACTCCGAGTTATAACATCATACACTGATATACAAAGCATGCTGTAATGTAGAGCAGCTGTAAACTACTATTGGCATTGGGCCTGCGCCTCATCAAAAGTAAATTATCCTTTAAACACAACCACCGACACCCAGAGAAGTGAAAATGCTGCACGGATGCTTTCTTTTCAACAGCACAACGCAGTACCTGGTACAGTGTCTCAAAGCCCTGTGGGGTCCTGTTATATAACTCGTAAAATATATTCTGCATGTACTTCTAACTTTACACATGGCCTGTCTGACTTTCTCTCTTTCTCTCTCTGGGTGCAGATTACCTCGCGAAGCACGGCCGCCTCAGCGAGCTCGAGGCCAGGAGGAAGTTCTGGCAAATCCTGTCTGCAGTGGAGTATTGTCACAACCGCAACATCGTCCACAGGGACTTGAAGGCAGAGAATTTGCTGCTGGACGGCCACATGAACATCAAGATTGCAGGTAACTAGTGCAGAAGGACCCATAAATTCATTTATGGATAGGAAATACAGGATGTCCGACAGAAATGTTTAGCTTTGATGCATGACCTGCCATGATCACAGCACTGTAGCACCTGCTCAGGCTGAGGTTGCTTGTAAGATAGCTTTTAGCTTGAAAATGCCCCCATATGTTTCTTTCGTCTCAGCAAGAAACCAAATGCTTTTGCCATTTGTTTAAAACTCTTCCCAGTGACCTGGCTTTAGTTTTTGTAAGACGCAAACATTAGTGATGGAGAGCGAAAAAGAGGAAGAAACCCTGAGGCAGAGATTTGAGACAAAGCTGGAGGTCTGTAGAACAAGCTTCAAAGTGACGTTATTAAGCAACTGGCATTTAGAGCTAGCTTGTGAGAATGTCAGCCTACCGCTGTTCCTCTGAGTGAAGGAAAATGGGAGGGGAAAGGTTTAATTGGAGGAGGAGGAGAGGAGGTGATGATATAGATTGGCTACTTTACAGAGTGGCATATGAGAGGGAAAAGGAAGAACGATAAGGAGCAGGGTGGTGAAAGAGACATGTGTATCTCAGGCTTTATTCAGAGCTGATACTAAAATCAGTCTAAGGTGTGCTGATAACATGGGGGCGGCTAAAAATACAGGTGTGAAAGGAGACCAGACACACTGAATTACGTGTGCACTAGTGAAAAGGGCCTCTTGTCCTCAAAGGTCTGCAGATATTAAGATCGGTAGCCATTTGCAGTTCTGAAACAAATTTCCACCGTCACGTCATTCTTTGTACTAACACATTCTACCGGCACAACATGTAATATCAATGGGAGCTTCACATAAAGCAGACTCAGACATACACCCACATACTGTCACTTCATTGAAACTGTTCTTATGACATGTGCTGCTGACCTCTTGGCCAGGTCACCCTTGTGAAAGAGATCCTGATCTCAATGGGTTCTTTATCTGGTTAAATAAAGGTTAAATAAATAAAATACAGAAGACCCCCCCCCCCTCCCCCTTGTTACTACCTTCAATGACAGATCAGGGGCAGACCACCTTTGCCACCATTCAGCCCCCATACGTTACACATTACAGGTGAGGTGTAACAGGTGCGCAAGTATCCCACCTTGAACTGGTAATATGTAAGTGTTTACTCCTCAGACTAATTCGGCTTCATCTGAAAAACACGATGACCTTCAAGTCTGGTCAGTGTTCAATGTTTTTAATTTGTGCTGGAAAGTAAAATTACGTAAGGACAAATTAGACCAAACTATTCAATAAAAGACAGAGGATGCAGTGTTTCACCTACATCATCCTGTCCACTGTTTCTCTGAAGGGTCCTAGATGATTACCCTTATTTGTTATTACCCCCCCAGCAGTAATTTTCACAAACATGTCTGACTCACAGCCGTTAGTCCGCACAGCAGATTAGATTTGAAGAAGCAGGAAAACAATGAACAGAACATTACCTGTCTTGTGATTAGAGGGGAACATCAGCAGCAAAGTACATGTTGTACTTTTCTTACCCACAGCACGGTCTGACAGGTTTGTTAACAGGTGCAGGAGTCTAGAAAAGTAGACATTCTGACTGTGGATGTGAAACACAGAGGGTACTTTTTTTAACTTATATTTTCTTGAAGCATTACATTGCATCCATTTACCCATGACAAAAGAGAGGGGAGTATTCCTTTATTTTTTGTGTTTATGCCGGTTTATTCTGCATCTGCATTGAACGTTGATTTTATTATTAGTTAATCTACTGTTATGCTTTAGCGTTGTGTTGAGTTCTAAAAAAAAACAATCCCAGTGAGTTATCGCCAACTATTCAACCCCTTGAACTATATAGAAAAAGTTAATTTACAATGAAATTGAACAGCAAAATGTAGCAAATCCTTACATTAGTGGGTCTTTACTACTGACTGTTTTTCTTAATGAATGACTTTAACAATAGATGTTCATGAGAATGCATTTTTAGTTTCTTAGCTGTTAAACTAAATGCATTACCTACAGTGTGATTCTGAGGGTTTTCACTGCAGCACAGTGACGTGTCCCTGCTTTCTGAAGGCCACCTCTGGACAGTGTGTGTGTGTTTGTGGAGCTTAACCAGGCAGCGGTCAGTCAAAGAAAGGTCAGGCTGAGAGGAGAGGGGAGCAGCAGCCGCGGGGGGTGCCCTTCATGTTTTCACTTCAAACAGCCCCTTCACGGTCAAGTTGACAGATTGAAGAGGATAGAAAAAGAGGAGGAGAAATAACAAAAGTGGCTTGCTGGATCAGAGGAGGAGAGGAGGCAGTCCTTTGGGATTGAACAGCAGAATATATATTCTGAGATTGAGGCTGTGCACTTCTGAAAACAAAATCCTGAATACATTCTTACATCACCATACTTTTAACAGGCATTTATAGCTGCATTTTCTACAATGTACATTTTCAAGTTTGTAATCAGCTGAGTGACGTCATTAGACGTGCACCAGAGCCTAAACATGTCTCATGCTCCATTAAAAGATGTAGAAAGTACAAACACTCCTCACATCAGGGACACTTGTTGGAGAAACAGTTTTAATTATTATCTGTTTACACATTTGATTCTTAGTGACAAATATATATATATCATCATAATATGACACTATACACCTCAAGACTTACTTGGCAGTTGATCTTGGTCAGGGGTTTTTACAAACTTAGTTTCATATCCTAAATATTCCTCTATTTCATTTATTATCCCTGAAAAAAATCTCATTTGTTGGAGTTTATCGCAAAACAGTCAGCAAATCTGAATCATTAGTCCTTGAGAGTACGCTCTGCTTATTGATCAGATTTGATTCAGAGGTACATGCCATCACCTTTTATCTCACTGAGTCCTGCCCCCATCAAACCAACAAGAAGAGCACCAAAAAAAAACAGTGTTTAACATTTATGGAGTCCTGATTGACTAATAATTCTCACAGTTCTTTAATGTTTAAAAAACCATTCATATCCATCATTGGACAGGTTTTTTTTATGCAAGTATAAGTTATCATCAAATGAATCAGCCACAGCTAAATTATCTAAGTCACTGGCGTCAATGTGACTTCTTACATAACAGCAACCACTGTGTGCACACATCTCAGGCATGTTAGATACAGTAGATTGTTTACAAAGGGAAGCAGGTTGAGACGAAAACTCAAGTCAACAAAATGACTCAATAACAGACATATGAGAAGATAATGTATCCAACATGTGCTAAAGTTAGCCGCCATAAGCTACTGGTCATTATGTTACATTTGCAAAATCCCTGAATGTATTGAATTCAACCAATCTGTGTTGAATAAATTCAACTTTTTCTTTGTATGAATGAATGAGTGAAACCTTTATTGCCCCATAGGGGAATTTGCCTTGCACAGAGAGCATAAAAAAAATGCTCTCTGTGCAAGGCAAATTCCCCTATGGGGCAGAAACCGTTCTTTTCACTATAAACACATAATGTCCTCCTGAAGAGGATTTGGAAAACTTTTTTTTCTTTCTCAGATAATTTTTTGGGACTTTGCCTATTAATTTGGAAAGGAGAGCTTTAGAAGGACAGAAAATGTGATGGGATCAGGACTTTAGCCTCTGTGCAAGGGGGTAATGTTAGCTCTACCAACTGGGCTAAAGTGCCCAAAAAGTGTTTGGGTGATGTTGAGTGTAAGTAAGAGAAGGTAGGAGAAGAGAAAGATGGATAATATTGGGCCGTGCATCCTGAGCTGCAGCTGCATCACTGTTCACACCTTATTAGAGATGACACGCTAATGTGTTTGACTGCTGCATGCTGTCCTTCTATCGTTCATAAACCTGTCATATCATTTATTAGCCATAAGCAGGAGAGGATTCTAGCGTGACATGTTTAGGCTAATATTATGCTAATACTGTTGTGTGCTACACACACACACACACACACACAATGTCTCCCTCCCTGCCCTTCCTGTCGAGCTGTTAGTGCTGTTGGTTGCCTGCAGCGCCCAGGAGCGTTTGACGTCAACCAGTCTGCTCAGTATTCAGCTCCATGAAATGGGTCACAGCTTCTGACGGTAAACCCAGTGCAACGCTCCTCTCTGCTGCAGCTGCATCTCACATCTCACCTTCACAGCAGCATCAGACAGTAGACAGACTTGTAATAAACCCCACTGTGGCTTTATTTCCACCACACACCTGCCGCTGCCATGCCTGTGCCACAGTGATTAAATAGATTGAATACATGAACTCAGTGTCAAATGCGCTATTTTCCTTTTCCCCTGGAGTTTGCACTGCGCTAATCTCTCTGGATTCCTCTGTGTTTCCCACTGAATTAGACGTTTTTCAGCAGAGTAATAGAGAATGCAGTCCTGATTCCTTACAATAATCATTTTACATCCCCTTTTTTATTTATTCAGCTCCAGATGACTTATGTGGTTGTACATTAATGGTAACACCTGCCATTAAAATCCAATACAAATCAGCAGATCCAAAACCTACCGTACATCCTACAAAACTATTATATAGATACATCAACACCTCTCAAACAGAACCGTAGAACCTTTGTCTTAGTTTTAGCTAAGGGTACAAAAATAGGTATTGAAATGACAGAAAAGCAGCAGAATCAAGAAGCAGGAGATTTTGGTTTAAAGCTTTAAGGTTATATAAAAGTAAATTCTACATTGTATCTCTACATTAGTTTCTGACTGGAAGTGGAAACCAACGCGAGCATTGATTGAATATCTGTTCCTTTTTTCTCTGATTTCAAATGAATGCTAAAAACACCTTGATAATTCTCCTAAATGGTTCCACACAGACTTGAACATTATTACGTTTCAATAACCTTTAGATCTAAACGAACACTGAAACCAACTGTTGTTTTGGTTTCAGTCTGGTTTGGTTTTGTTCCTCAGACAAAATGATACTCAAAGAGATTAAAGAGAACTCCTTTTGGATTGAGGAGTTGTGTCTTTGTCTTCATTAGGTCAAATACTTTTTTTTATTATAATATAGTACATATTTATGGAAGATAAAGGTTGCTGTTGGCGGTGTCTTGTGTTTGTTCATCTGAATATGACATACAGGAGATTGTTTTGGTTTCAATTGTAAAGGATTGTGGTCATCGGAACAAAGGAAATGACTGTCTCTTTCTCATAGTGTGCGTGTGTGCGTGTGTGCGCGTGTGTGTGTGCGTGTGTGTGTAAACCCACATCACCTCCAGCCCCATTTATGTAACACAGCTTTTTTTTTTAATCAGTTGTATTTATTTGTTTTGCATAATATTTTTTGTGTTTATGTAACTGCTTTGAATGATGGAAAAAACGGGTGGGGGTAGTGGGTAAAGTGGGCCTGATTGTGTGTTCTTGTAGCTGTCTGGTCCCATGACACCATCACAGGGTTCTGTTGATAATGAACTGACTGAGCATGGGATTATTTTTCTTATGTAATTATTTTCTTCAAATGTTACAAAAAAAAAAAAAAAAGTGCATGTTAAAGTTGAAGAGCTTCCTGTACAGATGATTATCAGGCAAAGAAAACCATCAAATCTTCATGTGAGAAGCTACAGCCAACACAAATGATGAATCAATTGTAGAAGTAATGATAACTAACTTCTATCGATGCACATATCAATTAATCATTCTCCATCAGAAGAAGGGACCAGCATGAAGTTTTTAGGACAAAATGAGGAGTCGTAGAATGTTTGAGGAAAAGGGAGGTGGGTTGAGATAGAGTAGGAGAGTAATATAAACTCGTAAAAAAAGGGTCTGGCTGAGTAATTGCTGGCCCGCTGGTTGGCTCGCTTTGATTTGGCAGCTCTTAGTTGGATTTTAATGAAAGACAGACGTGATCTTCTCAATGTTTTTTTGGGCTTCTTTTGTCTTTTTCAAGTTGCACTTCTCTGTCCTGTTCCTCTTAAGAGTCAAACCTGATCCGTAGTCACTCCCCCGGCAGCCAATCCGAGCACAGAATTGATGACCTCATGTCAGTCTCCAGGGGAGAGTTACCTCATACAAAGGCCGTTTCCTCAGTGCTCAAATATGTAGATCACATGGTGCATTATGCAAAACCTTCAGACCCCTTGAAGTCACGCAAGGCACACACCATCTTTTGTTCTGGACATTTGTTTTGCACACTTTGACCACTGCAGCAAACCGATAATTACTGCGTTACTGTAAACCCATGTGCCTGACCTCTTCTCTTTATATCATCACAAGTAACAGAGGCGGCTTTTTTCACTGAAAATAATCACACCAACATGTGTACAACGGATTGTGGACGGACGTTTACAGTTTTAACCAACTTCAATATTTAAGACGGTCTTTAACTCTCCTCCCTAAACATCCACCACCCCTGTGTCCTGTTTGTCCCTGTGTAGATTTTGGATTTGGGAACTTCTTCCAGCCAGGAGAGCCTCTGGCCACGTGGTGCGGCAGCCCGCCTTATGCTGCTCCAGAGGTCTTTGAGGGCCAACAGTACGAGGGGCCGCAGCTAGACATCTGGGTAAGATGTGTGTTAACATAAGTCGACAATTCTTTTTTTTTTTTTTGTCTTGGATACCTTTTTCTAAATTCAGTAACACAAACATTGAATGTTGAATGTCATAACTTGTGTTACACTTTCTACTAGCACCTCAGAGAGGAAAATAGTTGATTATTTTCTGGTTTGGGATCATTGCATTGGCTAAAGTACTTGCTGATGCATGTTGTTACCCTGTTTAGACAGTATCAGGGTCCGTTCTAATGCTGGAATCAGTTTCACATCTCTCTCTCTGTCAGTATCTCTTTTCTTCAGTTTTGTTTAACTTATTTCCCAGAACCCAATGAAATCAGCATTTTTTAAATGTTACATGTTTAAAAAAAATCCTGATGATGAAGTCAGCAACTTTTGTTTCTGTAATAAAGTGGTAATTTCCCAACCACACTCTAAAGCCTGATATATATATGTATATTTGGCATCGTTTTCCTATACGTACATTACCATATTTTCCTGTTCTGGGGTTGTCAAGGGTTTTCTGTTTTTTTGTGAAAGTTTGTGAATGCAAAAAGTCTTTCATTGACTTAGAATAGAATATATGTTTATTTTCATTTGCACAGGTACAGGGTAGTACAGGTACATGACTTATTTGGTGACCTGACCTTATTCTATCTGTGTCTGTATCTGTATCTCTTCATGTTCACAGAGTATGGGGGTGGTGCTATATGTGCTGGTGTGTGGTGCGTTACCCTTCGACGGGCCCACTCTGCCTGTGCTTCGACAGAGAGTCTTAGAAGGAAGGTTTCGAATCCCCTACTTCATGACTGAAGGTAAGAAGAAAAAAATTAAGACGGGAGATTCTACCAACAAACCCTGTCCCTCAGTACGTCACATTCCTACACATTTTCATGCATCCAGTGTATTTGTGAGACATCTTCCAATCTTTCTTAAATCGGTATGTAGTCAATATGAGGTGAAAATGTCGTGAAAATTCCCATGAGGGGACACTGTGGCTCAGATGAATAGATCACGCTCTCCTGTTTGAGTCAACACTCTGTTGGATGTGCTGCTGGCAGACTCTCTCACGGCTGCAACCAGTCATGGGGTCATTTCATTAACGAGAGAACATTACGCTCATTTGATAGAGATACAGCAGGAGACACTCTGTCATTGTCCTCTGTAGTGTGTGTATGTGCATGCATACACGTGCACATACACAGCAGGATGAGTCAGTTTGGCTAACCATATGAAAGCAGCCCTGCTGCATGCGGCTGTGCTAGCTAGCTAGCTAGCTAGCTAGCTGGCAGCAGATCCAGTCCAGAGCTGGAACTGTTTATGTAACCTGGGGAAGCCTTCCAGCAGCTAGCCTGTCTGTGTGTCTGAGAAGGCTGTCGCTGTCTGTCTGTCTGTCTGACTGACTCTGTCTGTCTGCCTGTCTGCCTGTCTGTCAGTTTGACTCCATGGTTTTGTCCGAAATCGCACACTCATTCCCTACTACCTACATAGGAAGTTCTCCATAGTAGACTATATAGTGCACTCATTGGCAGAATGAAAAAAAACATTTTGGACACTACTTCACTCCCTCACTCGCTGGCCAAAGACAATGACCTTATTAATGTTGCTCAACTAAAATGCTGGCCACAGATCAATAATAAGAAGAATCCTTTACTCGTTTATAAAAAAGCTTCTAGAGTTCTTTAAGAAATACCCTCAAATATGAATTTGATTTGTGTTTCTTTTGCTCTTGCTGTTCAATTTCCTCGTCTGAGGGCAGTCAAACGCCACTTGTAAAAATCTTTGAACCGCAATGCATGATGCTAATGTATTGCTTGGATAGTCGGTAGTTCACTACTTTTCATAATGAATTGTGGGATACAATGAGTGCACTGTTTATGGTATAATAATGTTCACAAAATGGTGTATTCACTACATCGTGAGTAGTGTGTGATTTCAGACGCAGCTCCTATCTCTGAGTCATCTTCAAGCCCTTCTATATCTCTATCTGATTCTGTCCTCTTGTTTCTCTGTATCCTATCTGCAAGTCTGTAGCAGTCTCTCCGCAGGGGGTGTGTGCTTAAAAAGTCAAGATTTCTATTTTTTTTGTTTTTTTTTGTTCTGGAAACAATTAGGAAGTTAGGGGAATGCAGGAGTGTAATGTCAGCTCCCTGGCCAAACAGACATCCAGATCTGCAATCCCCCCCCCAATCCCAGTTCAACCCCTGTTCCCCGAACATGGGAGGAACATAGTGTGCTCATTTCCTCATCCAGAAACAGTCCATCTCATCTCCTCTCACCGTTCCAGGCTGTGGTGCACAGCACAGCCTTGCACCGCACAGTTTACTCTCACTAGAATCTCTCAGCTCTCTGCACATTGTGGTCTACTCCCAAATTAATAACACACGTGGACGTGTCTTGCATGTATCCTGCTGCTGCATATTACTCAGTCTTGGTAGACTGTAGTCTAGGATAGCCTAGAGTCATGTTTTCCAGAACAACTGAATCCTTTTTTTCTTTGCATGACATCTGCAGCTGACACTCTGTGCACACAGCAGATCAAAGCAACAAGAGTTGGTTTTAATAGATGAATAGTCTCCAAAATGTCAGAAAAAAGATGTCCTAGAAGTGCTTGTTTTATCAGATCATCTCATCCTGATTCAATCAATGATTGTAAAACAGAAATAAACTAAACAATAAATTTACCTTAAAATGTATTTTATGATTAGAAATCGTTTTCCTGTTGTTAAAGAACAGGATGTATCTACTTATTAGTTAATCTGTAATACTGTTCCATTTAAAATGAAGGAAAACACATCTGCTTTGTGAATGTCAGCTGCTTGTGTCGGTTTCTTTTCTACTGTCTTGTGATGCACCAACACAGCCTCTCACAGCCCCCACTGAAACAAAACAAGGCTATGTTTTTGAAATTGAAGTGAAATCAGGTGATCTCTTAAGACTTTAAATCACAGAGTGTGTTGCGTTTGAATCCTAAATGTCTGCATGTTGTGCTTATGGTTAATTAGTTTGGTATGTTATTTTTAAGCTCTTATGTGTGAATAGATGAATGAAATAGATAACATAAAATCTGCATTATGACCTCGTCCATGCGCTCGGACTTCTTGTAACAGTCCATCTGTTTTCCTTCATTGCTGCAACCCTACACCATCGGCATATACAGTAGAAGTGTTAACTGGGATGGTTCTGTGGTTAAGTCATGGTGGTGTAACATGCTGGCTAAGAGCAGAGCGTCAATCAAACAGTCAGCCTAGATGGGGCACGCAGTGTCGGCCCCTTTACATCGTCAAACCTTCCCTGGTGGTTAGCAGTGTTGAAATATGTGCTCAGCTTCAGCTGTTGCTATAAACAAGGCTATAGCAACGAGCGGTGACAGGGTAACTTCTGGGTTAAACAAAATTGTACCCTGTATTGTGTTTGAAGAAGTTTGTAACTTAGCAGCTGCACAGCAGTAAGAAATTGCTGCATGTGGTAAAAGTGCATCTAAGGGCAACCTTGTTATGCACATAAGAGGGGAAACATTGAGTTGGCTGAGCATTAAAGAATGAGATAGAAAAAGAGTGATGTAAGACCAGCAGGGCAACTGGGAAGAATGTCCAGCAGGGAGTTCATGTTGGCAGGCAAATCTTCTATTTTATAAACTGCTGATATGTAGTGCAGAATACCAAATGCTCACTTTCCAATTAGTGTGAACATTTAGGGTAGAGATCATTGGTGTTGAAGCTTTTTCGACATAGCTTTTTTTTTTTCCCAAAACAAAACCTGTTTTACTTTAAGATATGAGCGGCAGGATTTGTAGGTGAAGGTGCGGTGTGGTGGACAAGAATGCGGTGCAGGCAGTGGGGGTGCAGGCAGGCCAAAGCAGCACAGCCAGGGGAACTGTAATCCTGTTAAGAACCCAGCTGTGTCTGACGTCAAACTCATCTAGCCACTAACTAGAGGTGAGGAGCTCTCATTAGGAGGGGAGGAAAGGAGAGAAGAGTTCATAGACGCTGCTCAGATATGACGGCAGAGGAAACTAAAGAAGTAAGCAGATTTACTGTGTGTGTGTGTTTTTATCTGCCCCACTTCATCTGGGCTGCTTTGACAAGGACATGACGCTCTGTGGCTTAATTTGTTTCATCCTAGCTTATACAAAGATGATCTCAGCATTATCAAACACAAACAAGCTCTTCCTTTTTAAATCATGGGCAATGAAATCTCACTTTCTCTTATGATTTTCCCACCTCCACGCAGACTGTGAGCACCTGATTCGCCGGATGTTGGTGCTGGACCCGTCGAAGCGTCTGTCTGTGGCTCAGATCAAGGAACATAAGTGGATGGCTCTGTATGCTCCTGTGCAGAGGCCTGTTCTGTATCAGCAGCCGCTGTCTGCTGAGGGCGAGGCGGGTGTGGGAGAGTACAGCGAGCAGGTCCTCCGCCTCATGCACAGCCTAGGCATCGACCAGCACAAGACTGTAGAGGTGAGGAGGAGTCCGATTTATTCACCAAACAGAATTATGAAGGTAGTAATACAAAACAGAATAGGAGCATCATTTTTTGTTTGTAATATATCATAGCATCATAGTATAAAGGGGCCCTGCTACATTTGTGCCTCAGGCAGTTGCCTATCATGCCTTATGGTGAAGGTTTTGAATGTGTATTGAACTTCATGTGAAGATATTTCTCAGTAAGGAGTGCAGCTAAACTTAATGTATAAACTGCAAGAAAGGAGAATAGATAATCCCCAACTCTTCCATCAGGGAAAACATTATCATAGGATTCAAAGCTTATAATGAAATCAAAGTGTGCACACTGGTTCTTTGTCATGCAGACACACATGGGGAATGCAGTCTATATTTGGAGATGTTTTAAATTCAACTTTTCATTTAAAAACTTTTCTGTTAGAATTGTCAAGGAGCAGGGTTTCTGTTCTGTACATACATATTAATAAAGCTGAAATGATTATTTATTAGGTACCGTGATTTTCTGCCCTTTAAGCTATGAATTAATTCTTATTTTTTATTTTGTAGTTTGATCACATTGAAAAGTTGATATAAAACATGACAGCAGCAAATTCATACATAAATGATGAAACAAGCAACATAATGTTGCTGAAAGAAAATGATAAAACAGGGAAATGATGAAAACATTAATAATTAAATCCTTACATAAACTGAAGAGAAAATAATGTAACATGGTAGCAGTCTGTACATTTTAGTCTTGTATACATTGTATTGCAAGGTAAGGTGCTTTGCCTGATCAGCATGGATGAAGTCAGCACAATAATCACATGTGAAGGGTTTTTTAAGCCCTGACTGGAAAATAAAACTCCTTAACTTTTTTTGTTTAGCACATCTGAACCTTCAGGATTGAATTTACACACAATATTAGGACTGTCAAATAATTACAAATTTTAATCACGATTAATCGCTAAATTTCAACAGTTAATTGTAAGTTTGAATTTCCATTATTTTCCTTTTTTTTTTTTTTAAGTCAGGCTTTTATTTTGAATTCCTGTACTGTATTAAGTTGTACTTTACTTGTGTTTGTTGTATGCTGCTTTTATTTTGAAATAAAGTAAGGACCTTCTGGCAGATCAAAGGTTACGACTTTTACTTAATCACAGTAAAAGAAACTGGCTAAGGATCAAAACCTAAATGAAAACGGCTCAGAGGAACAGCAAACTAGTGAAATATTTGATGCCATAATGTGGATATTATATTTGACTCGTCAACTGAGCGTTTTTAAGTGAATTAATCACTGGGACTACTGCAGAGGTTTATCCATGGTAAAACTTAAGGGACAAAATAGCATGCAGTTAATTGCAATAAAAAAATGAAAAGTAATTTCAGACTTTCCTTAATCGCGATTCGCTAGTTATTTCTAACAGCCCTAATTTATATTTATTCAATACTCTCCACTTCAGCTGCAGCAATAACCCAGTTTCACACAGGATTAAAAAAAAGAAGAATGGTCTCAGATGTATGTGAAGAACTTTGGAGTCATCCAAACTGCAACATTTAGTAATAACTTGAAGTGAAGGAGTTCTAATGAACCTTTTCTGTCATCCTTTAGTCACTGCAGAACAAAAGCTACAACCACTTTGCTGCTATCTACTACCTGCTAGTTGAGCGGCTCAAAGCCCACCGCTGCAGCTTCCCCGTCGAACCGCGGCTCGATGCCCGCCAGCGACGGCCCAGCACCATTGCAGAACAGACTGTTGTCAAGGTAATGTCAGGGCAACAAGGGGGCTCTGAATTATGTGTATGGAGATTAACATCCACACCTTATGATCAAAGCTCTGTTATTCACACCTGCAGCCAGGAACAAACAAACAGGCAGATACGAGCCAGCCGGGTTCTGTCTTCACCTCACTACTCTCTCCCAGTCTTTTTAACCCAGCCTTGATCTTAATTTCTCTGTTGCATTATTCATTATTTATTTTCTTTGCCCACTGTCTCTTCTTGTGTAGTTTCTCTTTCAGTTACCTCACTGTTTAGGATCAGTCTTTTTTTGCTTGTTTGGATTATAAAGTCAAATTTGCAGCTGCTCAATTGAGCTGTAATTGCATTATAATTGAGGATGTTGTTGAGCATTTGCTATGATTTTTGTTTTCATGTTAATAACTGTCTCCGTCTCTCCACAGTCGACCAGTGGTTCAGCACAGGTGGGTTTGCTCCCACAGGGCCTTCGTCTGCTTCGCTCCCCTGCTGTGCCTCAGGCTTCAACGGACGCTTTCAATTTCCCCCAGACTGGGTGTCCCCTGGAGCAGAACTTCATGGTGGAGGATGTCAACACGCCCAAAGTATGTCCAACGCTGCTTAAAAACAAAGTTAAAAACGAACAGCTCATAACAGCTCAAAGATCAGGCATTTCTTGTAAGGAAGTTGTAGTTATTTGGCTCGCATAACTATGTCCTGAAATATGATCCTGATAAGATTGTCAATGATTGGCTTTGATTAATATTAACCCTGTATCATTTTGAATCTGTGTCGCTATACACATGTATATGTGTGTGCAGTCTTAATCCTTTACTTGCTCCATCAACCCTCCAGAGTGCAGCTAACGTGCTATCTTATGTAAGAACTCAGTCAGCGCTCACGTCAGACAGGACAGCTGCCTGTCCCATACGGCTCCCAGACACACACACACACACACACACACACACACACACACACACACACACACACACACACACACACACACACACACACACACACACACACACACACACACACACACACACACACACACACTCCCTCCCTCGCTGTTTATCTGTGCCAAGCAGCAACCTTTTCCTCAGGTCCTGCTGAACTAACCGATTTTTAGACAACACAGAAACCAGAGGTTTAGATCACAGCCTCACACACCTTGCGGAAACACACAAACATGTATCCACACAAACAAGCACAGTCACACAAATTAAATGCTGAATCACTCTTAAAGATTACTTATCCATGCCTCCTTCTTCCCTGGCTCTAATAAACAGCAGTGTGTAAAGTGTATAGTTTTTGTGTGTGTGTGTGTCTGGGCTCAGCAGAATGCAGAAGAGAGGGAGACAGTGTGCGTTATCTGCGTGAATGGAGCCTGGTTATGTAAGCTGTCCTGTGATGATGATGTGACCTAATGTGAAACTGAGTGAACACACATGGACAGGAAGCTGCGATCTCACCACTGTGACCTCCTACCCATCAGCCAACAGCTCCACTTTTCTTGGCTCTCCTGTTTCTCTTTTCCATTCAGCTTCTTCTCTCTCTCTCTCTCTCTCTCTCTCTCTGTGTGTGTCTATGTCTCTCCTCTAATTCACCCTCTTACTCCCCTCTCCCCTTATGACCTCCTCCCCTTTCCATTGTCTATTTCTCAATGTTGTTTCCCCTTCTGCCTGTGTGTGCGTGCGTGCGTGCATGTGTGTCAGTTGAGTAACAGCATTCCTATCCCAGCTCATTACAGAAAGCAGATGAGGAATTGGGCAAAGTTGATCTTTCTGGATTTTGCTGCCGCTCATGCAGATGGTCTGTGTGTGTGTCAGTCAAAGCTCACTTCCTGGCCCTGCATTCCTTTATCCCCACCCTCCACCTCTAGGCTAACACACACAGGCTTGCATACTGTAACAATCAAACACACACACTCTGGAACTTAATGAGCTGGATGCTTTTAAATGGATGTTTACTGACTTGGAGGCAGACAAGTCTGGCTGTATATGTTCTGCATGATACATTTATGATTGTAGTCGATCCTGACAACTTTTTATCTGTTTATAACTTATAATCATGTCTTTCAATGTGATCATGTGTACTATATTAGGTTTGTAAGTATGGCTGCTAGTTGTTTTTCGGAAACTTTGTTACCTGTGCTGCTGCCTGTCTTTGCCAATACATTTTAATCTTAGTGAATTTGGTAAAATAGCTATAGTCTCATTTGGAATTGTCGGTCTGGATGTATAATTATTGTCTTTTCACCTCACGCTTAGGTGAACGGCTGTCTGCTAGACCCCCTGCCTCCCCACACTGTCCACCGCAAGTCCTCCACCTCTTCGCCTAGCAACATGATGGAGACGTCGATCGACGAAGGCATTGAGACGGAGGAGCCTGACACAGAAGAGGATTCGCCCCACCTGCTCTCAGCCTATCAGACAGCTCGGTTCGGCCAACGGAGACACACTCTCTCAGAGGTCACCAACCAACCAGGGCCATCAAACCAGGGTAACGCTCTTGCACTCTTTCTCACGTACTTAATACTAGAATTTTGCTTTTTTTCTGGCTCGATTCCAAATGATTAACAACTTTTGTCCCGCTGAAGGTAAACTATTCACTCTCGGACATAACCCCTCCATGGGCAGTGTGGACTCAGACATGGGTTACGATATGGGCTCCATGCAAAGCGACTTTGGCCTCCTAGATGATTCCTCCTCTCTCAGTGAGGTGGTACCTTGCAACAGCTCCGCCACTGGCGTCAGCCCTGCGCCCTTCATGAGCACTCGGCCCGCCTACCCAGCAATGGCTGCCCTGACTACACAGCATCGAGAGGCACACAACCGCTCCCCCATCAGCTTCAGAGAGGGACGGCGAGCCTCGGACACCTCACTCACCCAAGGTCAGAACCACTATTTTTATTTTTATCTTGCATTACATCCCACTTCTCTTTATACACTCAGACTTCAGTGACTTCATAGTGAGTCAAATATCCTCCTCCATTAACCAACACGCTCCATTTTTAGGTCAACCTAATAAGCACAAGGCCATTCTTCACACCTTTTATAAGAGACTTCACTGAGTGTGTTATGTGGCATTGAATTTATACTGTAGTGCAGTTTAATGGATGAGAGGACGACAGTAGACTGCAATGAGATTTGGAGGGATGATACAGTTCCTCACTAGCCATCAGAGGTGGACACAGTTGGATGTGAAGACTACGATTTAAAAGTAATACATATTCAGGGGTTTGTTTACTTAAAATTCTAAAAACATATAAAAGTTTTAGAGCTGCTACACAACACATTCAAATCTCATTTTGTTAACGATGCAAAAACAAAAAAGATGGTTTTGACAAGAACGAATAATGGGTGAAATATAACGGTGATATCTTGGATCATGCTATGTCCTGCTTCATTATCTACACAGCAGCATGATGAACAGCATTCTGTCACTTATAGAAGGTCACTGTCTGAAGTCGAAGTAAACAGGATAAGTTAAGAGGTATGCTTTGATATTACTGATCAGTTACAAATAAGTGTCACTTAGATTTAATGGCAGATCTGGCTCACACACTTCAGCTGCAGAGAGTTTGATGTATAAAGTGTCACCATGGCGATGTCTGAGGCTCCAGAATCCAAAGAGCACCAGTCAAGAGGAAGAGCATTGATTCTCATGACACAGACGCACACACCCCTGCTGCAGCTGCTCTCTCACACCCTTCAACACACACACACACACACACACACACACACACACACACACACACACACACACACACACACACACACACACACACACACACACACACACACACTGTATATATATATATGTATACTGCCTTCTAGACAAAAGTGCCTCATTCTCACTCTGTCATTTGCCTTCCTTCCGCTTCTTCACACATTTTCCCCCTGTCTCTTCCTCTTCTCTCTCTCCTCCTTCGCTCACCCTCTCTGGTCCCTCTGACGACTTTAGCAGTGATGATTGTAGTTATGAATCATACACAGATATTTAAAGGTTTTCTGCCCACATAGTTGTCTCTCTCGCTCTCTCGCTCTCTCTCTCTCTCTCTCTTTCTCGTCCCCTTTCTTTCTCTTCCTCTTCACCGCTTGTTTCCCGCCTTGCTGTTCTTTCTCTTTTTAAAGTTCAGTCTGTGGCAGGCAGGATTTGTCTTTGCGCTACATCAGAGAGGAAGAGGAGCCAAAATATAAGAACCACTTATCTCCCTTCCATTTTTCATGTACAGCTTCTTATTGTACACCTTCTGTTTGTAGCTCACTTGTGTTATAGCCAAGTAGAAACTAAAGTTATAGCTTAGAAATGTGTGTTGTTTCCCTGACTCTATGCTGACAGCCTACCCTATGCACAGCTTGAGGTTATTTGCAGTTAATTACCGGTGTATATATATATTTATTTTTGTAATCCTCTTTGGAGAGTGTTGATGGGGCGGATCCATTTGCGTCAGACTGCTGACTCTTTTAAATAACTCCCACCATTGCAGTGAGTCAGGTCCCCTTGTTCACAGCTCGTCACCACTGGACAGGTCTTATAAGAACCGATACTGTCTCCTGTGCACGTATACACACACACACACACACACACACACACACACACACACACACACACACACACACACACACACACACACACACACACACACACACACACACACACACACACACACACACACAGTGGATCCTGACGCAGATTGAGTCACATTGTCAGGATGGGCTGTGAAAATTGCTAACAGCTCAACCTGTTTGCTAATGTCATTGAGGAGTAAACTTCTAAAAGGACAAAGCCTTTTTTGCATCCTGTTTTGAAGGGAGAAGTGATTTTGTTGATCATCTGTGAGAATTATTACTGATTTCGTCGTTTTTTTGTGCTTTCAGGTCTGGTTGCGTTTCGGCAGCACCTTCAGCACTTGGCGAGGGCCAAGGGCATCCTGGAACTGAACAAGGTCCAGATGCTGGTGGAGCAGATGGGCTCTGGGGAAGGGGCTGCCATGGGCCTCATGGGACCACAGCACCACTTGCACAACCTCCTGGAGGTAAGACCTATCTCACAATCTCACAAAAACACTCACACCCATTCAAAATCTTTCTCTAAATTCCCTAAAGTGGGCACCCGCGCTGTTGTGTAACCCCAAGAGAGGCAGCCAACTGTGGCTTGTTTACTGTCTCCCCGTCCCCCTGGGGCCCGGAGCCTAGGCCAAAGTGAATGCAGCCATTGTTGAAGTCAGTCAGACTTAACCCTAGTTGTGACTGGCATTCAATAGACCCAGGCTACAATTACACACATAGACCGGCACACATATACACAAAGTAATACAAGTGCATAAACACACTGCAAGAGGAAACATTTATGGACATCTTTAAAATCCAGAAACAAACCATGAAAAAACACAGCATTAATTGCACAAGCAGACAAGATCTGGTAGTTTTCCCTCTGCCCATCTCTCATAATGCAATAACACAGCTCTTTGTTGCTTATGATGCTCAGGCCCCATCATCCTTTTAATTTGCTTTCATTTCATTTAACGACTGTGTAATCCCTGTGGTACATGCCATTTAGAGAGAGGCATCTGGCTGATCAGTCACCACACAGGCATTCGGGCAGGAGACTGCATGGATAATCCAGTTAGAGCTCATGATGGAGCACCCAGACCCTGACACAGCTTCATTAACCGGCAGGGCGGGAACCCTTGGGAAATGTGTGTGCATGTATGTGCAAGAACATGAGAATAAGTTCCCCTTGTTTAATATTCTATGTTTGTGATTAAAGGGCGAGGCGTCCAAGCAACAAGAAAGCCTAGCTTTATACCAAGGTGGACCTCATCCGCCTCTCCTGTCCCGCAGACAGAGTTTGGAGACACAATACCTCACTCACAGACTACAGGTACAATCTGACTCCAGCTACACTTCAATATCATAACTATATTAAATAATCACAACTTTCTTATAAAGACACTTTTGACATGCATGTTTCCAAGGTGATTATCTTGAACAAGGTCACAAGTCTCAATCTCTCTTTTCCACTGAAAAGGCCAACGTGTTGGCTAACAGTCCTGCTAGCTGCCAGCTTTTCTGTAAGGAGAACCCTCGAAGTTTAGAGCAACAGCTGCAGGAACACAGGTAAAAAAAAATATATCTATTTCTCCTGACATCTTTTGACCTTTTTTATTATTAAATTAAGTGTAAGGAAACATTTGAAGTTATTTCCCACCAAACAGAAAAAAACTGTTTAAAAAAACACAAAATGAAACAGCCGCAAAGACCTAAACTAATAACCATAGTGAACATCCATTTAGTTTCATGTCATCCATTCATCATGAAACTGCTTTCCTTTTTTGTTTATAATAATATATTTTTTTGTTATGCCCAACCTGGTCTGGAGTGAGAAGCTCATCTCACTTTTCTCTATATTTCGACTGCCTGCTAGCTCTTTAGGATCGCTAACAACAACTCATGTTGGGAAAAGATATTACTCCAACCTGTGCAGCACATGCACAAATAATTAAGTTTGAATTTAGCATTGGATAGCATGGATTTTGTTTGAGTGATTTTGCATTAAATTTAGTCGGCCTTTTGTTGTGAATCCTACAGTCTAAGTGGACGACTCCAATGCTCTCTCCACAGACTGAACCAGAAGAGGATGTACCTGCAGCAGTCACAGGGCATGGGGCTGCAGACCTACTTCAACCAAATGCAGATTGCTGAAGGATCCTATCCCACAGGCAGCCCTGCTTTGGACCTGGCAGCGTCTCAAAGTTCCCCTCAGGGCCCCCCCATGTCAGCCGCCCATCAGCCCCAGCAGCAGGTCAGTCCTCAGGCCTCCCCGCCCTTCAGCCACAGCCTCACCCCGCTGATGGAACCGGGCGAGGGCCTGGTTTACGATCCCTACATGAGCCACCACCACTACACCCACCACCTCCCCCCTGGATCTCACCTCCACCACCAGCTTCACAACCTGCAGCCTCATGAAGTGTCTGCAAGCGGCCTGGGCTTCAGCTTCCCTCCAGGCTGTGAGCAGCAGCTCCTGGGTCCTTCCACAGAGGCTCTCCTCCCAGATCAGTACGAGTTCCCTGCCTTGGACCCCAACTTGCTGCCCCCGCCTGCTCCGGGGGAGGCTGAGGCTGGAGCTATGGGCGGGGTCATGGCTGGTCAGGGGCAGTCAGACAGCCTGGGCCTGCCTGGGCTGCAGGGCTCCCTCCTGGACAGTGAGATGATGGAGACTGTGGACTCCCAGCACGGCTTTGTACTGGTCAACTAAAACCAGCTGAAGGGGGTGAAAGAGAAAGCAGTATTAGGCAAAGAGAACCTACACAGCACTAAGAGCAGAGAGAATGGAGATGTAAGAGGAGGCCACAAGCGTAGCAACAGGGAAGAAGTGTTCATTTTTGTACGACTAATACAAACTTTCATTTCTTAGTTGTGACAAAACCTCAGACAACCTTTCTACCAAATTCCTCCCTTAGCCTACCTCCCCTTCTCCCCCTCCTCTGTTTCTGTTCTCATGAGCCACGTGAGGCAGGAAAACAGGTCCCACATGTGGCACAAAGTAAGCTTCACCATGATGATTTGGCGCGGCTGCTGTTGTCACAGATTTTGTGCCCCCCCCCCCCCCCCCCCCCATGAGGACTGCACAGTTCAGCCCGGGGAGCTGCTGCATGTACTGGAGGCTGCCAGAGTGCAGCTTCACCTAGAAATGGTTTGGAAGAGAAGGACAGAAGAACTGACTGACAGACAACCAAAAGGACAACGGCTGGCAGTGCTTTTTGTATTTATAATAGGACACAACAACAATAGACTGGTTCTTATAACACTTTTGAGCTTTTTTTTTTTTTTTTTTTCAGTAGATGAAAAAAAAAAAACACAACTGAACAAGAGAATGGCCCTCATTTATCACGGTACCATAATTCTAACCACAAATTCAAGTGTTTTCCTCCCCACGCTATATTTGTCACACTACTCTGACCACAAACATGACGGTCGTATTCAGAACAGCATATGTTTCAACACTACCATCATTAAGAACACTTTCCGCTTGTCTTTAGCTTAAACTAATAACTCTAAACATGCTGATTGAAGCTCAGGTTGGAGAGTAATGCAAACGTGTTGCTGTTTTGTGTTTTTAACAGCGCTAAAGCTAAGCGCTAGCACTAAGCACTCTTTCCAAGCTTGTTTATTCAGTGTTAATTTACAAGATAAATGATAGATACTACATTTCTGTAGCTGCAAGCTTTAAAGCAGGTGATTTGACTTAAATAATACACATTCTTGGTGATCTTTGTCTTTTTCTTATTTGTTACTACTGATCACGATTTATTTCTCACACTACTGAACTGCTTTTCCTTCTTACAGTCAGATTGCACACACTTGCCGGTTTTCATTTTACTCAATAAACGAAGGATCATTCCCAGTTATTGCAGTCAAAATGGCCACGTCTGTTTTAACAGTTGAACTGTGGGTCGTGTGTCTGCCTGATAAATGAGGGCTGATGTAATTATCGTGTGTTTGGTTGAGAAGTAGCGGTGTTAGACAGTCGATATTATTCGATTTTTGTGGCAATACTGAAGCAATATTATTAATCCTTAATGTAGAGGGACGATGAACGGAAGCATCACCTGTGCAGCCAGCTCTGATTGGTTCCCGGGAACCAGTGTCGTCAGCAGTGACATCACTCTAGCCGATGATGTAACCAGGAGATAATCTCTCACCAACTCGACCCCTGGGAGTGCAGGGACGGGCCTGGAGACAATTGTGTGGCGATGAATGTGTTTGTGTGTGAGAGTACGTGAGTGTGATTACCGTTTGTTTGCACAATTCCTACATCAAATTTGTCAAATCCTTCATGGTCATTCCTAAAAATGACCGACACTGTATTGATGTCTCCATTGAAAAGAACACAAACTGTGCTTTTTTTCCCCCCTCAGTGCACAGTCAGTGGTAGCTTTTAGATGAATTCTGGTTGACATCCTCAGTGCTCCAGTCATGCCTCTGTGTTTCTTGTAATAATGTTTGTAATAATGGAGTGACCCCCTAAAAGATTCCCTGCATTGGATTTCATGAATGAATGTTTCCTCTCTGACGTTTGAAGGCTGCTGTGAGACAAAGACGAGCACGTCATTGGCCTGACACTGGATTTTTCACTATAGGCTCTAAAATGCTCTCTTTGACTGACAGCTAGCCAGCAATCAGACGAGAGATTTATTTTTTACAGCACTTAGACTGTGTTCAATTTTACTTGAAGCGCACACATGTATCTACCCTGATGATGATGATTATGAGTTATTAAAAAAAAAAAAAAAGAGCACCCTTTCATGGAACAATGGGACAGTGAACATCCGAGGGTGAGATGGGACTGTGACCATTTGCCAGACTGTGTGACCCTCAGTGGTCATAGGTTAAACTGTAGGAGTGTTTGTGTGCAGATTAGACTTGAGACAGGACCCGGCAGAGTTCACAATCAGAGCCTCAAACATCACAAGGGTTTGTCTTCATCATTGAAGTCAACAGTCTTAAAAGATGTTTAGAAAATATGGACCAACTGGTGTTGCAGTCCGGTGCAGAAGTAAAAGGAAAAGTCCACCCTGTAGTGCTCATTAACCGTGCTTCATGTGAGATGTGACCTCACTGATCGCCTGTGACTGAAGAGTGATCTCTCTGCTGCTTGATTTTTGATGAACCTGATAGATGCTTGGTCTATTTGATGATGGAAAATAGAGGGACAAAGCAATGTAGAAAAACCTTATGGCCTTTTTTCCCTAACAGTCGAAAGCCCAATAGTAATTAGTTTACTTTAATCCAGCATAAACCTAATTAATAACAAATATACTTTACTTTTTGTAAAAATATATAAATGTATACATTTAATCTCATCCCCCAAAAATGCTGCTTATCTTTACCTGAGACAAACAGACAATATCAAAAACAGACACTTTGCCCCTGATTCTTTTTTCTTCAGTTGTGTTCTTTTAATTGTCCTGAGCCCACAAAATCAATAATATGATATATTTTTGTCACCGTTCAAGAAGTCAGTTCTGATTCTTTAGAGGTCACTGTTTTTCCCTGACATTTGGCAGAAGTACTGTTAACTCCAGGAACAATGGCTTTAAACAGACCATTGTGCTCTGCAGCATGACATGTCGCAAAACTGGACCGGTTGCTTCTATAATAGTTCCACCCTGAAAATTGACTAACTACTTGTCTTTTGTTTATGTGGTCTTACACCCACGTGTTATTGATAGGAATGAGTTCACACCCAGTTTGTAGGTCTTGTGGAAGATGTCCTTTAGAAAGAAGGAGGAAATCAAGCAGCAGAGTTGAACGCATTCATAGCATTAAATCATCAGTGTCAGCGGTCCAGTATCAGAGGGTGGATTTAGCCTTTTATGTGAATATTGTTTTATTTTGTATTAGGTCAGGCTGGAGTGGCTACAGGTTGATCTGTTGAAGTTGAATACTAGAGCACTTTGACAACAAGGGGAAGAGGTGATGTAGCGGGAGAGGAGGAGGAGGTGGAAAAGGTTTGTATTGCTCTGCCGTTTCCTGGCAGATGAAACAAAACCCACAATCTTTAGGAAGCACCTTTCTACTCTCTCTCTTCCCCAACTAATAATGGACACAAAACACATTTCTTTCAAAGAAAGACACACCAACACTTTATCTGATTGTTGGTTTTTAATCCAAGTGAGGGTCAACGATTTTCAGTTAATGATGAGTGTCATTTGTAAAAAATTAGAGGTGTAGTGAATCGTCGGTGTTACACCGAGGTTGATTTTGTGTTGAACGTGTTCAGTGTGCCTTTTACTTTTTTCAATCTAAATTAAGATTTTGAATAGCATAGTTTTTTTTCTGTTTGAACCCGTTTATCATTGATTTTTACTATTACTTTTTCTTTTCTTCCGAAAAGTAGAGCCAGGTTTTACAAAGGTACAAAACCAAAGTCCCTCAGAAGTTTCCCTGTACAACCCACCGTGTGGAGTTTTGGAGCTTCTCTCTCAGCTTCTCTATCATGCTTTTTTTTTGTTCTCGTTGGTCAATCAGTGTATGCCATTTAAAAGTATTATAGCAATATTTCTCTAGCTGAAGACTCAAGTCATGAAGATTCTAGTGGACGTGTTTCCAAGTTGAATAATTTCACCTCCTGCTGATAAAACAAAACATCAATCTATCAATAGAAATCCAGTTTTATATTTACCTTCATTGATGTTGACCACACATAAGCTAACTTGCTGTTGAGATTAAAAAAAGTTTATTGAACATCAAAGTAGTGTGGAGTTTTTCCTGTGTGTACTTGTTTGAGCATTATTTTCATCTTGACTGTTTTCTTGAATCATGTTTCTGTAATCCAATTGTCCTTTAACTATAAACTGCAGCCATCTGAAAGCACCCAAGTGTTGCATGATGTACACAAGTGTAATGACCTAGAAAAATGAATCACACCAAGTGCTTGGTATAAACGGTTGAGTCACAGTGGAACCTGAAGTGATTTCAACCACAGCTGAAGCTCCAGAGGCGGCCAATCCAGCAGGAGCTACAGAACTGGTTCTGTTTCAGGGTTTGTAGTTTAAGCCTTGAAGTAGCACCTATAAAATCTAAACAAAGTGTTTAAATGTTAAACACTGACCCACTCCTAGTGATAAGGTGTGTCACACATACCTCCACTTGAAACATTCCCAGAGAGTACAGATGTGTAGTTGTCCACTCAGGATTCGGGGGAAGGATCAATGCAGTCAAATGAAGAATTCCAAAGATGATTTGTTTAGCTGCTGCAGTACCTGGACACAATCATTTTTTTTTAACGCAGTAAAAGTAACAGACATGTAAAAGTATATTTTTGTGCTTTCTAGAATGGGTTGATTAGCAGAGGAGAGTATTAACATCAAGTGAAACAGCAAATACACAACACGAGACATCTTTGAGATGTGTCCGAATGAGACACATCCAACACCACCACAGAGAGTTTACACCACATTTACATCACTCACATGTTTCAGGTTGATGCACACAGATGTCAAAAGATAAATTCACATTAAAGGGTTAATGTATCCAGTACACTATGACGAATTTAGTAACACTCATCATGAAGATTTTGAACACAGACATCTATAAAAGTCAATATTCACGTATTGAAGTAATTAAATGAACTGAGACCAAAGCACTACAGCAGCCCACAGCGCTTTTGCCCGGCTGTGGCTCAGTGGTACCGGATGATTGGGGGGTTTTGATCCGCAGCTCCTTCTGTCTCATGTCAAAGTGTCCTTGGGCGAGACACGGAACCCCCATATTGCTCCTGCTGATGCTTCAGTGGCTTGTGAATGTGTATGAATGGATTAGGTCATGCTGATGGACACTTACCAGCTTCTGCCATCAGTGAGAAACTGTGGTGTGAATGGCTAAGTGTGAAGTGTAAAAAAGGTGCTTTGGGAAAGTCGGAAGACTAGAAATGCTTCCATTTACAGTCTGAATTATGCTAGAGTGAGCAACATCCATGAGAAACTGGGATCAACATCAGAAAGGCATTGGAATTCTGGGGGGGGGGGGAACCCTAACCCTTAATAATGACAATGATCTACCAAAATGATTCTACCTTTAAAACACCACAATACCCCTAATGGCTTGCACACATAAATGATCATATTGTCACTTTGATTTAGTCCTCAGAATCTACTTGCTGGTCCACATCAAAGATTTGTGTTCTTTATTTCATAAACTTTTTTATTCCCTTCAATGATAAACACTTTCAGGGACACTTAGTAGCAACTTCTGGCTGCAGCGAACAAGGAGTAGAAAGACATAATTCTAACTAAGTACACGGAAAAAAGAAAAATACTTCCTGCATGCTCAATGTCAGACTAATATTGCACTTGAATTCTGTGAATTCTGTTTGAAGGCGGAAAAGAATAGTAAGCCCTGCACATATCACTTCAATATAACTTAACCTGTCTTTTGTAAATCCAGATGTGAACAGCTCCAGCATCTTACTCAACTCTTTGTCACTGTTTTCACATGCTGGGGACTGAATAATTAATCACCACTGATGAGGACTGAGGCCCAGTGGCTCAGCTCACTGATCTCACCCACATTTAGTCTGTCTTCATGGCAATCCGCGGTCAATATGTATTTAACTACATGAAACTTGAACACCTTTTCTAAAAGAGAAGCACAGCTAAGGGGGCCTGTCCTGAGCCGAACCTTGATTGGTTGACCTTGGCCACAGGTCTGAGAAGAAGGTGGCAGGTTGCCCGCTATTAATACATTCGGAGAAAATGGGCTATTAGAAAATGAACAGACACCCTGGTGTGGTTTGAGAGCTGACGTTTGTCCCACTTGGGTGGAAAAGGATCATGAAGCGAGAACAAGTCAATCCAATCAGCCCACTTAGCCAGAGAACAGTTAATCCCAATAATATACCAACAGTCTCACTTCTTTTCCTGGGATCAGACCCTGAACACAACACGCTGCTGGTGCTGCTGATCCAAACTGATAAGTCTGAAATATGGGATGAGTCACACTCAGCCGAAAAGTCCCCCTTCATCAGATTCAACGGTTGACGTAAACCAACATTTCGCATCTGCTGCCATTAATCAAATATTGATTCGACCCTGTTAAATAAGCTTTGAATGGGAAAGCCCTTTCAAAATAAACAAATCTCCTTCAATTTAGTCCTCAACACTCTTATGTTGCTGTCATACGGAGAAAAACTGAAGGCTATTTTGCAACAACATTGGTTGCTATATTTGAAAAGTGTGACCTCGCAGCAATTTTCCCTACAAGATGGCAGCATTTTCCAGTTAAACGTAGTTATTTATAGTATGAATCCAGTGCCATTGTGTGCTGTGGAAACCTTCAGGCAGGCTGCTTGGCAAAGACGCTCGTATGGAAGAGAGGCAGAGAGAAGAGAAGCTGATACATGCACATACAGCGGTAATCTTTTTTTCATCAAACACCACAATATCAGGGGCCTATTCACTCATCAGGCCAAAGTATACTGTAATGACATCAATGGTTGCCGTGACAACGGGAGGAGGGTGGATGACAACATCCTACTGCGTCGTTTATAGACCAGGGGATCACAGCACTGTGTAGAATTAGAACTGCAAAAAATGGAAAAAAAAAAAAAAAAAAAAACACGGAGAGAAGATGGTGCAGGAAAAATAATGAACTTTTTGTTCCCTAGACGCAGTTTTTCCCTGAAACTCTCTGTGCATGAATACACAGAAATATATACAAAACATGCATTTAAGTCTGACGCTACTGCTGCAGCTTAGCATGGCATGTGTGATTGTCTTCTATGAAATCAGCTCCTGATTGAAGGTCATACTGCACCCATGATTATTCTCCTTTGTCTCTGCAAGCAGATGGACAGAGGCTGAAATCCCAGTTCGGATGACCCAGAAGTGCCTCGAATACCATTTCCTGCAGGGTGAATGTTTCATACCAAGCCAAGATATTATCTAGAGGAGAAAGTTTATAGATCCCATGATGCCTTGCTGAAAGATGACAGAATAAGAGAGATGGAGGAGGAGGGGGCTGTAGCGACAAGGTGACTGAATGAAAATAAGAGCTCCGCCGCTGCTTTTCTCATTGACTGATGGTTGTCATTTGTCACCCTGAGAGCATCTGACCTCACTATGCATGTGTGTGCGCATGTTTGTGTGTGCTGTGTGGGGGCTTTGACTCCTTTCATTATAAATGACACAGTCCTGGGAGGCAGCTGCACTGACGTCAGAGCTCTCTCAGCGCTGTCAAGGGCTCTGGCTGCTGAAAATCTGCCCAAATAACAGGATCTAAATAGAAAGAAATAGGTTGTTGCTGTTTCATTACCGCCTTGTGAACTCCAGCGGATTTAGCGAGGGGGGGGGGGGGGGGGGGGGGCAGATTAGACCTCGCCCTCGAGTAATCACGCTTAAATGAAGATTTTCACTTGTAGGAAAAATTGCAGTTCAAAGCTTGGCCTGTTCCCTGTGTTTAGATCACCAGCTTATATATGAAGAAAAGTTCAAATATGTTTTTTCTTCAATCCCACAGGCTCTATTGCTCTCGAAAAGCTCAGCTTTATTCTGAACAGCTCTCAAGGTGGTCTCGCAGTAGCAGAAAATGCTGACACAGCAACCTGTGCATTAAAGAGTATGTGCACAATGTGGTATAAAGCCAAAGAAGTGCTGGGTGGAGGATTGGGAGGAAACATGGCACCAAGGAGGTCTGGTGGGAGATTTGAAGAGATTAAAAAAGGCGGGTTGAGATTCTCATAAAGATCAGTGCCATTTCATTTATTGTCCTAATCCTCTTTGCCTGATTGCTCATTTGGATTTAAACAGAAAAGTATGGTGCATCTAACCTTTGGCGTGTACATCAAAAGAAGTACAGCTCAGTTTTCTGTCCAAACCGATATAAACATGTTTTTCATACCTTCAAACCTCTCCTGCTTCAGAAAGACAAACAGCTCTTCTCAGCCGAGCCCTTATTTTGCAGAGTTCCTCAGAGTGAGGGCAGTTGTCAGCTGCAGACCCTGGCCCGCTCTGCATGTTCCCTGCAGCGAAAACAGAACCAAGACTGCTCTTTCATCTCCACAGCAGCTGCTGACCAGGTTAGAGCTGACCAAATACGAGAGCAGCAAGATGTGAAATGAATCCCACATTTTCATTGAAAGGCCTTAAAGCTGTTGTTACAAAGCTAAAGGAGTACTTAACCGTCCTGGATTAAGGATTTACTTGCGCTGTGATAAACACTTTGTTCACTTAAAACACTTCACAAGAAATACCTGCTTTGGAGACCCTTCTCCACAAAGTCCGAGGAAGGCTCAAAAATTCTGGACAAATGACTGGAGTAAGACAGACATCCTTGAGGAAAACTCAACTCTTCTCTGCAAGACAACAGTGGCCAGGTAGATTTATTTTCCAACAAGTGAGCAAAGACACTGTTTCAAAGTTAAACAGAAACTGCTTCAACACAACAGTACTTAAAGAAGCTGAGTCAGAGTCCAGAGTTTAAGAGAATCCAGACCTTAAGGCAGTAATTTTCCTCCATATTGTTGAGCAGAAACTAGTTATAAATGCAGGCTACACAAGTTCATTGTGTTACTTTATTCAGATCAAGATACAGTTTCCCAAGTGTGAAGAAATTCAAAAAAAAAATAAAGCACAGTCTTTGTGATACAGGACAATCAACAATCAGGGTTTATTCAAGAAAACAAAATGGCAGGGGAGGGGGAGAAGGGAACAACGGGGGAAGTTCAGAGAAAAACAAGTTTATTCTATTAACACATACAATCCATTTATTCAACCCGCCCACAACCACCCGCGCTCCCACCCCCTAATAAAACATTATGCAGCCTTACGTACACATGCTCCATTTCCCCAAGCCCACTTTCTTTAAAAACATGCACTTGATCTCCATCGCGTAGATATTTTTAAGCAGGAACCATTGGTTGGCTCTTCATGTTCACTGCAATCTCATACAGTAGAGGACCTGGCATGGATTCAAGGGGAAACTGGGTGGCTCTAGGACACGTGTGTCTTGGTTTTGTTTGTCGCAGTCTTTACAAATGAAGTCTATTTAGAATGGAGTGGCTTTACAAAAAGATACAGGACAGTTGACAGTAGTTTACCCAGGCGTACTAAAAGAAAACACCACTGCTATCAAATCAATCAAAATCAAAAGAGCAATGCTGAGAAGATCTTGCGAAAAATCACAACTGATGACTAATTCCCAATTCCCCTAACAAAAGTTACTTGGAATCCTTGGGAGGAGTAATTACGAGCAACACTTCACGACTGAGCTGGTCCCTATTACAGTGGGCCGAGGTAATTCATTTGTTTGACCAATTCAATCTGAGTTGCTGCAAAGAACAAACAATGCAGAGGGGTGAGGTACTCTGCTAGATAGAGTTTGGAAGGGACAACATTTGAGATTGATTAGAACATGCAATCATTGAAAGAGTTCATCGGATTACATGCAGTAATGGACATCCCATTATTTCTTTGTCACAGAGTAGTACAAAACAGTTCTGTGAAGCATTAAGGAGACAACAGGTTTGGCCTGGTGGAAGAAACTAAACCTGCAGTCCTTTCAATCACTTCTCAGCAAAGCGTATCAGGGAAAAGAGCGCTCTCAGAGAGAGAAAGAACAGCTAAATAAACAGCTTGTAGAGCCATCTGCTAATGGAAGTTAGCGCCTAGCATCGGGAGAAAAGTGCAACGGACATAGACATGTGGTGTGCTGCAATGACTGTGGCTGAAGTACAACAGTGGCCCATGATGTAATAGGGAGGAATGTGAGAGGGGTTCTGGTTAGCAATGCCTAGCTAGTACAGTAGCACATAAGTCAGCATGCACCACTTAATGCAAGTTCATCACACTTTGCTTTTTTAGTTTTTAACACCCATTTACAGCAAAGAGAGAGGTTAACGTAGAAGCCTGTGCTATGCCTTGACATGGATTAAACAAAAGATAAAAAGAAAAAGATAAAACCATTGTTAACAGCTTTTCTCTATACATTTACCAGTTGTTCCTGAACATCAATAAATATCTTGTAAAAGTGTTTGCGTTGTTGTTTTGGGTGGTTGTCTGATTTAGAGATGTGGGGTTGGTTTATGCTAGGGCCAGAACTGGAAAAAAAAGACAAAAAGAAAATCAGAGTTTTACTCAAATCATTTTCTAAAGCATGCTAATGATGATTCATCTCATTCTAAATGCAATCAAGTTAATAAAAGAACCTACCACTGATTGCCTCCTGGGCAAAGTACTTGACATCCATGTCTGTGTCTGTGGCCAGTTTCTCCAGCACTGGCTTCACTTCGGACTGAAGGGCACTGAGAGACAGAGAAAGAAGGAGGCACATTTTTTTAAACATACTATCAAAGCAGGTTCTTCATTTATGAGTCAATGCACATTTTTGTCACATTGAAATGAAATTTTAAAAATGACATACTTGCTGTCAAGGACTGGCCCAATCTTCTGAAGGGACTTTGCTACGTTGAAGCGTACGTTTGCCACCTGGTCATTGGACATCTTTAGGACCACTGGAAGCATCTGCTTAGTGGTGATATCCTGACCACATGCCTCTGACAAAGCCTGAGACAGAATACCAGTGGTCAATAGAGACAGTAATTCAAATTTACAGAAAACTTTAAAGAAGAAATAATATAGTTTCAGACCTTATCATGAAAGCAGGTTAATAGGAGATGCTAATGACTCACATTGATGCAGAATAGAGTAGTCATTCTGTGGAGGTAATTGGGGTCATTGGCCATGCCCAGCACTTTAGGCACGATGGTGTTCTGAGCCCACTCAGCCCCAAACTTCTCCACCAGCTTCATCAGATTACAGGTGGCTGCCTCACGGATGGCATACACTACAAAACAGTGATACAGTATAGTATGAATGCTGTCCCTGAAAAGAGTCTGTAAACATACTTCACTTGATTTATATAGAAACAAATGCCAACTGTAAGGGAAACTGGAAACATTGTAATTGTGTAGACTTTATTCATATAATTTAAACTTCTAGCCAAATGTTAGTCTTGGGCATCAGAGAATTCACCCAGAAACATCCAATTTAACTTTCATCAAACAGCAGAAATCATGGAGTTTTGTTGCTATGTACAAAGAAACAAAGAATCTCATTATGTTAGAGACAGTGACCGAGATTATGGGCTGATTTCTGTAGTCCTGTCTGACTTTGAAGGGCTTACATAAGGGTGGCACAGCCCTTACCCCAGCCACAGCCACAGCCAAACACACACACACTCATGTACGGAAACTCACACCAACAGCATTCCAATGATGTAACCCAGCTGGCCCTTTGTCCTCAATAGTGCGCGTGTGTCTGTCTAATTAGAAAACTTGATGTGAACAGAACACTATAGAAGAGGGAAATGTATGCAAAAGACAATGTGTAGGTTATAAAATAGAGAAGTGTGCGTTGCTAAACTCTGTGAGTACACAGCTGTGACAGCATTTGAATATAGGTGAAAACAGAAAAGAGAAGCTCCCACTGCAAACAAGCTCAGATAGACTCACCCAGAGTGACCAAACATCAAGTTTGAACCCTATCGTGTACAGCTTCTATATAACAGGCTGTGGCCTACATTAACCTAAGTTAAAAACAAGGAAGTTCAGTAATATATACAGGAAAATTTGAATGTGCGTAAGAGTAGCTTGCTCTTAGCTCTTTATATATTGTAAATGTAACTAAACCCTACCCAACACAGACTGCTATTACAACCTTGCTGAAGTGTGTTGTGGAAAAATAACATGTAAAAATTATATACAAGATACTTCAAAATAAGGACTCTGTGTTTTGTTAAGAAGTGGGACAAACTGCAAATGGATAAAAAAAACAAAAAAAAAAAACAACTGTTTTGTCCAATGATTTCTATTCTACAAACTTCTTCTAATCCAACATAACTGCTTTGAAAAATGTATCCCATTAGAATGTCTTACCATGGTCGATGAGCCAGGCCATACAGAGGGTGTTGAGTTTCTCATCAAAGAACTCGACTCCCTGGGCAAAAACAGACACATGTGTAATTAGAGCTTATTCCTGAATGTCTTAAGTCAAATCATTCCTAAAGTCCTCTGTACTTTTCTGATTTTCCTGGTAATATGCATAGTACTAATTAGAAAGACCTTTACAACATATTTTATATGGCCTTTAATGTTCCTGAACTCAGTGACTCACCAGCTGTCCAGCCAACAGGGGCATATACTCTATGATGGCAAGGCGAACCCTCCACTTTGCATCCTCTGCCAATTCCACAATGGCCGGCAGGAGTGACTGGGAGAGCTGACGAATGCCAATCACTTCATTCACACAGTCAAGGTTGGAGATGATGTTTAAACGCACCTCAGGGCACTGTAACAGAAAAGTAATCAAGATGAGCATCTCAAGTTAATCAGCTCGCCTTCGTCACAGCACGATATTCAGGTGTTAGTCAAAGCGTAATCATCTCAAACGTCATACCTTATAAAAACCTCCTTACCTTTCAAGTGAACAAGCAAAGCCCCTTTAGTCACACAAAATGTTTATCCTCAGGTGACGAACAGACACAACCAATAGTTTGACAGTAAGTAACACTTGTTTACAGAGTGGGAGCAAAGTAGTAGCAAATAAGACACAGTGACCCTTTGAGATGCACCTTGAAGTATTGAAATTGTCATGCCAAAGCTGTCACTTTGGACTGTAATCCAATTAGACTCTTGGTCTTGGTGCTTTTTGCTGTGAGGAAATGGGGCCATCTTTAAATAGGAAGAAGGGAAGTACTAGAAGAACAGTCAGCCTCAAGCAATCAAAAACATTTAAATGTCTTGGTGTTTAACCTGCCAAACTGTAATTTCATCAAAAATTCATGTGATGGAAATGTTTTCATTGGATAAAGTGTTAAGCTAAAACTGTTATATGAACCTGTGTTATCACATGCTTTCTAAAAAATACTTTCACAGGTTAATACCAACACCTACTGCTTGCTGCTTACTTCTGTACCTATCAAATGTAATAAGCATTACACAGTTGCACTGAGTGCACTATTTAAATATTCCTCCCAGACACAATAATTGAGTCTAATTGTTAGGTCTCAGTCTTTGTAAGTCACCCTCCGACCAAGCCAGGTGGCAGACAGGTACGTCTGGTGACTGTGGCTAAGTGGCTTTACCATGTCTCTGCCATGCTGATCACTCAGGGCCAAAGGAAGTTGGTCAAACTTCACCTCACAGGAAGCTTTTGTTCTCAATGTAACAACTGCCTGAAGATAATTAAACCCAGTTGTGTCAATTATAAACAAGAAAGTGGGGCCCACAATTACAAGTGTGCATTTCCTTTACCTCGTCCTTGAGCTGAGCCAGGAAAAGTGGCAGTAAGTGCTCTATTGTGTTGTCCTTTCCAAGGATGGTCGACAGGCCCATAATGACTGAAGCCAGAGCTGACTTCACATGCTGGTTTGTGTCTGAGACAAGTTCCTGGTCAGGGACAAGACACACAGGAGACAGAGAGATCAACACAAACAAGCAGTTAAGACAGAAAAATTGAAAACAAAAATCAACACTACTGCTATAAGTCATATTTACAACACAGTGCACAGAGGAACACTATCATTTTCTACTATGTATAAATACACAGCAATGGGCACTTAATACTAGGGCAGACATCAAACACAATGCCATTGTAGTTATCTGCTGGGGGGGGGGGTAAGTTCAAATATGATGTGAATAGAAACAATAATGGCAAAACATATACAAGTGGAACTGAAATGATCGACCAACCTGTCATGTTTACTGATATCAAACATGACTAATGCAACAAATATCTCATGATAACACAAGTACTTAAGGAACTGGTGCACTTTTGAGGACGTCATTTTCTATTATTCTGTAATGTACTAATTCTCTGCCTAACAGTCTTGGCAGGTCATCTACTCTGTGTGCTTTGTTAAAGTATCAAGGGAAATGCAAGTTATCATAATATTACATTTTTACAGCTTTGTAGGTTTTTTCATCAGTTTGTGACCTGTAAATATTTATTCCACTGTTGATATGTTGACAGGGTAAGCACTGTTACCGTTGACACTTATCTTTACTTTTTACAAACAACAGTTAAAGATTCAGGGGATTAAAACAAAGCAGGTCTACATGGACTTAACATATCCATTAGTGAATTAAAAAAAATAAAAGACTGCAAAGATTTAAGACTTATTAATCCTTGGAACACAGTTGTACTTACCAAAGAAAAGTACAACAACATTGCCACCTGCTGTTCAAAATCTGACCTACACTGGCAGTCAGACAAGCAGCCTATAAATTATGTTATCAGCATTTAGGGTTAGATAAGAGACAATCTTACAATTATCAAGGTGTGCCGTTTCTAATTTTGACCATTTCTCCTTCCCCCCCCCGATGTAAATGCTGTGTACTGAATGAGTCTAAGTGTGTACGCTCAAACTTTAACCCCCCTTTGTTCTGTCCAGTATGTTGCCAAAATATTCTCATTAACAACTTTTTTTGAATTCATTTTTTTTTTTTTTTTTTTAGTATTTCATGTGAGTGCTAACAAGTCACCTCAAATGCAAAAATCATGTTAACATCTGAGAGAAAAAAAATCTTTAGTTGAGTAAAGATTAGACCTTTGTTCTGTGACAAATTAATTTTTAAATGTGTGTTATAGATTTGAATGCAGCTTAATGAGGCAGCTTTCTGGTTCTGTTTGTAAACACACCTTTATGCAAGTATAATATGACGTACTGTTTTTAGTAGACACTTTTTCACGTTTTTCATGAATGTTTGCTTTGGTTGCTCGTCTTATTGGACCCATCACTACATTTAAGTGCCAGTATTTGATTTGGTAAATAAAATATCACTTTCAAAGTAGTAAAGGCCCAACATTAAAAAGGAGTACACCCAGGTTGTAAAAACAAGCACAGTCTCATGAAGGAGGACAAAATATTAACACATCTGCATAAACGCTTAAGGGAAAACCATTACAAGATAATGCTTCTATGCCTTCTGTGTTTTTATGACTCACAACAAATTTTTACCTTGACACAGGGCAGAATGTGAGTCATAATGATTTGCTCACGACTGTCCTCTGGGAGATTCTCGCAGAATTCTAACAAAGAAGAAAAAGGGTATAATGTCAATAAGATATGGAACAGGAATGAAAATAAGGAAATACAAGAACTTAAATTTAAACCATGACATCCTAGATTTCAACAACTGTCCTTGATGCGTTAACTAGTGTGTAAAAACAAAAAAAACAAAAAACGGACCTTTGACTTTGTTGGCTGCAGCAGCACGGACCTCAGCTTCACAGTCCTTCAGAAGATTCTGGAAGGCTGGGACCAGGTCGTTCTTGGTGATCTCTGGCCCAACTGCTTTCTGAAGCTAAAACCACAAAAAAAAGGCAACATGTCTCAATATCTTAACACGCATGTTTAGAATATGCATTTGCAGAAAGATTGTATGGATAATAGTGAGCTGTTAAACATAAAGACAGAGAATTGAACAGCCTTATGTTGAATACAAGGTAAATGTTGGCTGTGGGGATCTAAATATTTCAGGTGGCCTTGACATTGATATAAATTGTCTTTTAAAAAAAATGGTTCTCTCAGTGGTTGGGGAATGAAGTTATGATACTAAACACATGCCGACGGTCCCTGGGTATAACAGGTGACATAAGTGTTATGGCATTTGTCTTGAACTTTATAATGATATCAATTCCTGAAATGTCTCAGATGCCACAACAAAGTGGGATTGATGAGGGTTAGTACATCAGTCCATTCAATGATCCACTTCTGACACTATTTTTTTGTTTCTCCCCAGTAATTAATTCGTTGGCAAGTTACCCTTTGCTGCAACAGTGTATGTATCATGGCTGCCCTGGCAACAACTGTTTTGTAGCAGGTAAAAAAGAACAGACTTCAGTGAATTCGTCCTGTGTTTCAGTTAAAAATTAGTGTGGTGCTAGCACAAAGTAAACCCGTTGGTAAGAGTCAGCAAAGTGTCTGCATTTTTTCCAACTGCAAAACAGAGTTCGTGTAGGCCTCCAGGTAAAATGATAGTATTTCTATTTGGTATTGCCACTGGAATACTTTGAATTAGGGCTGGGAAATATATTGACTTAAGATATATCGATATATATTCAAACAAGATATTGGGTGAGACAACATCGTTAATATGGATATAGTTTATGTTGCATTAAAATAACGTTATAGAGGTGCCAGGTCACCTTTTTCTCATCTCATTAATCATGACTGCCGGTCTGTCCCTCTTAACCCTGCTCCTCCTCTCTCTCTTTTTTATTGTATTTAAGGAACAGTTTTATTTTATAATATTACTTTTTAAATTCACAAACAGGTAGTTTATTTTTCATGTGTTTTCACTGTTAATAAAAAACATATCGATATATATTGAGTATCGCCGTTCAGCTAATCAGTATCAAGATGCGAGTTTTGGTCCATATCGCCCAGCCCTGAATCTGCCAATATTCCAGTGCAGGTATCCAGTTTGGTATCCACAAAGGGGGAAAACTATTGGAGAATCTGTATTTGCAACATGGGCAATGTGTGAAAGTTGTCCTGGTCGAACTTTATTTTTTTAAATGATTTGTCTTGACAAGAATCGTATTGAATTTCCAAGTAGACCTTGTAATGTCACTGAGTCTGCTTTCAGCCCTCCGATGGCATGTTCAGAGTCTCTAATACAGTCAGAAAATGTGAAAACATAACTTATTTTATAATAACTTCAACATTTGGACTTTTTGCTTAAAGGTGAAAAACACACATTTCATCGTTAAGATATACAACCTGTTATCCTTCATTTGGATTTGACTTTTCATGTGACAACATTTTTGGATACTTCACAGATTGAGAAGGCTCTCACACTGCTCAGTTAAAGAACATGCTTCAGACTTGAAGGCTACAAATCTTTAATGCCTGTCAGATTTCACTGTTTCAAATATTTTCATCAACATAGTAGCCCAGAATGATTTTAAATTAAAGGGAAGTGTTTTCTGAATCAAATTTACAGATGGGATTAACTGAATTTTACCAAAATTTGCCAGCCGATGAGTGGCCTTACACATTTTTAATGAATTGAATGGAATTTTTACCATATACTGGGAAGTGATATAAGCCAAGGCTCAAACATCATTTGGTCTTGGTCTGGGAACATGTGTGCACTCTGGAAGAACATTAGTCAAGGCCTTGAGCCATTTTACAAAAAGCAGGTGCCCATTGTTTCTTTCTAAATGCTGACACTTTACCAGGCATACAGCAAGTGAGAGGAAGTTGACTGCTTACCTCAGAGAACTTGTCAGCCACCATGTAGCGGACCCTCCAGGATTTGTCTTCTGCTGCCTGACGCAGGGTTGGCATCACAAGTGTCTCAAGGTCCTCCTGAGGCAGCAGTGTGGCAATGCTGACACAAGCCTCCACTGCAAGCAGCCGCACTGAGTCCTGAAAATAGAAAAGTAATCATAACAGTTTAACAGTCAAATAAACTTTAAAGGACATGGACACATTGAATGCTACTGCAGTTTAGGCACTGAAGAAGGAAGGCAAGTTTTCATACCTGCTCATCAGAGGCCAGAGCAGTGAAGAGGGAAATAATGTCACTTTTTACATAATCCAGCTCCAGGACTTTGGCAAACTCTCCAAGTTTAGATGCTGCAGCACGACGCACCATAGGAGTATCATCCGAACACAAGGTGCGAAAATGCCTAGACACAGCAACAAACAGTTTATCAGACACAGAAAAACTGACAAAACATCTGGTGCTACACTAAATGATATGCCATTTTTTTATATTGTACAGAATGCAATGATAAAAATGGAGGTTTAGATTGAATGAAATGTTTCTCTTTGTTGAAAAGCCACTTACTGACGGATCTCAGCCTTGACAGTGCTGGAGACACGAGGATAACAGACACTGAAGAGACCGCAGGCAGATGTACGAGAAGTGAACCAGTCACCACTTGCCAGCCGCTTGACCAAGGGCTCAAAGTGGACCTCCAAGTCAACTGGAGAGTGCTCTTGAGAGATCTTCCGCAGGGACTCAACAGCTTTATCTCTGACTACTGTCTCCTCCACTGTAGCAAGGCTCTCCAGAGGAGGCTGCATATCACAAAGGAAAAGGGGTTAGATGGGGTCAGTATCTTTCAACAATGCTCTATTAGACATTAAAGTGTGTACTGTTTTTACTTTAATTAAAACGAATGTAAAGGCAGGGGATCATTTCAATTATGCCAATATTTAGACACTTATAACGAATGATATATTGTGGGTTAGGTTGATCTAAGAGGAAGTCATCTATATGGCAGCGGTTTTCACCATTTATTCCACTCATCTGGGATGTCAGGCAGTGTCAGAAATGTAAAATAATGCTATTTTTAAAACCCAAAACGCTCGATTGTTTTTTTTTTTTTTTTTACCTGTACTTTATTACAGGTAGTGAGCTGTCCTCTGATAAATGATATTTGAAATCCACTCTCCAGTCACTCACCAAGAGACAGTGGACGTACTCTGGTCCTCCAACCAACATAGTGAAATTGCCAAGCTGCTCAGCCAAGGCCAGCAGCACTTCATCTTCATCGTAGATGGTGTCTAAATGATGACAGGAAGATTTGTTAAAAAAAAAAGAATTGCGTGTACATGTAGTCAGGTCTCACGGTGTAACTGGGAAATGTGTAAAGTTACAGTATAACAACAGATTGAAAAGGATCACGTGACGTCCATATCAAAGCAGCCCTCAGTTAATAACTGCGGTGTCGAAAACATCATGTGATTTTAACAAGTTACATAAAAGACTTTATTACCTGTGAGGAAAGGTAGGAGCTCGGTGCGGGTCCTCTCCACACCGAGAGCCAAAGCAATCGTGGACAGCTTCTTGATGCTGTTCAGTCGTAACTGTGTACAAAGTTTACACACTTTTAATTAAGTTTGTGCAACAAAACGGTATTTAAAGCCTGACGATAAGAAAACAGCATGCCTAACACATATTATAATATAATAATAAAAGTGTTAACATTACTATCTCGCCTTCAGGCAGCGTCTCCGCAGTGAGAAACGTCGACGTGAGAAAGCTATCGTTACCCAGCTTTGACTTGTAACATGTAAACTTCATTAACTTTGACTTGTAACATGTAAAATTCATTAACAATGAGCAAATAGGACAGCAATAGTCAGTCATGTCAAATTTGCGGCCTTCACAGCCCCGCTGTACCGACTGCTAACTCTCAGGTTTGTCAATTAAAACTGGTTAGCAACAGCGGCTAAACCCATGACCCGGTAGGTTTGTCCAACCCAATTCATTTAACTCTCATTATAGTTCAGCTGATAGATGCACCAAAATGCACAATTAACATTATTACAGACCCCCCCAAAAAATGTAATCAAGCCACCGAATTAGCTATGTTGGAAAGGCAGGGTGCGCCCGTCAGGAAAGCTGCAGGTAGGCCTCGGCCCGGGAGCGTTAGCTAGCATTTGTGCTAGTTAGCGAGTTGGTATTCAGGCGAACCGACTGAGAGAATACTTAATACTGCTCAAAATTGTAAATAAAGATTAAAGTAAAAAACTAGTGTTGTTACCTGCACGTCCTCATTACGCAGTTCATCGATGAGAACGGCGATAGGGTACAGAGAGTCGTCTCCATCAGCTCCTGCCATTTTGGACACTGTTGCAGTTACCGAATGGCGCTGTTGTGATGCACTACGGGGTTTCTGCTGGAGCCGAGCGGCTGCAGGGCCCTCCCTTCTCCGCTGCTGCGTTCAAGACTCCGCGAAGAAAACCGTCGGGAGCAAGTCTCACAAAAACATGACTGAACATTCAAGTGTAATTATATCAGTACCTCTGATCTCTGAAAACTAGATATTATCATGATTACAACATGGTTTTACAGCTATATTGTCTGAATTTAAATTACAGTACATTTGAATTTCTAAATCTAAACATGTTTGCTCTCATTTACAGGGGTTTGGTTATGATAATGGGATTATAAACTGAAGTCCACATGAGAAATGGCAGACTTAAAAATAATAATAGTTTCAAAATTGAAGCCAAAGCAGAATAATCTGCATTATTTCTGATGGCCAGTAGAAGGAGACTCCTCTGGCTGGAAAAAAGGACTCAAAATTAGAAAGAAAAAAAAAAAGAAGAAAGTTTGATTTTACTTATATCATCATGTTTATTTTAGTTTACCTGTGATTGACAAGTTTATAATAGGCCAAGACCTGTAAACCAGAACAGAGTTAATCAGTTAATCATTATCCAAATGTGTCACTTCTGGCTCTGAAAACATACTATAGGTTTGAGATTAAGCTAGATGGGAGAACTGTACAAATACTACAATGTTAATGACAATGTTATGATGTTCTTATTTGCACTGAGATAATGGTAATGAAATGAAAATAAAATCAGCAATGTTGACAATCATTTATTTTTATAGCCTAATAGTGACACAAAGCCATACGCATATTTAAGGTGATAAAATGTACTGCAGCCACACAATCACCTAAATACAGTCTAGATATGGATCAGTAAAAAAATATAGAAATGGATAAAATCAGATTGTCTAATGTATTCAAATTTCCATAATTCATTCAAAGGTGTTTGTTGTTAAATGTTCTTCCCCTTTTGCCGACCATTTGTCTTCTATAGAGAGGAGCAGAGGTTGGAGGAGAGGTGAGGAGTTGGTTGACTGGATAAAAACAAATTATGGTTGTGAACGGTAACTCATAAATGCATTTGATTAATCTACAAACCTTATCATGATATGCATTTTATATGACACAAATCAACAATTTATGGCAAGCCGTTTAGGAAATTAATATATTGAATGAAGTCTGAATATATTGAATGAAGTCTGAATATATGGAATGAAGTCTGAATATATTGAATGAAGTCTGAATATATGGAATGGAAGCTGATTTCAGTTCTCTAAATCCACCAGTTTCATTGTTGTCATCAAAAAGACACCCTGCTGAATTTGCTGGTTTTGCAAAATGACATCAGCTGAAATATACCAATACTTTCTTGAACTTCAAAACTCTTTTGAAGCAGCTGTTAATACTCAAAATGATATGAATAATGTGGAATGTAGAAAGCTTCACCTTGAAGATCATCAATTAGTGGAACACTTTTACTGCGTATGAGTAGTAATACTCAACAAAACATTGCTGAACCTTGTGCATCCAGCTTTAGGGATTTTTTTTTTGTCTCTTACTGAAATGTAAGCTGAAATAACACAACAGACTTCCATTCAATATATTCAAAGTTCCAGTCCATATATTAAAAGTTTCATTCAATATATTCAAAGTTCCAGTCCATATATTCAAAGTTTCATTCCATATATTCAAAGTTTCATTCAATATATTCAAAATTTCATTCCATATATTCAAAATTTAATTCCATATATTCAGAGTTTCATTCAATATATTCAAAATTTCATTCCATATATTCAAAATTTAATTCCATATATTCAAAGTTTCATTCAATATATTGATTTCCTGAACGGCTTGCCATAACAATTTGATGATAGATATATAGGGGAGAGAAAAAAAATGCTGTGTGTATATCAGGAAGGCTCTTATTGTGGAAAAGACAGACCGGATATTGAAATATTTTCCGGCGTTGTGCGTCAGAGCCGGGCAAGATGGCGTCCCAGCAACAACAGCCCGGTGGACCGATGGCTCAACCCGTATTACAACAACCGAATGCATTACAACAACAACAGCAGCAGCAGCAACAGTTGAGCCAACAGCAGGACTTTGACCCCGTCCACAGATTTAAGATGTTAATTCCACAGCTGAAGGAGAGTCTGCAGGTAACACAAACATCTTGGTCTGCGGAGCCAAAGTTGGAATTCATGGTCGAACTACTATCGCTTCACAAATACATGAAATCAGCTGAAATGTGATCTAATACACATTTTATTTTATTGTTATTTTTCAGAATTTAATGAAGATTGCCTCCATGAATTTGGCCCATAACACATCAATTGACAACGGCATGTAAGTAACCGGGCCTGGGGGTTCTTCTTAATGATGGTCAGGTTTCTTTCAGTTTTTTTTTTGTTTTTTTTAATCAGCCAATGTTTCCTCTGGTTTAGCAAAAGCAGCGACACCTCTGTGCAGCGCTTTGACAAAAGCCTGGAGGAGTTTTATGCCCTGTGCGATCAACTGGAGCTGTGCTTGGTAAGAAACACAAAACAAAATGTTATGAATCCAAAACATTTTGATTGCACGTTCATTGATCATCTCTCAGATTATACAGTTAGGAAAAAAACATTTTCTTTACTCTCTGATTTCTAGATTTTAAGAATAATTCAACTCAAATCTTCTGTTTCTTTCCTTTTTTTTTTTTTTTAATATAGAAAAGTAAATGAAACTCCCTGTTTAACATGAGCTGAGCCACTGTCCCATAATAACGATCTGATTTTATCTTAAAGAATGATTACAGTTATGTCAAGCATGCCTATAACAAGGTGCTGTGAAATATACATTTATTTCATTAAGACAAGATTGAATGACGTCATGGGCAGTCATACGTGAAAACTCATCTGTATGTTAAACACAACAGCCACATATTGTGTCTGTATAATGTTCTTTACAAACTAACCTCGTCTCTCTTCTGTGAAGCGGCTGGCCTATGAGTGCCTCTCCCAGAGCATCGACAGCGCCAAACATTCGCCCAACCTGGTCCCTACAGCCACCAAGCCTGACACGGTGCAGACAGAGTCCATGTCTTATGCCCAGTACCTCGGCATGATCAAGTCTCAGATATCCTGCGCCAAGGATATCCACAATGCTTTGCTGGAGTGTTCAAAGAAGATCGCAGGAAAGGGACAGCCTCAGGGAATCATGTAGAACCACACCTGACTTTTGGAATGGTCTCTGCTTTCCTTGAGAAATCGAGATGAAGTTTATGATGAGTTTCATACAAGGGGCTATCCCATTATCTCAAACATAGGATGCTGTTTTATTTGTCAAGATCCTGTATATTTGGTTAATATTTCTTTTGTATAATGTTGTCTTGTAAGCACTGTAAATATTCCTGACAAGTCATATCCTAAGATGACCAGCAGGTGGTGCCAGAGTTCTGCCAACTCAAAATTCACGTCTTTTGTAGCTTATTTGTATTAAATATGAAAACCTTTCCACTGATACTAATGTTTTCTGGTTATTTAAGATGCACAAACTAAGTCTTGTTTGTTAAATATTTTAAATGTTGCTGATGAGGCTTTAACGTTTGAGTGTGATTGACAACCCATCATGAGTGGATGCAGGTACTGACATTAAACATTTCACTTCAAAATCCAGAGTTTAGTGGTTTTAACACTGGAAATATGGCAAGGAAAGAAATTCAGACTCCCACTGTACAGAGGGAGAAGAATAGTTTCTCTTTTGAACAGAAGTGGGATATGCTTACATTTGAATTCTTTTTGAGCTTCCTATTGGTCAGGGGTTCAAGGGTTAAATTAAGACTGATACACAAGCATGTGGGAGGGGTGCCTGGTGTGCTTGCAGTCGTGTAACATCTCAGTCCAATCTAAATTACTGACAGACAAGTGCCTCTATCCAAAAATATCACCGTGGGTCACTATATAGCAGACGAGAGGTTCACCACAGTATGTCCTCTCACAGGCTCCTTACAGGTCACATACAAACAGTTCAGCATTCATTCAAAAACAGACTGGATAAGTCTCCATATTTTCACATTTTTATTTTCATACAATAGTCTGTGTTGGTACGTATGACTTTTAAAGCTTGAAAAAAAATGTACAAGAACATGGCGAGAATGAATGAGCATAATCCAGTCATTGCCAGGAAAACAACGTGCAGCACAGAGTTCAGTAAATGATAAACCACAGGAACATATAAAAGGAAGAATAATATGTTTCTTTTTACAAAGATTACAGCAAGAACAATATACAGTTCATATGGAGAGCATCAGGTGCTAGACAATACAATGAAAAGACGATCTATACATTGAGTGCATCAGTGGATTTTGCTACATTTTGTCTTGTTGCATTATGAAAATAAGATGAGAATCGAATCGCTCTTGACTCATAATGTCATGTGTAATGAAAAGTAGTACCTTTATTACACACTTTTGTAAGAAATTACTTTTATCAGTTTAAACACAAAAACATCCACCGGTATACCAATGACTGAGGAGACAAAACACTAGAATTTATATAGATCACATAGTCTTGTCACTCATTCTCAAAGCATACTGCAGTTTATTTCACTTCAAATATTTGAATCCAAGATTAATGTTCCTTTAATTTTTTTTGTAGGACGTTAAACATGTTCAAATCTCTTAAGGTCTACGTTTTGGGGCCTTCTGATTCTGATCTCTTTTTGAAGAAAGCGGGGTGGGTCATGGGTGTCTGTGTAGGTACAGAGCACTAGAGTTTACATTATGATGGCTGAAAGACGTTAATGAGCGCACACACACATACAGGTGGTTTCACTGCTTTGAAGAGTCGGAGAATTTCACACATCTTTTACCCTCAGCCTCTCCTTTTGATCTATCTCTGTGGGGAAAAAAAACAATTTGGTTATTTACAGCTTAAAAGCTAAATGAACTGCAGAATAATCATGATAACTATACTCTAATAAAAGCATACAGTAGGTGTCTAGCGTCTACCTGTCGGCCTGCTCAGGACCGGTGAGAGCTGCCCTGTGAACTCCACTGAGTCGAGGTTCTGCCTGACGAGACATGGGACCAGATGGCTGGAACTTGGATAATTCCTGCTGCCACTCTGAGTCAAACGTTTGTGCTTCAGCTGGAGGTGGAGGAACAGGATATAGTTAGAAATACTTGAGCTGGTTAGTCATTCAACAAGTCAACTGAACTGATCAAACCACCTAAACATATATGATTTGATCACTTCCTGTTTGTCTGATTATTAGGGGGTGTAAGCAGCCTGTCATTATCATCAGTATTTAACATACATTCATCCAAGTTCTGAAAGTCTTGGTTGAACTCCTTCTCTCCCGTCTTCTTGTTGTATTTCTTCTCCACAACATGTCCCCTGTCCTGGATGTGATGACCAATCGACATCTTCTCCACACCACTTTCAGAGTCTTTCAGTGCTTGCCTCGTCTCCTTAATCTGATGACAGAACATCAGCACATCAGTGTCATAGAATAGCAATCAATATCCTTTATTTAGAAAACTAGTCCAGTAAGATAAAAGACAGTTTGACTTACACAAGTGTGGCTATTAATAGTATTAACGACTGCATTCCATTAAGAGAGGCCATTTCCATGGTCTTGATACTGGGCATGCAGGATCACCAAAATGATTTCAAACACACCTTAATGGAACAGAGCCATCATATGCCCCTAAGAGACAAGTTTGATTGTAATGTGTCTAACAAGGAAATGCCAGAGGGAAGAAATCCCCATGATCACTCAGGGAAGAAAAGAACGAGTGATATTTCTATACAGACGGACTGACGTCTCTCAGTTCAATGTTTTGAAATGTGCTCTAATGTACTGTGTTATACTGCTGTTACATATCTGATGGGGTACTTACCCCTCCAGGGGCACGGCGTGTTGATGAGCTCGCCTGGAAGACCTTGGGAGGCTCATTCCCAACCTTTGAAAATGTCATGACTGACGAGGAGCTGAATGAGTGGCTGCTTGAATCTGTGGACATGTTCTCCTGACACACACACACACACACACACACACACACACACACACACACACACACACACACACACACACACACACACACACAGTTAAGCAGCTGAGTAAGCAGCATAAAAACATGATAGGGACAAAAAATGATTTGATGAGTTAACTCACAAAGTTTCTGTGCATCTCTTCCATCCTGTTTCTCATGTTGGACATCACGCTGTCGAACCTACCGAAAGGGCTCATCATCATGTCCTGCACAAACACAAGGGACAAAAACAGAGACAATGAATGGCATGCACACCACATGTTCACAGTCCGTTCACAGCTCGTAAGCACCTCTATCATGTGTACAAACATCTATGCACAGAACTGTGGGCTAAATGTGTCTTGCAATCTGTGCCATCTGTACATTCACATTGTATCACGTGACCCAGTGACATTAACTGGATGAAATAACTGTAAAACAAATCCTGCATGAACATGCGACTTACATCTTTGTTTCATGTTTTTCCTGTACAGAAAATAAAAGCAGGAAAATAGCATTCTAACTTTAAACAGGGAGAATTGCATCTCTCCCATGCCCACAGCACGGCTCTATCGCTGTTAGTAACTTTGGCAAGTTAGGTGAGTATGGCTTTATGGCCCTAGTTCACACACCAGCCTAACTTTGATAACTCTGCATATATTTAACGGAAGTTAAATGAACATTAACCCGAATTATCAAAAAACATCAGCTTTTTATGCAGCCAACAATAGAGTTAAGGACAGTGTGCAGCGTGCTTGACCTGAAATGTGTTCCTTGAGCGATCCGGGGTGGGGATGTATGTGGGGTCGCCACGGGGTGGATGGGGGTGGGGGGAAGGTTTGAATGTTTTATTGATCCTGATGTTTGCACATATGCACTTTTATACATGTATGTGCTCTAGGGGGGTGGGAGGAGGTAAAGGGGAAAACAGTTGTAATATATGATGTAATTCTTTGTACATTTCTTGTGATCTAAACTGATAAAAAAAAAAAACATTTAGAGATGTCTAATTTTTCTTTTGCAATGTCAAAAGAGTGGAGTGAGGCCATGATGACTTAGAAAAGTCTTAACTAAACATGACGGTAATGAAAATCTACAAATAACAAAAGCTTTTTTGATATAGGCCTCTCACCTCCCCTGACCGCCCGTGCGCTTGTGACACATGCGGGCTGTAAATGTTTGCTCATTATCACCATCTTTTAAACAACTGCTGTTCTGTGTAAATCACTCATGCTCATTGCTAGAAAGCTATGATTCTTGTGATTCCAACTGTGAACCATTTCACCACACTAGCCACAATCTGTGAATCTGTCAGACCACTGACAAACAAGCAAGTCTTCATTCATTTTTCTTACCGTCTGATGATCTACTGTCATAATATTCCAACAAAACCAATCCTCCCCACGATCCAAATCCAGTCAAAGATTCAAACCAAACACATTACATCCATAAAGATCCACAGATTAGTTAAAAATGTAATGTTGGAGCTATTTAATTGGGGTTAGAATTAGTTTTTGTATTTAGTTTACTAAATATTTGGGTGGTGTTGTTTATTTAATTATTCTACACGTTTTCTTTATTTAGAGAAGATTTTGGGTAACGTTTTATTTTTTGCTAGTTATTTGTTTAGTAAATTTAGTTTTGTCTTAGTATTTTTTGTTAGGTATTTGGGTAATACTGTGGGCACCGGAGATTATTTAAGTAAGAGGCAGCGGGAGCCACGATTTTCTTTGTTCTTTTGTTTGTTTTCCTCAAATAAACCAGCAAACTAACGCAGCTCTTGCATGAACATTGGATTTCTTTTGCCTGCGTACATTACATTTTTTTGGACAAATAGCCGCTACATGTAATTCGCTGTTCAACTGGCTTCTCTTTACTAATGCATGCACTGTGAACTTTTGATTGACACATCATTTGACCAATCAGGACCTTCCATTCAATGAACTAGGCTACTTTAGCTAATGAGAGCCTGAGTAGAAACAGGACTTTCTCTCTCTCTCCTTCGTGGCTGCGTTACTCATGATACAGCTGTGTCAGTTATAAAAATGGATAATAAACAGGGTCGGCAGCCTCGTCTCTTCAGAGAGTCAGAGGCATATGAGGTCTGCTGACTAGAGTTAGTGAAAGTGAATACAAGAAATGAAAAAAACAAATTTACCTGAGGTTAAATGTTCCCATAATTTTTGTTTTAAAATCCACATTAAATAGAAATAAAAATTGTTTAACAGATGGATGTATGCCTAGCTCTGCCTTTATCTATACGGTTTGATACAACGACTGAGACTAAGTGACTGAAGAGCACGGTGACGGATGAACCAGAGACCTTCGATGGGTACCAAAGTGCAACGAACCACATTCCTAAATATTGTTGCTTTCAAGGTTGTTCATCATAATCAGGAATCATAAAGCACCGAAATGGAACTGGGCCTTATCTTTCAAACTGCTTCTCAGTCATGTTTCTTTTTTTCTGTTTCCTGTGGGTCACAGTTTATGTACCACCTCATTCCCAAGCACTCAAATCATGCATGTTGCAGTAAAATATTTTTAATCCCCATCCATTCAAAATGTAACATCAGGTCATTTATTCACAAGTTGCACTCAAATGTTCTGCAAATAACGTGTTCAAAGTGTTAATCTCTCTACCTGTTTAGAAGTATATGTTGAGACCCTATTAAACAACCTAAGTGTTCTATAGAACAGGCATCTGACTGGCAACAAGATGGGTTAATATAACTAGTCAGATACGAGACTAAACATACAGCAGTTAAAACATAACTTATTACTAGTTTATGTACAGATTTGGTGTAACTTTGATTGCTGGGTTAAAGTGCTCTGAATTACTTAAATACTCATAATCAATTAAATTTCTACATTTTAGTAACATATCTTTCAAAGTGTCTGTGAAGAGATGAACCATTGGTGAATACTGCACTGTTTACTGTTTTGGAGACACCATTTCACATCCTCTACATTTCCAGTGTTGGTGAGGATGTGGAGGTAAGAAGTTTGCAAAGTTGCACTAAAATGATTTTGGTAGAGCTGAGCGATATATATTAATTTTTATCAATAAATCAGGTATGTGGGAAGTCGATATTTTCAAAAGTGAAAATGGAGATTTTGTCTTTAACTTACTCCGCCGCTCCCCCGCCCACCCATATCCTGAGGAATAATACAAAATAAAAAAAAGAGTATAGAAACAGTATGGTGTTGTATTTGTATAGCATGTTACATACACACATGTACATTAAGCTCTTTTTCAAGGTTTTTGTCTGGAAGCTGTTAGGTTGTCTTACATCGGTCACTAAGCCCTTGACACAGCTACACAGACCTCTCCTCCGGCTTTAAGCACAGCCCCTCAAGGCCGTGAACCCTCTGGGAGTGCGGGCACCAAGAAGAGACACGCAAGTGAGGAGGGAACAGCCTCCAGTCAGATCCTGTGTTCTCTAAGCCAAGACAGCAGGTGTTTACGACCTGCAGCCCTGGATAAGCATCTCAAAAGCTATTGCAATGTATATACTGTATGAGTGTGTGAGTGGTTTTTCTGGGGGTGTGATGCACAGGAGTATTGCGCATAATCAGTGAGGTGTTGAATGACTTGTGTTCCATGTGTAATTGGGTCGCATTGCCAGAGATTAGCGTGGGTTTAACACTGAAACTGAGTTACATTCTGGATAGGCTGCAATGGACCAGACAGACCTGTTAGGATGGGGATCCAACATGGGTCAAAGAGTCCAAGGCTGCTCTCTCAGCTCTTTTTAAATGTCAAGCCGATGTAAAACGCCTCTATCATTATCTATGAAGCTTAGAGCCTATTTTATCCCGGAGTGGCATGTATGAACTAATAAATGAGCATTATATTTAGACTATGGCACAGGGGAGGAGAGATTGAGGGTGCAAAATAAGGAACGTAGACCCGGTGGTCTTTAACACATTATTTTCGGCTGTCTGGACAACTGCAGATTGACATTCTCCTCTCCATCTCTCTGTCAATCTGATATTGAATATGCCACTGTGCCCTCTGAGGGAGGCTGCTCCTGGAGGAGGTATGAGTTACTCCGCACTAGATATGCACTGTCGATATGATTCATACTCAAAAGGAAAGTGGTTATTGTATAGCTCCTAGGAAGTGGTGCATTAAGAGGCATTTTGTTTAATATGTGCTTCTGACTGGAAGACCACAAAGGCACTGAATGTGATTATGGAGACTATGAAGTTTTTAAAGTGGATACAGAGTGAATGAGGGGTTAATAAACTGCTACACTTCACACTGCAAAGCCTTCCTTGTCACTTTATTTTCCAGAATGATCCAGAAGGGTGCAAACCAACAAGAAAGACAACATCATTAATACCTATACTGGTTATTACCTTTTCCAAGCCCCTCTACCACCTGTTTGGCTCAGTACAAACCACAGAATCAAAGAAGGAGCAGCTAACTTATGCTTGCTGTTTATTTCGCACTTCTTTTATAGACAAGCGCCCAGATGAATGAGTGCTTTGAAAGGTGATATAAACCAGGTAGCGACTATTGGCAAGAGACTGGGAAATGTGAGAGCTTTGGAAGTTCAACACAGGGATTGTTTTCCCACTGGGAGTCTTACGGTTAGCAAGCTAAAACAAGACGCACAGGCCTTCCAGCATTATGTGGGTGTGTTTGTGTGTGTGTGTGTGTGTGTGTGTGTGTGTGTGTGTGTGTGTATGTGTGAATGCATGCGCACGCAGGCCAATGTGTGTGTTTGCATGCCTTCATGTCGATGTTACTTTGCATGCTGTGACCCTGTGTAACAGCCCTTGTCAGCATTTTTGTCAGCATGTTTTATACAGTATGTTTGTGTGTGTGTGTGTGTGTGTGTGTGTGTGTGTGTGTGTGTGTGTGAGAATGTATTTCTGTGTGCACATTTGTGCCTGTGATATTGGAGAGCAGAATGACAGTGAGCTGTCTGTCTGTCATCTGGCTTCTAAAGCACCAGCGCTGCCAAGACACGTCCTTCCAAACAGATGGACCGAAAGAGCAACAATGAGAAAACAGAGTGTCCATGACATCTGCACATATGCCTTCACAAAGCCAACAACTCAGCGCCCTCTGACCACTGCTGGGGAAAACACAAAACTGCTCCTTATCTTCACACAGACAAAGTGTGCGTGAGAGTCAGAGAAGTAGAGTTCTGTGATAAATACTCAAACTTGTCTCCATGTGTCAGGCCATAGAGCAGGTTGACTGTTTGTGAAAATGTACTAAGTAGTCAAGGAATCAGGAAGCTCAATAAAGTTGTATCATTTAATCATCAGCAGTATTTAGAAAAACTCGAAATGACTCCTCATGTCAAGACAAAATACTTTGTTTGGAAAGACATTCTATCTGCCGTCACTGAGGTCATTAGCAGAGTTCTCCAAGCCCCTCCTCAGCTAGCATTAGATACCTAATGGAATGAACCAGTTGTATTAAAGCAGGTGACAGGGATACGTTTGACTTAGCAGGGCTATCTAATCAGTGCAGGGACTTGATTTGGGAAAGGTTAACAGGTGCAAAACCAGGCAGATCAAAACTATTCTGCTTACCTCTTAAAAACCTTGCACAACTCGCAAATTTCCCCCAAAATTTTAAACAGGTTGATGAGTAGTTATCGACAACCATCTCTTGAAGTCATGTTTATATTATATGAGTGTATAAAGTCAAAGATTTATGTAGGGAGCGATTATGTTTTTAAATAACTGCAATTTAAGTAAACATGGCAACTAGGCCCACTACAATTACTTTGCACGCATTTACAAGAAACTAGTGTGTCAGTGGAACAATGCACTATAAATAGGGCTCCTGAGGGCCAGATATAACTGTCATGAGAGGCCATGGGGGTTGCCCTTCCACTAAAGTAGAGACTCACATGGTCCCATACCTCTGTAAGTGGTGCTCCAGTTACTCTGCAAGTGACCAAGTTCCACTAAACCTGAGTATACTTTGCACTTCTCCAAACATTAATCTGATGATGATATTCAAAGAGCAGTACACAGGCATAAAGCTTTCACAAGTTAAATGCTGAAGCAGGGGATTTATAGTTTGCCTCTAATAGACCCAAATCACGTAGGTTAAACATCTGATAACATATTGATACTGTGATGAACAGGGTTGAGCTTTATGTGCTGTAACTAAACATATACCGTTAGGTCAAAAATGGGATAAGGATTGCTTCCAGAAATAATTGTTCTCACCCTGTGATCGTCCCTGAGTGGCTGGGATGAGCTGGGATGTTCTATCATGTCACGGCCACAGTTTCTCCCATCCATAAGGCTGGGCACTGAAGACCCGCCAAATGGCTCAGAGAAGCTACGCATCATCTGCCGCATGTGTTCCCTGTGAGCTCGCAATGGATCCCTATGGCAGAGTAAAATAATAATAAGAAAAAGTTAATCTCAACATTGACAAGGGAACTCTGCTTGATGAGGACATGATGAGGCCCGAGAACCACGATAAAGGCTTCTGGAGAGGAATAAGAAAGGTCTCTACGCCAGAGCAACACATTGAAATAAAAGGTTCCCTAAATAATTCCAGCTCCTTTTACACTTGCTTTAGAAGTGGGGTCAAATGTGGACACACTGCCTAAGGTGTTCACTTGTGCTATAAATCAAAGTGATGACCGCACAGTGTCAGTGTTAAACTTATTTTTAAAGCATGTTACACAACAATCTGAGTCAGACTTCAAAGAAGTTGTTCCACCAGTTGTTAATTTTAATTATATTAAATAAATGAATAGCTGGTACTATTAAATTACTTATTATTCCCAATAATAACTATTATTATTGTATGCCAATACATTTTACTGAATTTAATTTGAAATTGATGCTGGGTTACAGGTTCATTATATTAAAACTAAGTGGCTAAAATAGCTAGGATGTGTAAATCACAACAACTGGTTGAAATTCAGTTAAACCACATACAAATATTAACAACAACAGAAAACGTGCAATTTGTAGATAAATAGTAAGCAATATTAAAACCTAAATAATTAATACATTCAAATAAATTTGACCTCTTCGCTCGTTTATTAAACACCAGCCAAGCTGCAAAATAACGCAACACATTTATCTGTTAAATAACTTTTGTTTTTGTTTATTTGTTTGTGTTAAAGTTTGGTAGTTTTGTTGACTGGGGCACACTAGCGCTACTTAAACTACTTGATTTACTCTTTTGTGTATCTGTCTGAACATAATAATAATAATAATAATAATAATAATAATAATAACACACAAGTAAAAACATTTAAACAGTTAACAGATTTAATACAAGTTTAGTTAATGCACTCACGAAAAAAATGGATCCTCTTCAAACTCCCTGCGGTTACTATTGAACATTTTAACGGATTTTGGAGTTGGAAACAGAAAAGAGATGAAGACTTTTCAGAAATAATCCGTGCGGCCACAGGTGGCCCAGCGCCGTCGCTCAGCTTGGGTTAGGTTACGATGGAGGTGGTGTCACGCAAAAGAATTTAGACCCAGACTCTCTCTGACAACAGCCACGTGACTTTAACCCGGCCCTCTGATTGGCTGGTTATTCGGAGCGATGATCAGGCACCATTCGCGGGCTCAATGTTGTGAGTGGCTGTCATGGAGACGGCAATCTAGACAATTCTAAATTCATTTTTACCAAAATTAGGTGCATGGTTATTAACAAACCTTCACAGGATCTATGAAAGCTCTATACAGCAACGTATACGATTATAACATTTGGCTGTATGTGTGGAACAAATAAATCTTCACTGTATTATGTCTGAAGATATTGTGTTTGTTATCAAAGTCAGGTTGTGAAGACATGCAGCCATATGACCAAAGTTTTTACTCACTCGAAGTAGGCACTTACATAGCCTGTAAAGCTTATTTTGTACTTTGTATGCTTCCCTTAAATAATAATTTGTACTCTTTCTTTTATTATTACATTACGGCACTTACTATTTGGAGGGTAGGCTACAGGGGTGACAAACTGTGTCCCAGACTCAGTATAGCGTTACCATCTGGCTGTTCCACAAATAGGCCGGAGTGTTGACTACTGCCTTGAATGCCGCTCAGGGACACAGCATTGAACAAACACAAATATATAAACAACTGATTTGTATAAGAGGATGCAAACGGAGAGTACGGATGATGAGAAGATGTTTCCTCCAGTTTCATGTTCCATGTCAGTGTCTCAGCCCAACAAGATAAGTTACTTTTAGTAAGTTCCTGAATAGAAAGGTGATTCATTCATACCTATTTATCTGGAGCTGCAATACTTGATTAGTGAAGAGGATGAATACTGTTTTTATGAATGTGATCCAACTTAAGAGGTTTTTTCTCAATCACTAATCCACAAAAGCAAAAGACATTTATCATTTAAAAAAAAACACTGGTACCTTTATTTACTAAGGTGATTACAAAAGACAATAAAACCACAATTCGACCAAAAAATTTGAATTTCTTCAAGTTCTCAAACATTTTTACAACTGGGTAGAGAAATTCATCAGGAGGGTCAAAATAAGAAACTTTATGACATCCTAAAACAAGTCAGAAAGAAAATGATGTGGATTAAGACACATTAGAGTTTACTCAAATGTCCCCTGAAACACAAAAGATCCTCCTGGTATTCTTCAGGGCACAGGACTTCCCATGAGCCTCTCCTGCCGCAGCGAGATCAGTCTGTTGAACCACAGCTCCTCTGCCTTCTCCTTGTCCATGAACAACTACAGGAGAGTGAAGAGAGGACATGTCATAAGTATAGTAAAGGTACAAGCCAAAAGGAAACCACCAATCAAAAGCAAAGAAAGAGGAAAGCTTTACAATGTAGCTGTGGTTTAGAATGCTGCTTGACATTGACTTAAGAACCAACAATTACTAATCAGTGAAATTATTATTCAGTCTTTAAAAAAAAACTACAAGCACTGAAAAATCCCCATAACAATTATTTTAATTTGACAACTTGAAACCCTAAAAAGCTTGACATTTTTGCCTCCAAATTACCAAAAAACAATCAGTTATGTTCATTGTAACCTATAATGACATGCCTCTTCTTTATAAATGGGCTAAGAGTAGTGTTCATTTTATTTCCATGGTCTACTATGGCATGATGCATTACATTAAGAATGTGACAGAAATACCAGTTTGCTGGTGTTTTTTTAAATGCGCCATGCAGGTAAGGACTACTATTATATATTGCCAGCTCAAGGCAGGATAACTACGGTACCCCTGTTACAGTTCGCCTTCAATGTAATTGTCAGAGGCCTAATGGAGGCAACAAGTCGTCCAACCGATGTGGTAGCATCTAAAGTGGTGACAAAGGTGTTACAAGGGGCGAGACAGAATCAACAGCAATGTGTGTGTCCGTGTGTGTGTATGTGAATCTCCCACTGTGTGTTTACTCGTAATGCCTCTCATGCTTCCACGGCGCTGTAACGTATTGTAAAATCACACACTGGGATACCAAAAATGCACCAGTGCGGCATCGATGTAAAAAGTACAGCGACGCATTGACTGTGGAGCCCTGCAGCATTAATACCAAGTGTTGCAAGGCTGCAGTATCAAACACCTCCGAAGTCTTTCCCCTCTAACTTCAGATTGTGAAAAATAAGAGAAAAAAAACAACGTACATCTAAAAAAATATATATATAAATCATCTGGTTCCCCAATGCTGGGCCTAGCAGTGTGTTCGTCTGGTGACAGAGAAGGCCAACATATGCGACTTGTTTTCATCTCAGTACATCAACAGCAGTAATGATAATGAATGTAAGAGGCCCATAAAGCTGATGTAAGTGTCTGATGAATGAACACATCTGTTTATTAGGAAGTAACATAATGACTATAGCACCAAGAAGCAAGGCGCTGAGCCATAGGGAAACAATTTGAAGATCATTTCTATATCCACTATGTGGGGGAGAGAGGTAATGTTGACATGCTGGCTGTGTGTACATACTGTACATCTATGCGATGATATATGTGTGTTATTATGCAGATTGTACAGCAAAAGCCGTCAATCCTTCACTCCTAACCTACGCAGCTTACAGCTGCTGTGCGTGTTATCTGCGTGTTACATTCAACACTAGTGAGTTCTTGTCTGTCGGCCCTGCGCTGGTGTCACGGTGCTAATGAGGCTGTGTGTGTGGGATGACAGTATCTGGGCCGGGCTAATGGGACTCATCTGTTCTAATTGGAAGTGGAGCTGGAGCTGAAGCTGAGGCCGGGGCCCGCCTGGGGCATATTGCTGCCATACATCAGCCTGTCTGAGGGTGTGTATGTGTGTGTTTTTTAGGCTGGGGGGCAGCCTGTGTGTGTGTGCGTGTGTGTGTGTGTGTGTGTGTGTGTATTTGAGGGGGTTATCTGCATACGTCAGGGCATAACTTAGTTTCCCCAGTGGAGATAGATGACTTGGAAGCCCCAGGGAGCTTTATTGGAGTTTAAAGTTTCCTTCTCGTTTTTCATCATTGGTCTGCAGGCAGGGGAGGAGGTGATGTTAGGAGGTTGTAATCTACTGTACCACGGTGTCCTATACTATATGAGGCAGAATATGTGAATATACTGGAATTCTGTAAAAAAAAAGTGGTGCTGGTTTAAGATGAAGTGTTTTTTTTACTTTTAAAAGAGAAAGTTTGCAAAGTATGTACAGCAATCAATAACTACCCCAGTCATAAAAACAAGACAACCCAAAGATAAAATAAGACGTAAGATCATCTTTTGCTGGTTGGAAGTTTTTTTTCTTTTCGGGTGTTAAAAAAGTCTTCATGACAGCTTGGTTTGATTTAGAAATAAAGAGAAAACTTTAGACCAAACAGTAAAAGGGTTTGCCTGATGTGAACTTACACTGGGGTGGGCAAGCGTGTCCCTGTCGTTGTAGACAATGGAGATGGGAAGAGTGACATCCTGAGACTCTGTCCACTCAGCCTCCTGCTTTATGTCAGCCGGCTCAACCTGTACTCAAAGAAACAACATAGAAAACAGCTCAAATGTTTGAATGAAAAAAGAATAAAATAAATAAAAGCACCAATACAGATACTTGCATAACCACAATGTGGCAGAGGAAATCAATAATTAGACTAGAATTACGAAAGAAAAACACTTAAAAAGTATGAAATATATACAAATTTGGAAAAAAAATATAATTGAATTAGGATAATACTTTATTGATCCCTAGTGGGGAAATTCGGGATTGTTGTCGTAATTGTTGTCGTTTTGCACATTCATTACTGACTTTGCTGCTGGAACAAAGCACTAAACTTTGTGTATATAACACACTCTCAGTATACTATTTGGTATATAAAGGGGTTTGGGATAAGGAAAAGAATCATGGTGTGCATAACAGCATGTGTCCAGCAGATGGCAGCGAAGTCTGGCTCATGCAAAAGGCTTCAAGAAACAAGTGTACTTATCTATATGAGCTTGTATCCTGAATGTAATTTGAACATCTTATTTTGATCATATATCTGTGCTTACATTTCTTCACTCTTATGATCCACCTCATATGCTCTGAGAGTCTTACTGAGCAGCTGCAGTGTGACTACATTTAGACAGGATCAGCTCTTTGACGCTTTAGTGTGGTCACTAAAGCCGCAACATCATCAGACACATTTCATTACTGTTGAAGACAAAGGATGAAAGTTCTCCAGTCCGAGCTGGAAGAAGGAAAGGTGATATTAACAACTTTTCATTCCTCCGTCCCTCAAGGTATTACTTAAAACCTTAATAAGCCCCACATTTGGAAGGATAGCCTCTCTCCTTGTTGTACATCATGAAGAAAAAATATCAAAATGAATACTCTGCCAAGTCAATTCATGTTTCAAACACTCCCTGAAGCAGCCTCAGAGCAAATGTTTACCCAGTTGGAAAGATCTTTTTCAAATTTATTTGGCAGGATACGTAAAGTGAGTGAAATATAAAACATTCAGGCTAATAAGTACAGTAATGTGCCAAATAGCAGAAAGGATAACTGCTCTTCACAATTGTTGGTGATAACATGCTGAATCTACATTTTTTTCAATTCATGCAGCCTGCCTGAAAACCCTTTTTAAAAAAGTCCTGCAGTTGAGAGTAAATCTCCTCATGAACACTCATCACCAAAGTCAGTCATGAACATAGCTCATAGCTTCAAGGTAATAAACAGTCACACTAAAATGACTAACATTTATATAAATCATGTTTAAGCTTGCATTCTTTTTTTAAAGGTTGTTATTGTTGTTATTTTGCAGCTATACATGTGCCATATTACCGTAGTACCATGGTACTATGGTACATGTACCATGGTACGTACCATAGCACCTGGTACATACTATGGTAAATGTACCATAGTACCATAGTACCATAGCACATGGTACGTAACATACACTCTGTGGTTTAGTCCAATAAATATGACTTGGATGTAAAATAAATAAGAAGTGCATAACGTTAGATGTCAACAAAGTAATTCCAACTCACGTTTGTAAGTAGGTAAAGAGATCATCCAATGTGACTATAAAACAGCAAATAGGGCCATTTTGACTTTTAGATGTGTCTTAAACATGGATGCTCTATTTGGATGACCACCTGTAGTTCGGGCTGCACATGATCCGCAGATCATTCACTTTACAAATAGGTAAGTAAATGTGTGTGAGTCTGTGTTGGTGTTTAGCTTGGGTTGTATTTGAAGGTATCATTTGTGCAGGAATTTCGCATTCCCTCGAAATGCCTTCAATATGATGCATGAAGAGAAAAAACCTTGTTACAACCCAGATATACTGCTATCATTAAAAGAAACACATGAACACCATGAGTCCTTTAAGAGTTTGTGTCCGTCTGCACTCCAATTCAACAATTTAAGGAGATCTCTGCAAGAATTTTAAGCCGGGACCAATAATGGTCATTGACTAATTTATTATAGTACTAGTACCCTAGTATTTATGTAGCCTAGTACATGTACTATGGTACTGTCAAATATACCATGGTACATGTACTACAGTAATACCCTGGTACATGCACAACAGTACTACTATGGTAGAGTACCATGGTAAACTTTCTGATGGGGACGAGCAGGGAAAAGTAGCCGCAGCTACATCATATCATAACTCAGTAAGGTTTTTACATGACTGTTGGGATAAACATTTAGCGTAAGTGGACAGCTCTTTGAAATTAAATGTTTTTTTTCTTTTACTGGTAATTTTCTGTGCATTTTAACGTGCGAATATAACTTTGAAAATGTGTTTTTCCATCTGTTGAACAATGAAAGCAGCTACCCGTCTGGATAGTTTAATACAGGCTCA